TCCATTCAAATGATCTTTCAATGTAAAAAAAAGCCCATTCACATCACACAATATAAGTCATTGAATTAGGCCAGCACGCAATTACTGGTTTTAATTTACAGGGATGTCACTTCACTAGCAGGGTTGGGGAGTAACTGATTATATGTAATCTGATTACCAAAAAAAGAACTAATCAGTTACATTACCAGCAAAAAAATAAATAAATCAGATTACAGATAGGCTGCTTTTGAAAAACTAGATGATTACTTCTTGGACTGCTTTAAGTTCAGAAAAGATGTTGTGAGAAAAAAAATACATTGACACCTTTCTGTTTTCTCAATTAAATTAAATTCAGCATTGAAAAAAGGCGCAAATGTAAGTTTGTTCCATCTGAGTGAGTCTGAACACAAGTCAGACCACTATGAGGACACACCAAATGTGTTTGATGGATCCTTTTAGTCTTCTTCTAATGCCTCCTAAGGGGAAAGTCATCCAGAAGTAACTGAAAGTAATCAGATTACGTACTGAGTTTGGGTAATTCAAAAGTTACAGTTAATGATAAAAGTTTTGGACAGGTAACCTTTCCAACACTGTTCACTTGCATATGGAATGTCATTTGATGTAACCGGCCAAATTCCTTCATAAAAAGCTGCCACATTGACATTAATGCTTCTACTCTCCTGAGTCGTGACATCCCAGCTAGTACATAACGTTCTAAGAACCACATGTTTCTTAGAGCTTGGTGAGAGCGTGGTTGTCCTATGGTTATTTTGCATACAACCTTCCCACAACGTTCTGAGAATGGTGCAGGATAGTTGCTTAGCTTTGGAACATTCTCAGCACATTTAAGGAACTTGACAAAATAGCGTTATGTTCTTGGTATTTTATTACTTTAAAGTGGCAATATGGAACTTTTTGGATGACCCGACCAAATTCACATAGAAATGTGAGTTATAGATCAATCATTCTAATTGAAAGCAAGTCTAAAAAGTGGTAGATCCGTTCTATGTGCGCTATTTCTATGCTTCCCATTCTTAAGTTTTGTTTTTGCGTCTTTTACTTTCGGTTTTGTACACCAGTTTAAAACAGCTGAAACAACAATCTTTTTGGTTATGGAAAATATATTTCACAGCGGTTTAGATGGTACAAAGATTCTCTATACTATACTAGCTTATTTTGTCACATAAACTGAAATTAGGAGAACTATTAAGAGTTTTAGCAACCAGGAAATGGCAGAGCGATTTATGCATAGTGAAACTAACAAAAGTTCAAACATGATTACATTTAATAAAAATGTTGGTAATGTTCTAGGACTAGGAATGTTCTCCAACTGGTTTTAATTTGGGAATGTTCTCAAACAGTTCAGAGAATGTTAAGAAACAACGCTGGGAATCTCAATTCTTCAGCATAACGTTTCCACCAGGTTTCCTCAAGGTTCTATTTTAAGTCATGTTCTCAGAACATTTAGAAACATTTCCATAAAAAACACAAGAAAACATTAGTAACATTCAAAGAACGGTTCTAAGAATGTTATTGAAAAACGTTCCGTTCTCAGTGTCAACAAAACTCTCTCTATCCTCTATCTTGTAAAGTGTGTTTAGGTGTGTTGGCTGTGCCCACTAATTGGCCACACCTGACTTTAATGAGTGCTTGTTTCCTTTGATATGGGGTGTTTGAATAAACTAAAATGAACAGCTTTGTATGAGTAAAAAAAAACATGGCTTTGTAGCTCAATGGACTAATTCCATGGATAGAGAACAGAATATCATTGGTTTGAATCTCACTGATGCCGTGCTACAATAAAAAATAAATGTGTTTGAATGCCTAAGCAAATTCATTTCCATTTGTCCTATCTGCTTGGAGTTCAAAAATAAGCTAGCAGTGTTATTAAAAGTCTTATTGAAACAGTCAGCGAAAGTTTTAAAGGAAGTTATTCAAAAACCTCCAAATAACCTATAATTTCCATTCTCAGAACGTTAATAAAAGCTCCCAGGAAAACTTTCAGGGAACCATAGTAAAACGTTATCAGAACATCCCTGCAACCTAAAAATGAAGGTTCCCTGAACAGGCAAAATGTTCACTTTGTTCTCAGAACATGTTTACTGTTCAGGAAAATAATGGCTTCGTTCCCAGAGTCAATGGGAAACCAAAAACGTACGTTTCCACAATTTCAAGGAACCAAATGTGCTAGCTGGGGTACTAAGTCCCAGCATCAGGACCGCTCCTGCCGTGGCATCAACTCCGTCTTGCTAGTTAGTGGCATGCATAACCACTCTTTTTTGATCTAACAACATTGACGTAACAAAATATAAAACATTATTTAAAGTACTGTGCATAATGCAATTAACTATAGACTGACATTTAAGTTATTCAAATACAATTGATGAGAATAATGCATCATGCCACTGACTATGCATCTTCCCATTCTACAAAACGTGAAAATGTAGCTAACGTATCGATTGAGATTCAGTGGTAGGCCTACTAGCACTGGCTAGTAGGGTAGCCCTATATTTTGCTACAGTGCTAAACAAAATCTCTAGAGTCGTGAGTTTCCAGTTGAGTGACATTCAGCTGACTGGCTGATTCAACAGCAATAATTGACCAGGCAGCAGACATTGTTGTAGTAGCCGCTCGATATGAGCATGCTGTTGATATCTTGCCAGTAGTATGTGTAGCTATCGTCATTGAGCTCGCCTACATAGAAACCGCACAATAGACCTCGCTACCACCGAAAACGACTAAAAATTGCGCACACTTACCCACGGATCTGTAGCCCAGGACGGCGATTTTTCGGGATTTCGGCTGCGGCATCTTTTAGCAGCGACACTACATCAATTTCGACTTACAAAAGGCCTACACAACTGATCAAAAACGGGAACAGGTCTCAAATGCTATGTTAAAAACGACAAGGACCAGAATTGCACCTGCAATTAGCTCGTTTTTTAAAACTATTTAGCGAAAAAGTAATCGCGCATCTGTATACTATACCTCACTCCCCGAAGAAATACTATCTGAATTATTCATGAATTCCCACTGTTGGTTGGTTGCGCTTACGCAGAAAGGAGGGTCTCTGTCCTCTTCTTGAGCTGCGGTTGGCTAAGGTGTATTCACTGTTTTTACAAGCACAAAATTCATTGGCTGTCAAAGATTACGACTGGAGAATCTGCTATCGATTCCGTTATGATGGCACTCTGACAGCAATTTCTGTAATGTAAAAACGATTCATTCTGAATATAATGAATAAATGTCAATACATTTTACTCGCGCATGATGTGTTATGAGTGTCACAACTAAATGCATCGAGGTTTGACTGCGTATGAACATATGCAGATCCTTCTGCGGGCACACATCATATTGGCCTTTTTAGAAATATATAGGTATCATATTTATTGACATTAATTTGCAATTCGAAACAAAGCAGTTCCAATCAGAAAGTCAGCAGCAGATGAGACTAGTTGGGCGCATAAATCTCACCTTGCATGGGTTAATTGACAATGGGTTTATAAAGGTTCTGGCCTCTGCTCTCATCTTGTGGTGACGTAGAGACTTGCAGTATCTTCACTTCATATTATGAGCAATATGATTCCATTCACTGTTACAGAATACAATGTTCCATTGAAACTGTAGAGCGCCACCAGCGAGGAGAGTGACTGACTATTGAGAATCTCCCATAATTATCCAAACGAGGCAGTGGAGTTAAATTAGGAAATGTTTGGTGAGGTCACATGCTGCTGCATGCTGGGTCTTGTAGTTTCTTGCCTCAATATATTTCTGCCATTGTACAAAGGGTATGGTCTTCACTACTAGTACTCTTCTGTATATATTTCAATCACACTCAAGTTGAATTTCATAGCACCTAACATGTACAAGCAAATGTCATAGCACCTAACATTTATGACCAAAATTCAATCAGATCAACATTTTAGTCATTTAGCAGACGCTCTTATCCAGAGCGACTTACAGTTAGTGAGTGCATACATTATTTTTAAATGTTTTATACTGGCCCCCCCGTGGGAATGAAACCCACAACCTTGGCGTTGCAAACACCATGCTCTACCAACTGAGCTACATCCCTGCCGGCCATTCCCTCCCCTACCCTGGGCCAATTGTGCGCCGCCCCATGGGTCTCCCGGTCGCGGCCGGCTACGACAGAGCCTGGATTCGAACCAGGATCTCTAGTGGCACTGCGATGCTGTGCCTTAGACCACTGCGATGCTGTGCCTTAGACCACTGTGCCACTCGGGACATATTCCATGGCATGCCTCAAAGCTCAACTTTAAAGGATCATTTCGGTATTTTACAACATAATGTTTATTACCCTGAAAGTAGTCTATGAGCCAGGATAAACTGTAATCCATGGCTCCGATTTCTTTAAACAGCCACTTCAAACTTCAGCCACTGCTAGCTAAAAATTGATTTGAGAATCAAATCTGCACAACACACAAACAAATATCAGTATGTATTTGCAAGTTTGAGTAGTTTTTTTCCCCCCATACAAGATAAATACAAGGCTTACAATACACCTGGTCAACATTATGTAGAGTCCAAAAAACAAGAACAATTATATGGCCCCCAAAAAACATGATTGTCACTCAATGTGCTTCACAAAAACAGTCAATGAATAAATAGTCTGTCCAACTTCAAATATTTACAATATTAACAATAATGATTGCAATTAATTAAGCTTTGGATCTGTTGACGTGACGAAAAGCTTGCGTGTGGACGGTGCAGGACGGCTTTTGTTTCCTCCTGCCAGCACCACGATACTAATAGCAACCGAAGCGATGGCAGCATAAACATGTAAGATTTCGCTTTCTTAATGCCGGTTCAACTTTAGCTATACATATTAAACCGCTTCACCATATTAACAAACACTGTAAAAAAACAACATCAACGGAAATGAAAAACATGGATTTAAAAAACCAACATATCATTACGCTTATCATTTACCCACAAAAAAGGAAATGACATTGATCATCCGTTGAGACTTAAAAGGGTAATAAACAGGAGAGCTTTTTTTGTTATAACAATAAAGAGGGTTGGGAGATGGTGACAATGGAATACATCAGTGTGAACTCCTGTTCAGGCGCTGTTCTGAGGGAGGGGGGAGGGATGAGGGTAAACACAGTAGCACTGTCTAATAGAGAGGAGAGGGGTTGGGGGGGTTACAGTAGCACTGTCTAATAGAGAGGAGAGGGGTTGGGGGGGGTACAGTAGCACTGTCTAGTAGAGAGGAGAGGGGTTGGGGGGGGGTTACAGTAGCACTGTCTAGTAGAGAGGAGAGGGGTTGGGGGGGGGGGGGGGGTTACAGTAGCACTGTCTAATAGAGAGGAGAGGGTTGGGGGGGTTACAGTAGCACGTCAGTGAGAGGAAGGGTTGGGGGGTTACATACACTGTCGTAGAGAGGAGAGGGGGTTGGGGGGGGGGGGGGGTTCGTGCACGTTAAAGGGGAGGAGAGGGGTTTGGGGGGGGGGGTTCAGTGCAGTCTAATAGGAGGAAGGGGGTTTTGGGGGGGGGGGTTTCAAAAAGCACGTCTAATAGAGGAGAGGGGGTTTGGGGGGGGACGAGCAGTCTAAAAAGAGGAGAGGGTTGGGGGGGGGGGGGGGTTTCAGAGCAGTCTAGTAAGAGGAGAGGGTTGGGGGTTACAGTACATGTCTAATAAAGGGAAGGGGTTGGGGGGGTTTTCATAGCACTGTTAATAAGAGGAGAGGGGTTGGGGGGGGGGTACGTAGCACTGTTAATAGAGAGGAGGGGTTGGGGGGGGGGGGGGTAAAAAGGGACTGTTAATAAGAGGGGAGGGGTTGGGGGGTTCAGTAGCACTGTCTAAAAGAAGGGGGAGGGGGGGGGGGGGGGGGGGGGTAAGTGCACTGGCTAATAGAGGAGGGGTTGGGGGGGGGAAGTAGCACGTCTAGTAAAAAGGGGGAGGGGGTTGGGGGGGGCTAGCCGTCAATAGAAGGGGGGGGTTGGGGGGGTTAAATAGCACGTCTAATAGAGAGGGGAGGGGTTGGGGGGTTTCAGTACACTGTCTGTAAAGGGGAGGGGGGTTGGGGGTTTACAGAGCATGTCTGTAGAGAGGAGAGGGGGGGTTGGGGGGGGTTACATACACTGTCTAAAAGAGGAGAGGGGTTGGGGGGTTACGTAGCATGTCTATAGAAGGGAAGGGGTTTGGGGGTTTTCAGTACATGTTAGTAAGAGGAAGGGTTGGGGGGGGTTCGTAGCACGTCTATAGAGAGGGAGGGGTTGGGGGGGGGGGGTTCATAGCACTGTCTAATAGAAGGAAGGGGTTGGGGGGGGACGTAGCACTGTCTAGTAAGGGGAGGGGGGTTGGGGGGGGGAAATAGCAATTTTCTTAAAGAGGAAGGGGGGGGGGGGGGTTACGTAGCCTGTCAATGAGAAAAGAGAGGAGAGGGGGTGGGGGGGTTTCAGTGCACTGTTAAAAAGAGGAGAGGGGGGTTGGGGGGGGGTACAGGCACTGTTAGTGAGGGGAGGGGTTGGGGGGGTTCCTCACTGTCAGAGAAGGAGAGGGGTTGGGGGGGGGGGTTACAGAGACGTCTAGTAGAGAGGAGAGGGGTTGGGGGGGGGTTTCAGTAGCCTGTTGTAGAAGGAGAGGGGGTTTGGGGGGGTTACAGAGCCTTCTAGTAGAGAGGGGAGGGGTTTTGGGGGGGGTACAGTACACTGTCTAATGGGGAGGGGAGGGTTTGGGGGGGGGTTTCAGTAGCATGTCAATGAGAGGGAAAGGGGGTTGGGGGGGGGGTTTCAGAGCACTTTAATTTAAAAAGGAAGGGGTTGGGGGGGTTACGTAGCACTGTCTAATAGAAGGAAGGGGTTGGGGGGGGTTTCGTCACTGTCTAATAGAGGGAGAGGGGTTGGGGGGGGGGGGGGGTTACATGCACTGTTAATAAGAGGAAGGGGTTGGGGGGGTTTTCAGTACACTGTCTATGAAGGAGAGGGGTTGGGGGGGGGGGTTCAGTACACTGTCTAATAAGAGGAGAGGGGTTGGGGGGGTTTCAGTACACGTCTAAAAGAGAGGAAGGGGTTGGGGGGGTTACAGTAGCACTGTCTAATAGAAGAGAAGGTTTTGGGGGTTTCGAGCAAATGTCTAATGAGAGAAGGGTTGGGGGGGGTTTCTAGCCTGTCTAGTAGAGAGGAGAGGGGTTGGGGGGGGGGGGGGGGTTACATCATGTCTGTAAGAGGAAGGGGGGGGGGGGGTTTTTCAGTAGCACGCTAAAAAGAGGAGAGGGGTTGGGGGGGTTCAGTACACGTCTAGAAGAGAGGGGGGGGGGGGGGTTACGAGCACTGTTAGTAGAAGGGGAGGGGTTTGGGGGGGGTACATGCACTTTTAATAGAGAGGAGAGGGGTTGGGGGGTTTTCGTACACTGTTAATAGGAAGGGGTTGGGGTTACAGTAGCACTGTCATAGAAGGAAGGGTTTGGGGGGGGTACAGTAGCACTTCATAGAGGGAAGGGGGTTGGGGGGGTTGTACACTGTCTAATAGAGAGGAAGGGGGGGTTGGGGGGGGTTTCGTAGCACTGTCTAATAAAAGGAAGGGGTTGGGGGGGTTTCAGGCACGCAGTAGAGAGAGAGGGGTTTTTGGGGGGGGACAGTAGCCTGTTAAAAGAGGGAAGGGTGGGGGTTACGTACACTGTCTAGTAAGAGGAAAAGGGGGGGGGGGGGGGAAGTAGACCTGAAAAAGAAGAGGGGGTTTGGGGGGTTACAAGCACGTTATAGAGAGGGAGGGGGGTTTTTGGGGTTACAGTAGCACTGTCTAGTGAGAGGGGGGGGGTTTGGGGGGGGGGGGCAGTAGCACTGTCTGTAGAGAGGGAGAGGGGGGGGGGGGGGGGTTACAGTAGCACTTCTAATAGAGAGGAGAGGGTTGGGGGGGGTTCAGTAGCACTGTCTAGTAGAGAGGAGAGGGGTTGGGGGGGGTTACAGTAGCACTGTCTATAGAGAGGGGGAGAGGGGTTGGGGGGGTTACAGTAGCACTGTCTAGTAGAGAGGAGAGGGGTTGGGGGGTTACAGTAGCACGTCTAGTAGAGAGGAGAGGGGTTGGGGGGGGGGGTTACAGTAGCACTGTCTAAATAGAGAGGAGAGGGGTTGGGGGGGTTACAGTAGCACTGTCTAATAGAGAGGAGAGGGGTGGGGGGGGGTTACAGTAGCACTGTCTAGTAGAGAGGAGAGGTTGGGGGGGTTACAGTAGCACTGTCTAATAGAGAGGAGAGGGGTTGGGGGGGGGTTACAGTAGCACTGTCTAATAGAGAGGAGAGGGGTTGGGGGGGTTACAGTACCACTGTCTAATAAGAGGGGAGAGGGGTGGGGGGGTTACAGTAGCACTGTCTAGTAGAGAGGAGAGGGGTTGGGGGGGGTTACAGTAGCACGTCTAATAGAGAGGAGAGGGGTTGGGGGGTGTACAGTAGCACTGTCTATAGAGAGGATAGGGGTTGGGGGGGTCCAGTACACGTCTAAAAAGGGAAGGGGGTTTGGGGGGGGTTACGTACACGTCAAAAGAGGGGGGGGGGTTGGGGGGGTTCGTAGCATGTCTAGAGAGAAGAGGGGTTTTGGGGGTTACAGTAAACAGTCTATAAGAGGAGGGGTTTTGGGGGGGGGGGGGTTACAGTAGCACGTCTAGTAGAAGGAGAGGGTTGGGGGGGGGTTCGTAGACTGTCTAAAAAGAGGAGAGGGGTTGGGGGTTTCAGTAGCACTGCTAGAAGAGGGGAAGGGGGTTGGGGGGGGTTTCAGTACACTTTTAATGGAGGAGAGGGGGGTTGGGGGGGGGTTTTTTCAGAGCACTGTTAGTAGAAGGAGGGGGTTGGGGGGGGGGGGGACAGTACACTGTCTAGAGAGAGGAAGGGTTGGGGGGGGTTACAGTAGCACTGTCTAGTAGGAGGAGAGGGTTGGGGGGGTTTCATAGCACTGTTATAGAAGGAAGGGGTTGGGGGGGTTACAGTAGCACTGTCTAATAGAGAGGAGAGGGGTTGGGGGGGGGTTACAGTAGCACTGTCTAATAGAGAGGAGAGGGGTTGGGGGGGGGGGGTTACAGTAGCACTGTCTAGTAGAGAGGAGAGGGGGTTGGGGGGGTTACAGTAGCACTGTCTAATAGAGAGGAGAGGGGTTGGGGGGGGGTTACGTAGCACTGTCTAATAGAGAGGAGGGGTTGGGGGGTTACAGTAGCACTGTCTAGTAGAGAGGAGAGGGGGTTGGGGGGGGTTACAGTAGCACTGTCTAATAGAGAGGAGAGGGGTTGGGGGGTTACAGTAGCACTGTCTAATAGAGAGGAGAGGGGTTGGGGGGGGTTACAGTAGCACTGTCTAGTAGAGAGGAGAGGGGTTGGGTGGGGTTACAGTAGCACTGTCTAATAGAGAGGAGAGGGGTTGGGGGGGTTACAGTAGCACTGTCTAGTAGAGAGAGAGGGGGTTGGGGGGGGGGGGGTACAGTAGCACTGTCTAAGTAGAGAGGAGAGGGGTTGGGGGGGTTACAGTAGCACATGTCTAGTAGAGAGAGAGGGGTTTGGTGGGGGTTACAGTAGCCACTGTCTAATAGAGAGGAGAGGGGTTGGGGGGGGGGGGGGGGGTACAGTAGCACTGTCTAGTAGAGAGGAGAGGGGTTGGGGGGGTTACAGTAGCACTGTCTAGTAGAGAGGAGAGGGGTTGGGGGGTTACAGTAGCACTGTCTAGTAGAGAGGAGAGGGGTTGGGGGGGGTTACAGTAGCACTGTCTAATAGAGAGGAGAGGGGTTGGGGGGTTACAGTAGCACTGTCTAATAGAGAGGAGAGGGGTTGGGGGTTACAGTAGCACTGTCTAGTAGAGAGGAGAGGGGTTGGGGGGTTACAGTAGCACTGTCTAGTAGAGAGGAGAGGGGTTGGGGGGGTTACAGTAGCACTGTCTAGTAGAGAGGAGAGGGGTTGGGGGGGGGTTACAGTAGCACTGTCTAATAGAGAGGAGAGGGGTTGGGGGGGGTTACAGTAGCACTGTCTAGTAGAGAGGAGAGGGGTTGGGGGGGGTTACAGTAGCACTGTCTAATAGAGAGGAGAGGGGTTGGGGGGGTTACAGTAGCACTGTCTAGTAGAGAGGCAGTGCAAATGCATCCGGTTGAAAACAACCACCCTCTTTCCTCCCCTCTTCTTAAATCCGTAGCGGTGCGATGGTACGACCCTGTCCTGTGCCCAGCGGAACACAGCAGTTCATTTCTGTCCTCCAGTAACCAACATTCACTCAGGTTTAAGAGACTCAGTCCAGGGAAGCTGTGAGGGCTGTGGTATGGGGGTAGGACCGATGGGGGGAGCAGCTTTCAGCCCAGCTAACCAGAATTCAAGTACTCCAGTGCCACCTCATAGCAGAACTTGTATTGATCCTGTGAATGAATGGTAAGAAGAGTACATAATCAATGACAGTTACTGGACTAGACATGGCTGAATTGACTTGGCCTTTAATTATTGCATTATAATGGCTGAGCGATTCACAATCACATTGTTATTATCTCCTTATTCAAAATGTAAACTGCAATTTTCTGGAGTTAAGTTCAATTGACTTTGGCAACACAACTTGTCGTATAAGTACCCATTAGCGTGTTGTAACTGTAGAATTTGTAGCAATGACCAGTGAACCACTATAAGGGTTTGGGTCTATATTCATAAATCGTCTCAGAGTAAGAGCGCTGATCTAGGACCCACCCCCCCCCGTCCATGTTATGTTATTCCTTATGATCTAAAAGAGAGAACTGATCCTAGATCAGCACTGGTTCTTACCAGTAAGTCGACCATGTTGGGTTTGTTGTTCCTCAGTGTTTTGACCGCGTGGAACACGTCGACCGAGCGCTGATGCCGGAGCATCTCGCACACGATGCTAATTGCACCGAACGTCCCGCTACGTCCTCCACCATTCCTGAGAGAGAGAAAGAAAATGAGGTAGGGTTGGATCATAGACCTAGATATTATATAAAGTCCATAAGAACCTGTCAGAATTGCAAAACGTTTCCACCCCCGAATTAAGTGTCCTTTGTCCAAGTTTTACAACATTATACCGGCTTTAAGTAATGTGTTACCTGAACAAAATGTAAGCTTCATGAATGAATAACATTATCAGTGTTGTATGGTGATTGGGACATGACATGTTTGACATAAAGCTTGGCCAAACTTCCCAACATCTCTTTCTGTGCTCGCTGTTTTGGATTTTGCCCTCTAGATGGCGCCACACTACTGCCAATCCACCACAACAAGAGGTGGCCAGGCCACCCGCTGATACTCAAGTGTGTGTGGAAATGGGTGAAAGTAAGGCGGTACGCCATATCGGTAAAACATGAGCCTATCAAAAATAATTTAAACAAAATGTCAAGAAAACTGTAGGCTATTACACCACTTTTTATCATTACCCCATGTCAGAGGCATGAATAATGAGCGAATAGACTTGCAAACGGGTGCTATAGCCTCCGCTCCAAAATGCGATGTGGTTTGACAAGAACACTGACATTTTGCTAAGGCAGAGATGAGTGGCCGACACTGACGCGTGCGGACAGCAGTGGATGCATAAATTCTGGCCAAATGACAATCGCCAAATGTCATTACACTTTTTAGTGTTTTGTGTAACATGTATTTTTTCATTCACCACTGTTTGGAGGCTGAAAATATGTTGTGAGTGGATGAACGTGCACGGTTAGCCTAGTAAAGGAGCCCTTTGAAGTGATTGTTTGACAATCAGATGAAAACATCATGACAGGTTGTGTTTATGCAACAATAAAAGGTAATAATAGTTCAATGACAAATCTTTACGACTAGACCCACAGAGATCCTATTGAATTAATAGGGATTATATATGTAATTCTATGATTAGGTCCATCAAATGTTTTGGTGCATAGGAGGTCCTGTACCGGGAATAAATTAATTTTACTTTCACCCCTGTGTGGAACATACAGCTGGCTCTCTAAGTAGTTAGTAAACTTCTCATGAAGAGCTGCTCTTCCTCAGAAACTCTCCAGGTTGGTCAACTTTACTGTCTGAAAAGCCGAAGAGCTTTTAAGAGTTGCAAGCTGAGAGTCACAAAATGTCACAAGAGGAAGCAGTTTGAGTTCAGTGTAGGGGAGAGTAGGGTAAGTTGAGCCATTTTGTACATTCAGCATCACTCCTTCAAGGGAAATATAGTATTCTTTCTAATTTGCTCAACTTGCCATTGGCTGAACTTACCCCGAGGCCATTGGCTCAACTTACCCCCGAGGCCATTGGCTCAACTTACCCCCGAGGCCATTGGCTCAACTTACCCCGAGGCCATTGGCTCAACTTACCCCGAGGCCATTGGCTCAACTTACCCCGAGGCCATTGGCTCAACTTACCCCGAGGCCATTGGCTCAACTTACCCCGAGGCCATTGGCTCAACTTACCCCACAGCCATTGGCTCAACTTACCCCACAGCCATTGGCTCAACTTACCCCAACTTACCCCACAGCCATTGGCTCAACTTACCCCAAGGCAAACATTTTGACTATATTATCCCACACAGCTACAAGGATGCATTTTCATGCTAGGTTTAGGACCTCATATAGACATTTACATTTGACATTTTTAGTCATTTATCAGACGCTCTTATCCAGAGCGACTTACAGTTAGTGAATACATATTTATTTTTTTATACTGGCCCCCCGTGGGAATCGAACCCACAACCCTGGCGTTGCAAACGCCATGCTCCATCAACTGAGCTACATCCCTGCCGGCCATTCCCTCCCCTACCCTGGACGACGCTGGGCCAATTGTGCGCCGCCCATGAGTCTCCCGGTCGTGGCCGGCTGCGACAGAGCCTGGATTCGAACCAGGATCTCAAGTGGCACAGTTAGCACTGCGATGCAGTGCCTTAGACCACTGCGCCACTCAGGAGTTAGAGACCCCAACTGATGTATAGAACAATCTTAAAACGATCTACTTTGGTTTAGATACAAGCATCATGAAACCTCTAACACAATAAATTCATTTGACTTTGTGAACAATCACTTTTTTGGACCTAAACTTGCTTATCACTTTTTTCATGTGGTGTCTTCCTTCACAGACTCAAATGAAATGATGGCCTCTTCCTAAATATTTGGTCAAACTAAACATTTTGTGTATGGTTTCCTAGAAACAAGGGTGGCTCAACTTACTGCCTTTTCTCAACTTACCCCACTCTCCCCTACGCATAAAACCGGTGTACTCCTCCTTCACAGGAGTCGCCTCTCTCAACTCAGGAGTTAACCTCTGTCAACCTCCACATTCCTCTGGCATTATACATAATTCCGGGGAATGTCCAGTCCCAAACGGCAGCCTATTTCCTATATAGTACACTACGGGGGGGTAATAGACAGTCAGATCAGGGGGATGGACACTTTTCTTTCTGACGTTTGTTTAGTGTGTGTGTTGTGTGGGCTGTTTGTCTCTGGTTAGTGTGTTTCGGCGCTTCAGCGCTTGTTTGTCAGCATCGTGTGTGTGCGCGCGCCTGTGTGTGACTGTGTGTGTGGGTTGCTCTGGTCGGGCGATTGGAATCTCTCCGGAGACTCTAACAATAAGAGTCACTTATGTTTTTTTTCTCCTGGACTCTCTGTCTTACAAAACGGACCAGTAACCCTGTTAAAGAGCACCAACCACAGAATACATCAACAAAGACCCTGTCATCCACACACACTGTCGTCCTCCTTCCCTCCACTTTCCAATCTCATTTCCCACACAACTAGGGCCTCTTCTCTCCTCCTCCTCTATCTCTCCCCTCCTCATCCCCCCATTTCTCTGAGTAAAGTGGGGCTGCTGAAGATAAGGAAGGGCAGATTGAGCGGAGGCAGAGACCCACCCAGAAGCCTCTCCCACTGGGGTTTTAAAAGCTAAATCTGGGCAGCATCGGGAACCACAAGCTCATTTTATTTGATTCTCTCCCTCTGGTAATTCAGCAACCTCTCTCCTCCATTTCTCCTATTTAGTAAGTGGAGATCACCTGGGACGGATTGCACATTTACATTCACACCGTGATGTCACACTGATTTGTCTGGTTAAAAAAGTAGACTTGGGCCAGACTAATGGGTCAAATATTGAGATAGATTGACAAACATTTTTGATCATTTTGAATTAAATATATACACACATACACATATACATATATATACATACACTGCTCAAAAAAATAAAGGGAACACTTAAACAACACAATGTAACTCCAAGTCAATCACACTTCTGTGAAATCAAACTGTCCACTTAGGAAGCAACACTGATTGACAATAAATTTCACATGCTGTTGTGCAAATGGAATAGACAACAGGTGGAAATTATAGGCAATTAGCAAGACACCCCCAATAAAGGACTGGTTTTGCAGGTGGTGACCACAGACCACTTCTCAGTTCCTATGCTTCCTGGCTGATGTTTTGGTCACTTTTGAATGCTGGCGGTGCTTTCACTCTAGTGGTAGCATGAGACGGAGTCTACAACCCACACAAGTGGCTCAGGTAGTGCAGCTCATCCAGGATGGCACATCAATGCGAGCTGTGGCAAGAAGGTTTGCTGTGTCTGTCAGCGTAGTGTCCAGAGCATGGAGGCGCTACCAGGAGACAGGCCAGTACATCAGGAGACGTGGAGGAGGCCGTAGGAGGGCAACAACCCAGCAGCAGGACTGCTACCTCTGCCTTTGTGCAAGGAGGAGCAGGAGGAGCACTGCCAGAGCCCTGCAAAATGACCTCCAGCAGGCCACAAATGTGCATGTGTCTGCTCAAACGGTCAGAAACAGACTCCATGAGGGTGGTATGAGGGCCCGACGTCCACAGGTGGGGGTTGTGCTTACAGCCCAACACCGTGCAGGACGTTTGGCATTTGCCAGAGAACACCAAGATTGGCAAATTTGCCACTGGCGCCCTGTGCTCTTCACACATGAAAGCAGGTTCACACTGAGCACGTGACAGACGTGACAGAGTCTGGAGACGCCGTGGAGAATGTTCTGCTGCCTGCAACATCCTCCAGCATGACCGGTTTGGCGGTGGGTCAGTCATGGTGTGGGGTGGCATTTCTTTGGGGGGCCGCACAGCCCTCCATGTGCTCGCCAGAGGTAGCCTGACTGCCATTAGGTACCGAGATGAGATCCTCAGACCCCTTGTGAGACCATATGCTGGTACGGTTGGCCCTGGGTTCCTCCTCATGCAAGACAATGCTAGACCTCATGTGGCTGGAGTGTGTCAGCAGTTCCTGCAAGAGGAAGGCATTGATGCTATGGACTGGCCCGCCCGTTCCCCAGACCTGAATCCAATTGAGCACATCTGGGACATCATGTCTCGCTCCATCCACCAACGCCACGTTGCACCACAGACTGTCCAGGAGTTGGCGGATGCTTTAGTCCAGGTCTGGGAGGAGATCCCTCAGGAGACCATCCGCCACCTCATCAGGAGCATTCCCAGGCGTTGTAGGGAGGTCATACAGGCACGTGGAGGCCACACACACTACTGAGCCTCATTTTGACTTGTTTTAAGGACATTACATCAAAGTTGGATCAGCCTGTAGTGTGGTTTTCCACTTTAATTTTGAGGGTGACTCCAAATCCAGACCTCCATGGGTTGATACATTTTGATTTCCATTGATAATTTTTGTGTGATTTTGTTGTCAGCACATTCAACTATGTAAAGAAAAAAGTATTTAATAAGATTATTTCATTCATTCAGATCTAGGATGTGTTATTTTAGTGTTCCCTTAATTGTTTTGAGCAGTATATATATACATACATACATACATACATACATACACTACCGTTCAAAAGTTTGGGGTCACTTAGAAATGTCCATTTATTTTGTCCATTAAAATAACATAAAATTGATCAGAAAAACAGTGTAGACATTGTTCATGTTGTTAATGGCTATTGTAGCTGGAAACGGCTGATTTTTAATGGAATATCTACATAGGCGTACAGAGGCCCATTATCAGCAACCATCAGTCCTGTGTTCCAATGGAACGTCGTGTTTGCTAATCCAAGTTTATTATTTTAAAAGGCTAATTGATCATTAGAAAACCTTTTTGCAATTATGTTAGCACAGCTGAAAACTGTTGTGCTGATTAAATAAGCAATAAAACTGGCCTTCTTGAGACTAGTTGAGTATCTGGAGCATCAGCAATTGTGGGTTCGATTACAGGCTCAAAATGGCCAGAAATAAATCATTTTCTTCTGAAACTCGTCAGTCTATTATTGTTCTGAGAAATGAAGGCTATTCCATGCGAGAAATTGCCAAGAAACTGAAGATCTCGTACAACGCTGTGTACTACTCCCTTCACAGAACAGCGCATATTGGAGAGGGAGGCCCCGGTGCACAACTGAGCAAGAGGCCAAATACATTAGAGTGTCTAGTTTGAGAAACAGACGCCTCACAGGTCCTCAACTGGCAGCATAATTAAATAGTGGTGTTTTGCAGGTACTATTTAATGAAGCTGCCAGTTGAGGACCTGTGAGGCGTCTGTTTCTCAAACTAGACACTAATGTATTTGGAATAGCCTTCATTTTTCAGAACTTGAATAGACTGACGAGTTCCAGAAGAAAGTTATTTGTTTTGGGCCATTTTGACACACACACACACACACACACACACACACACACACACATATATTCGAAGAATATGTTCATCCCCATTCCTAAGCTTTATAGCAAACCAAGAGGCAGGGCTGCTGTTTTGTTGTTTTTTCAAATTAAGAAGTGGGCCTTTAAATGGCGTTATGTTCATTATGGTTCATTATGATGACAGACAATGTTTGTGAGAGCACTGAGCATTGTCTGGTGGGCCTTCAGTATGTCACCCTTTACAGATGGCTGTCAGAAGGCAGGATGGAGAGACGCGAGGGCTACATCCTGATGGCTAGAGTGTAATTGATCACCATTAGAGGAGGACTGTGACATTTCACACTGTCCCATCAGAGTGGTCCAGTGTCACTATGATCCCGGTGGCATTTTGGGCAGCCATGTTGGACCAAAATTACCCATCTGATTGTTAGATCAAATACCCAAGATTCCCTTCTCTCTCCACCCATTCAGGAAGTACAGAGGTTATAGGCTGAGACATGACCGGTAGGTACTTACAGATAGGGCTACAAAGCTACCGGTCATTTACTAAAGTTACTGGATCTTCAGTCATTTTGGTAATTAACAGAAAATCTATGGCATTCTATCGTAACTTTGGTAATTCATACTTGAATAACTTTTTTTATTTGTATTATTGATTTATAGTAATTTTTTATACGTGTCTATATAGCCTAATTAATGAAAAAAAGCATCTAATCAACAATGGCATTATTTTCAATTAACTCTGCAACTCTTCCAACTGTTTACATTTTTCCCAACTACCACCAGTTTGATTCCAAAACATTGACAAATACATATTGACATAGTGAAATAAATAAAAGTGTGTAAAACATTTTTTGGAAAGATATTTCATGCTGGCATGCTCATATTAAACACCAATGGTATTCACTAAATTGATGGTTTATATTTAGGATAATGCTTTACAGCTTTGTCATTCTATTTAAAAATCATCTTATTTAATTATTTCATATATTTGACATGTGATAAGGCCACACAAAGGGCCAGAGATAATTACAGACACCTGTGATCATCTGAAGTATCCAAAAGGGCCACTAGATGTCTTGTGATAGATTACATTAAATCCTTGAAAGACACCATCATTCTGGTAGTTAACTGGTAAACTTAGAAAGTTTCCAGTAATATACCCACACTTTGGAACCCTACTTACAGACAGTGCACCACGGTACGTCCCTCTCCCCCGTCATACTCCTCCTGCCACTTGTCCACCTGGCGGATGAGCTTGAGGAAGGAGCGCTTGGAGACGGGGGTGTCCCGGTACATGGGCCAGCCCAGGAACTGGAACTGCTGCACCATGCGATACCCATCCTGCGGCTGGAGAGAGATATGTGGACATGTTAGCATGACCGTGTGTGAGAAAGCTGGAGAGTGTGTGTGTGCGTTCTGTCTCTTACCCGTGCAGCGTTGTAGATGCGGAATATCCTGCTGATGATGTCCTCCTCCAGGTCAGCTGACACAAACTCCACCTGGATGGGCCCGTGGCGGTGCATACCGTTCTCCGGCCAGTACTGGGGACACAGCTGCACACAAACACACACTTATTACACACACATTTTTAAAATGAGACATTGAATAAACAGAGAAGTTGCTGACAATTGACAGCTTCGCTTTTTGCAATGACAACTGAGGCGTTTCATCTGAGAGACGAGTTTGCATTGTTTGAGGCTTGAGGAACAACTACTTTTGAGGTGAGAAGTGAGAATTGCTAAGGCTAACAATTGAGAATGTCACATTGACTACTAGGGACTTCCTAAAATTGGATTCTGTATTACGAGCAAAACACTTTCTATTGAGCCTAATCCACAACAACAAATGAGATATAACACAATGACACAAACTAGGCCATTCCACCATAGCAGCGTACCCAGTTTGCCTTGCTACAGTCAGAATAGCGAATGAGATGCTACTGTAGCCACCCAGGGGGGCGGTGTTGCGGGGAAAAGCTGCCACACACTATTCTTTGATCCCTGCAACATTCTGACAGACAGGTCCCCAGGCTTGAGTGCCCAGAGTCCATTTGAGGCAGACCCCTTCCCCTCCTCTTTGAACGCTACTGGTATCTGCACTGGTCTGGTCTCCTTTCTATTGGAGGAATAACCAACTCCAGCCCTCAAGTGCCAATTGGACTTTTGGTAGTTGAACACACAACCAAAAACATTGCCCTCTGTTAAACTGCACTTTTGGACCATACACTTTGTTAAATTAAAAACAGAGTGCATTCGGAAAGTATTCAGACCCCTTGATTTTTTTCCACATTTTGTTACGTTACAGCCTTATTCTAAAATGGATTCAATAGTTTTTTTCCCCTCATCAATCTACAAAACATACCCCATAATGACTGAGCAAAAACAGGTTTTTAGAATCACTTTTACATAAGTATTCAGACCCTTTACTCAGTAATTTGTTGAAGCACCTTTAGCAGCAATTACAGCCTCAAGTCTTCTTGCGTATGACGCTACAAGCTTGGCTAACCTGTATGTGTGGAGTTTGTCACATTCTTCTCTGCATATCCTCTTAAGCTCTGTCAGGTTGGATGGGGAGGATTCCAGCACAGATATTTTGAGATCTCTCCAGAGATGTTCCATCGGGTTCAAGTCCAGGCTCTGGCTGGGCCACTCAAGGACATTCAGAGACTTGTCCCGAAGCCATGCATTGTCTTGGCTGTGTGCTTAGGGTCGTTGTCCTGTTGGAAGGTGAACCTTTGCCCCAGTCTGAGGTCCTGAGCGCTCCGGAGCAGGTTTTCATCAAGGATCTCTCTGTACTTTGCTCTGTTCATCTTTCCCTCGATCCTGACTAGTCTCCCAGTCCCTGCCGCTGAAAAACCTCCCCACAGCATGATGCTGCCACCACCATGCTTCACCGTAGGAATGGTACCAGGTTTCCTCCAGACATGACACTTGGCATTCAGGCCAAAGAGTTCAATCTTGGTTTCATCAGACCAGAGAATCTTGTTTCTCATGGTCTGAGAGTCCTTTAGGTGCCTTTGGTCAAACTCCAAGCGTGCTGTCATGTGCCTTTTACTGAGGAGTGGCTTCCGTCTGGCCACTCTATTATAAAGGCCTGATTGGTGGAGTGCTGCAGAGATGTTTGTCCTTCTGGAAGGTTCTCCCATCTCCACATAGGAACTCTGGAGCTCTGTCAGAGTGACTATCGTGTTCTTGCTCACCTCCCCGATCAAAACCCTTCTCCCCCGATTGCTCAGTTTGGCCAGGCGGCCAGCTCGTGGTTCCAAACTTCTTCCATTTCAGAATGATGGAGGCCACTGTGTTCTTGGTGGAGAATGCTGGAGAAATGTTTTGGTGCCCTTCCCCAGATATGTGCCTCGACACAATTCTGTCTCGGAGCTCTACGGACCATTGGAAACAGGTGCATCCTGTTTCCATTAGTGCTAGCCATCAAGCGAACGAAGCTGGTACCAGATGAGTTTTGCAATGGAGCCCTCTGTCTGGAGAACTAAATGAACGGTTCCAGCGCTGTATCTATTACGCTTTGTTTCCGGACAAACCGGATCACTCAGAGTTCCAATGCAGCAATTGTTTACATGCCAAGGATTATAGGCTTGAGGTGGCTTCCTTGATCACGCAGGTCGCCAGCCTACGTAAGAAACTGGGGAAAATGCAGAGTGGAATGTTTACATTTTCTACACCAGTGGCTGGATGGCGTTCGCGCTTGTGGATGCATCGTCGCCTTGTCGTTATCCGACTGGCCGGTATTGCCCGGAGCTCCCCCATCTGATATCGGAGACGAAGGAGCACAGCATGAGGAGAAAGGCAATCAACGATGGTCGCATGTCACGAGCCATGGAAGCCGAAGACAGCGACCTCCCGCAAAGCAGTCTACACTCCCAACGAGAGGCCCGGAGCAGATACAAACAACGAATAGTTTTGGCGTTCTGGAGCCTGATCTACCTGCACCTTAGTCGCTAGGGGTACCTGTGTCTGCGGCCGCAGTGCCTACTACCACGATTTCGAAGTCGGCAACCTTCCGTCCCTGCTCTGGATCGAGCGGGGCTTCTCCATCTGTCGGATGCCGGGAGCAACGGGCTCAAGTTATGCTGCTTCTCGCCCATCCATAAAGGGTTCTCAGAATCCTGTGACGCGTGAGAGTGGGCGGATTTCCTCGTCCTTCTCGCAAGCCCTGATTTTGGTCAGCTCCAATGTCCTATCCCGGAGCTCGAGTAAATGACATTACTAAGCTGCTCCTGAATGTACTACGTCAGGACATGGAAATCGATTATATCGTAGTCCATGTGGGTTTCAATGACATTATGAAGGGCAGCTCTGAACAGTTGAAACTGAAGAGCTGATTGACTCTCTGCTAGACGCTAACAAAAAAAACATCATATCTGGCCCTGTGCCCTCTCTGAATCTTGGCATTGAACGCTTTAGCAGGATTCTTGTTCTTCACAACTGGCTACGTGATTATTGCAGCTCAATGGGTGTATTTTTTGTTGACAATTTCGATAGCTTTTGGAAACAAAACACGTTTTATAAGGAGGATGGGATCCACCCAAATAATTAGGGTTCCTGGATCCTTTCACAGCATTATAAGGCTGCGTTGAGACAATGACTTATCAATGACCCAAGCCCAGCTCAGCTAATCCCTACCATTGTGACGCAGAGTTGTCATAATTCTTCAGCAAATGTACATTACACCAGGGGCGTCAGTAAACACAATATAAGTAACCTAATTTATGTCCCTCTAACTGCCCTGAATGCCTCTGCTGATGCAGTAATCATGTGCTTAAGAACCAGATTTATACTGTTAGCACTAAGCCGGTGTGCCCTTGGAGGAGGTCCACAATGTGCAGCTCACCTTGCACTAACATAAAGAACATGAGCACATCTACTGCTCCTAAGCTTCCCAGTAAAGCAATAAAAACAAGTAAGCATCCCAGAAGAAAAGTGCTCAAAATAGCCCACGTTAACATATATAGCTTAAGAAACAAGGTTCATGAAATCAATAATTTGCTAGTAACAGATGGCATTCATATTCTGACGATCTCTGAAACTCACTTTGAAAATACCTTTGATGATACAGTGGTAGCAATACAAGGTTATAACATTTACAGAAAAGATAGAAATGCCAATGGTGGAGGTGTTGCTGTTTATATATCAGAACCACATTCATGTGAAGATGAGAGAGGATCTCATGTTAAATACTGTTGAAGTAATATAAGTACTGTTGAAGTAATATAATGAGGGCGGCAGTTAGCTTAGTGGTTAAGAGCGTTGTGCCAGTAACCGAAAGGTCGACTGGTTCTAATCCCCAAGCCGACTAGGTGAAAAATCTGTCGATGTGCCCTTGAGCAAGGCACTTAACCCTAATTGCTCCTGTAAGTCGCTCTGGATAAGAGCGTCTGCTAAATAACCAATTATTATTATTATTATAATATGGCTACAGGTTCATCTGCCTCACCTAAAGCCCATTCTGTTGGGAAGCTGCTATAGATCACCAAGTGCTAACAGTCAGTATGTGGATAACGTGTGAAATGCTTGATAATGTATGTGATATCAATAGAGAGGTATGCTTTCTGGGTGATTTAAATATTGACTGGCTTTCATCAGGCTGCCCACTCAAGAGAAAGCTTCAAACTGTAACCAGTGCATGCAACCTGGTTCAGGTTATCAGTCAACCTACCAGGGTAGTTACAAACAGTACAGCAACTAAATCATCAACATGTATTGATCATATCTTAACTAATGCTGCAGAGATTTGTTTGAAATCAGTATTCAAATCCATTGGATGTAGTGATCACAATATAGTAGCCATATCTAGGAAAACCAAAGTTCCAAAGGCTGGGCCTACTATTGTGTATAAGAGGTCATACAATAAGTTTTGTAGTGATTCCTATGTTGTTGAGTTAATGTAAAGAATATATGTTGGTCCGTGGTGGGTAATGAGGAGCAAACAGACACTGCACTTGACAAATTTATGAAATTGCTTATTCCAGTTACTAATAAGCATGCACCCATTAAGAACATGACTGTAAAAACTGTTAAATCCCCGTGAATTGATGAGGAATTGAAAAATGGTATGGTTGAGCGGGATGAGGCAAAAGGAATGGCAAATAAGTCTGGCTGCACAACCAATTGGCAAACGTATTGCTAATTGAGAAATAGTGTGACTAAACTGAATAAAAAGAAGAAGAAACTACACTATGAAACAAATATAAATGACAAAGAATGATAGTAAAATGCTTTGGAGCACCTTAAATGAAATGTTGGGAAATAAGGCAAACTCAGCTCCATCATTCATTGAATCAGATGGCTCATTAATCACAAAACCAACTGATATTGCCAACTATTTTAATGATTTTTTCATTGACAAGATTAGCAAACTTAGGCATGAGATGCCAGCAACAATTGCTGACACTACACATCCAAGTATATCTGACCAAATTATGAAAGACAAGCATTGTAATTTTGAATTCCGTAAAGTTAGTGTGGAAGAGGTGAAATAATTATTGTTGTCTATCAACAATGACAAGCCACCGGGGTCTGACAAATTGGATGGAAAATTACTGAGGATAATAGCGGACGATATTGTCACTCCTATTTGCCATATTTTCAATTTAAGCCTACTAGAATGTGTGTGCCCCCAGGCTTGGAGGGCAGCAAAAGTCATTCCGCTACCTAAGAATAGTAAAGCCCCCTTTACTGGCTCAAATAGCCAATGAATTAGCCTGTTACCAACCCTTAGTAAACTATTGGAAAAAATTGTGTTTGACCAGATACAATGCTATTTTACAGTAAACAAATTGACAACAAACTTCCAGCATGCTTAAAGAGAAGGACATTCAACAAGCACAGCACTTACACAAATGACTGATGATTGGCTGAGAGAAATTGATGATAAAAAGATTGTGAGGGCTGTTTTGTTAGACTTCAGTGCAGCTTTTGACATTATCGATCATAGTCTGAAAAACATATGTGTTATGGCTTTACTCCACCTGCTATATTGTGGATACAGAGTTACCTGTAACAGAACATAGAGGGTGTTCTTTAATGGAAGCCTCTCCAAAATAACCCAGGTAGAATCAGGAATTCCCCAGGGCAGCTGTCTAGGCCCATTACTTTTTTCAATCTTTACTAATGACATGCCACTGGCTTTGAGTAAAGCCAGAGTGTCTATGTATGCGGATGACTCAACACTATACATGTCAGCTACTACAGCGACTGAAATGACTGCAACACTTAACAAAGAGTTGCAGTTAGTTTCAGAGTGGGAGGCAAGGAATAAGTTAGTCCTAAATATTTCTAAAACTAAAAGCATTGTATTTGGGACAAATCATTCACTAAACATCAACTAAATCTTGTAATAAATAACTGGAAATTGAGCAAGTTGAGGTGACTAAACTGCTTGGAGTAACCCTGGATTGTAAACTGTCATGGTCAAAACATATTGATACAACAGTAGCTAAGATGGGGAGAAGTATGTCCATAATAAAGCGCTCTCCCTTCTTAACAGCACTATCAACAAGGCAGGTCCTACAGGCCCTAGATTTGTCACACCTGGACTACTGTTCAGTCGTTTGGTCAGGTGCCACAAAAAAAGGACTTGCACTTGGCTCAGAACAGGGCAGCACGGCTGGCCCTTGGATGTACACAGAGAGCTAATATTAATAATATGCATGTCAATCTCTCCTGGCTCAAAGTGGAGGAGAGATTGACTTCATCACTGCTTGTATTTATGAGAGGTATTGACATGTTGAATGCACTGAGCTGTCTGTTTGAACTACTGGCGCACAATTCGGACACCCATGCATACCCCAAAAGACATGCCACCAGAGGTCTCTTCACAGTCCCCAAGTCCAGAACAGACTATGGGAGGCACACAGTACTACATAGAGCCATGACTACATGGAACTCTATTCCACATCAAGTCACTGATGCAAGTAGTAAAATTTGATTTGAAAAACAGATTTAAAAAAACCTTATGGAACAGCAGGGACTGTGAAGGAACACAAACATAGGCACAGACACATGCATACACACACACACGATAACATACGCACTATACACACACGTACTAATGGATTTTGTACTGTAGATATGTGGTAGTGGTGGAGTAGGTGCCTGAGGGCACACTGTGTTGTGAAATCTGTGAATGTATTGTAATGTTTTTAAAATTGTATGAACTGCCTTATTTTTGCTGGACCCCAGGAAGAGCTAATGGGGATCCATAATAAATACAAATACAAATACCTGAGCTCAATTTCGAGTCTCATAGCAAAGGGTCTGAATACTTATGTAAAAACCTGGTTTTGCTTTGTCATTATGGGGTACTGTGTGTAGATTGATGAGGATTTTTTTTTCTAATCCATTTTAGAATAAGGCTGTAACGTAACAAAATGTGGAAAAGTCAAGTGGTCTGAATACTTTCCGAATGCACTGTACGTTTTTATAGACCTCAGAGTCTGGAAGGTCTGTCTTTGATGGTATGGTAAAGGATGGCATGGCTGATTCACATGGTTAGGATTGAGTTGACTGGCCTCTCTTACCTGCGCTGGGTCTACATCGTTGAGCATCACTATGGAGGTGCAGTGGTAGTCCAGCACCAGCCTCCAGAAGTCTTTGACCGTGTTGGGCAAGGGGTGCTGGGTGACGATAAACGCTGACGGCTGCTTGTAGCTCTGTGGAGGAAGAAGAGGAGGAAGTCTGTCTACTAGAATAGTTGTATTCTGAAAAAGGTTCCAAAGATATTGCACACGTCGTCAGACTCTTGGGGTCATAATGAGGTAAAATCTCCAGTTCACGATACTGTCTGTTCTTTGAGGAGTCATCTACAGGAAACGTATTTCATTCGTTCCAGATATTTATGTGTATTCTAAATGAATTCCACTATCAACACTGCTACCACATTGTATAGTCATATCTGCTGCCATGGTAACCAATGAGTATAATTGATTACACTTTATTTTCATAAAACCAATCCAAATAGTCATATTGCTATGTTCGACAAAAAAACAGATTGCAATTCTTTTGGTTAGGTTATTTCCATGACGATGGGACGAATCAATCCAAAGCCATCTGTTCTTAATCATTTTCAATAAGCACATAATTGTTGGTGGAAGCATTGAGAAAAAGCAATAGACATTCATCAACATGATACACTGACAGTCCCCTTACTGTTTACGTTTGGCTTGGCTGGAAAATGGCTGGCTAAGGAACGTGGGGTGATTATTATAGAGATGGATGGGCAATTTACCCACCAGTTATTTAACCACAAAATACCCCAGGACTGCTGAGTCACCAAATCTGATCTCCCTCTGGCTCTCTCTCTCTCTCTCTCCGGCTCCCTCTCACTGTCACTGTCTCTCTCTCAAATTCACTGTCTCTCTCTCTCTCTCTCTCTCTCTCTCACTGTCTCACTGTCTCTCTCTCACACTCACTCACTGTCTCTCTCTCACACTGTCTCACTGTCTTCTCACTCACTCACTGTCTCTCTCACACACTCACTGTCTCTCTCTCACACTCACTGTCTCTCTCTCACACTCACTGTCTCTCTCTCACACTCACTGTCTCTCTCTCACACTCACTGTCTCTCTCTCACACTCACTGTCTCTCTCTCACACTCACTGTCTCTCACTGTCTCTCTCTCTCACTGTCACTGTCTCTCTCTCACTGTCACTGTCTCTCTCCTATTGTCACTTTCTCTCACAATCACACTCACTGTCTCTCACAATCACACTCACTGTCTCTCACAACTACTCTCACTGTCTCTCACAACTACTCTCACTGTCTCTCACAGTCTGTCTCACTCTCTGTACCTCTCTCCCTCTCGCTCTCTCCCGCTGTCTGTCTCTGTCACTCTCGCTGTCTGTCTCTGACACTCTCGCTGTCTGTCTCTGACACTCTCGCTGTCTGTCTCTGACACTCTCGCTGTCTGTCTCTGTCACCCTCTCACTCTCTGTGCCCCTCTGTCCCTCACTCTCTGTGCCCCTCTGTCCCTCTCTCTCTGTGCCCCTCTGTCCCTCTCTCTCTGTGCCCCTCTGTCCCTCTCTCTCCCGCTCTCTCCCTCTGTCCCGCTCTCTCCCTCTGTCCCGCTCTCTCCCTCTGTCCCGCTCTCTCCCTCTGTCCCGCTCTCTCCCTCTGTCCCGCTCTCTCCCTCTCTGTCCTCCTCTCCCTCTCTGTCCCCCTCTCCGTCCTCCTCTCCCCATCCCTGTCTCTCCATCCTGCTCAAAGTGCCAAATCTGCCCTATATGTAGATTACTGACTGAACACTGACCAATCTACATCATCATATTTCACCACACTGACCAATCTACATCATCATATTTCACCACACTAACCAATCTACTTCATCATATTTCACCACACTAACCAATCTACATCATCATATTTCATCACACTGACCAATCTACATCATCATATTTCACCACACTGACCAATCTACATCATCATATTTCGTCACACTGACCAAGCTACATCATCATATTTCATCACACTGACCAATCTACATCATCATATTTCATCACACTGACCAATCTACATCATCATATTTCATCACACTGACCAATCTACATCATCATATTTCACCACACTGACCAATCTACATCATCATATTTCACCACACTGACCAATCTACATCATCATATTTCATCACACTGATAAAAAAAATACCAGTTTTACGATCAACTTTTTCAGCAGTACATTCACATCCAATGACTTACACACGGACTGACATTGCAAGTAATTTAAAAAGGTTACGAGCGAACGTGCACAAGTTCATGTATGAGTGTGTATGTGTTTGTGTGTGTGTGCCTGTGTGTGTGTGTGTGTGCGTGTGTGTGCCTGTGTGTGTGCCTGTGTGCGTGTGTGTGCCTGTGTGTGTGTCTGTGTGTGTGTGTGTGTGTGTGTGTGTGTGTGTGCCTGTGTGTGTTTGTGTGTGAAACGTACGTCCATGAGGGCAGCGTTAATGTAGTTGGAGCTCTCTCCATCGATGGTGATGAGGAACGGCAGACAGCGGTCGGGCGGTAGGACGTCCATGCAGCGGTTCTTCTCGTGGTTCCTGGGGAGCAGGGCGATACTGCAGTCCTCCACACGTAATGTAGGAGTCACCATGTTCAGAGTCTGGAGGGAGGGAGGGGGGATCTGAGCCTGGTAGACACACTCCAAGGCATGCATGTACACTAATATACAATATACGCACACACGCTGAACAACGCATGCACGCACGTACGCTGAACAACGCATGCACGCACGTACGCTGAACAACGCATGCACGCACGTACGCTGAACAACGCATGCACGCACGTACGCTGAACAACGCACGCACGTACGCTGAACAACGCACGCACGTACGCTGAACAACGCACGCACGCACGCTGAACAACGCATGCACGCAAGTACGCTGAACAACGCATGCACGCACGTACGTTGAACAACGCACGCACGTTGAACAACGCACGCACGTACGCTGAACAACGCATGCACGCACGCACGCTGAACAACGCATGCACGCACGTACGCTGAACAACGCATGCACGCACGTACGCTGAACAACGCACGCACGCTGAACAACGCATGCACGCACGTAGGCTGAACAATGCACGCACGCACGCTGAACAACGCATGCACGCACGTACGCTGAACAACACATGCACGCAGGCAGACACAAGCACACACCACATACCCTGAACTCCTCTTTGATCTGGCTGGAGTTGGTCTGGGGATCCAGGCGGTTCATGTCATAGTAGACCGATCGCAGCTGGTTGGCTGGGATGGTGGTGTCCCCACACAGACACGCCTCTAAGATGGCGTCGTGGATGAACACGTACTGCTCCTGTACGACACAGAGGGGTGCACAGGATATCGTGAGTGACAGACAGCCATGCTACACAGGAAGGACTCACATCGCCATTAAAGTCCAGGTAGTGAACACAGGTAACTCGCAAAGATCTGTCTGAAAGACGACCAAACAACAGTGATGACTGACTCTAGCGTATGTACGGGATTCGCTTGGTATACATCATCCAACTAAATGGTTACTTGCAGGTTCCTTCTCTACAATGCAACAACAATAAGAAATGATAAAAGATAAGAACATGCAAGTTCTCCCACTTAAAATGATAAGAGAGGCCTGTAATTTTCATCATAGGTACACGTCAACTATGTCAGACAAAATGATAATTTTTTTTCCAGAAAATCACATTGTAGGATTTTTTATGAATTTATTTGCAAATTATGGTGGAAAATAAGTATTTGGTCAATAACAAAAGTTTCCCATCCTTTTTTATTTTCCCTTTGTTGGCAATGACACAGGTCAAACGTTTTCTGTAAGTCTTCACAAGGTTTTCACACACTGTTGCTGGTATTTTGGCCCATTCCTCCATGCAGATGTCCTCTTAGAGCAGTGATGTTTTGGGGCTGTCGCTGGGCAACACAGACTTTCAACTCCCTCCAAAGATTTTCTATGGGGTTGAAATCTGGAGACTGGCTAGGCCACTCCAGGACCTTGAAATGCTTCACTCCTTCGTTGCCCGGGCGGTGTGTTTGGGATCATTGTCATGCTGAAAGACCCAGCCACGTTTCATCTTCAATGCCCTTGCTGATGGAAGGAGTTTTTCACTCAAAATCTCACGATACATGGCCCCATTCATTCTTTCCTTTACACGGATCAGTCGTCATGGTCCCTTTGCAGAAAAACAGCCCCAAAGCATGCTGTTTCCACCCCCCATGCTTCACAGTAGGTATGGTGTTCTTTGGATGCAACTCAGCATTCTTTGTCCTCCAAACACGACGAGTTGAGTTTTTACCAAAAGTTATATTTTGGTTTCATCTGACCATATGACATTATCCCAATCCTCTTCTGGATCATCCAAATGCACTCTAGCAAACTTCAGACGGGCCTGGACATGTACTGGCTTAAGCAGGGGGACACGTCTGGCACTGCAGGATTTGAGTCCCTGGCGGCGTAGTGTGTTACTGATGGTAAGCTTTGTTACTTTGGTCCCAGCTCTCTGCAGGTCATTCACTAGGTCCCCCCGTGTGGTTCTGGGATTTTTGCTCACCGTTCTTGTGATCATTTTGACCCCACGGGGTGAGATCTTGCGTGGACCCCAGATCGAGGGAGATTATCAGTGGTCTTGCATGTCTTCCATTTCCTAATAATTGCTCCCACAGTTGATTTTTTCAAACCAAGCTGCTTACCTATTGCAGATTCAGTCTTCCCAGCCTGGTGCAGGTCTACAATTTTGTTTCTCGTGTCCTTTGACAGCTCTTTGGATTGTGACTGTTTGAGGTTGTGGACAGGTGTCTTTTATACTGATAACAAGTTCAAACAGGTGCCATTAATACAGGTAATGAGTGGAGGACAGAGGAGCCTCTTAAAGAAGAAGTTCTGTGAGAGCCAGAAATCTTGCTTGTTTGTAGGTGACCAAATACTTATTTTCCACCATAATTTGCAAATAAATTCATAAAAAATCCTACAATGTGATTTTCTGGATTTTTTTCTCAATTTGTCTGTCATAGTTGACGTGTACCTATGATGAAAATTACAGGCCTCTCTCATCTTTTTAAGTGGGAGAACTTGCACAATTGGTGGCTGACTAAATACTTTTTTTCCCCACTGTATGAGCGTTTCCTAAGACTGATGCTGCATCCCAAATGGCACCGTATTCCCTAAGTAGTGCACTACCTTTGACCAAAGCCCATAGGGTGTCATTTGTTTTGTGTCGCCTCCACAGTGACCACTCCCATTGACCTCTCCTCTGTCAATACTACCACACTCACTCTCTCTTTCCGTCTCCCTCTCCCGCTCTTCTTGTCAGGGAAAAAGGCCCCAGGCTTGACGTAAATCATTTATGAAATGACATTTCAGAAACGTCTCGACTTGGCAGTGGAGGGTCAGTGTTTTCAGGTTAGGCGACTGTGACGTCACCCTCTTGTCCTTGGATGTGGAGTTGGAGGTGAAAGGGATTTGCAGGCCATACAGTTGTCATCAAAATACAGTGAACTACTATGATAAGACACGAACTGGCCTTTTGTGTACTGGGGAGAAGAATGTCATTTCTACGATACTGTATGTCCCTCCAAGAAAACTATTGTAATAGCTTTTCAGCTATACATTTTTCAGTTTATATATATTAAAATAATGTCACGGAAATTAATCAAACAATGAAAAACGAATTCATACTTGCATACATAATTTTTTTTCCTAATGACCTACCACTAGCGTTGAGTAAAGCCAGTGTGTCTATGTACACTGATGACTCAACACTATACACGTCAGCTACCACAACAAGTGGAAGTACTGCAACACTTACAGAGCTCCAGTCAGTTTTAGAATGGGTGGCAAGTAATAAGCTAGTTCTAAATATATAAAAAACTAAAAGTATTGTATTTGGGACAAATCATTCGCTAAACCCTAAACCGCATCTAAAGCTTTATTTTATTTGACAATTTAAAATACATAAAAATGTTACACCAGGCAACAGATATATATACCAACACTACCGAGGATTATATACACAAAAAAGTAAAAAGACTTGTTTCAATTGTGGTCCTGTGTGTTTTGGTTCGAGCGAGGACAATGTCATTCTTACCTCTGTCTGGACCATGTTAACCCTTCGTGAGCGCAGCTCTCTCACACAGTTGTAGATGTCGACCACACCCTCTCTGTCCGCCATGTCGAGCATGATGTCAATCACGATGAAACAGCCAGTCCTGCCCGCCCCCGCACTGAGAACACACACACACCCACACAGCGTGAGAACCAGAGCACATGTGGGAGACACACACACTTCATGGCAAAGCCCTGGCTGCCAAAATATCTGGGACTATTTGTATGGAAAACAGTTATGGGTGTGACTGACAATAGCAGCTCGGCTTATTTAGTGTGGCTGACAATAGCAGCTCCACTTTATTTAGTGTGGCTGACAATAGCAGCTCCACTTTATTTAGTGTGGCTGACAATAGAAGCTCCATTTTATTTAGTGTGGCTGACAATAGAAGCTCCATTTTATTTAGCGTGGCTGACAATAGCAGCTCCACTTTATTTAGTGTGGCTGACAATAGAAGCTCCATTTTATTTAGTGTGGCTGACAATAGAGGCTCCATTTTATTTAGTGTGGCTGACAATAGAAGCTCCATTTTATTTAGTGTGGCTGACAATAGAAGCTCCACTTTATTTAGTATGGCTGACAATAGCAGCTCCATTTTATTTAGTGTGGCTGACAATAGCAGCTCCACTTTATTTAGTGTGGCTGAAAATAGAAGACGCACTTCATTTAGTGTGGCTGTTGACTTCATATTAGTATCCATTAGGAATGTCTTTCTGAGTCATACCAGATGGAGGGGGGAGAGAGAGAGAGTGTAAAAGAGACAGAAAAAGAGGAACAGATCCATACAACCAGCCAGCCAGCAAACCAGCCAACCAACCAGCCAGCCAACCAGCCAGCCAGCCAACCAGCCAGCCAACCAGCCAGCCAGCCAACCAGGCAGCCAGCCAACCAACCAACCAACCAGCGTGTGTGTAAGTGTGTCTGACCTGCAGTGGACCACCATGGGCCCGGCATTGGCGGGGCTCTTGGACTTCACCCTGCGTACGAAGCCCAGCAGGCCGGTGGCATGGTAGGGGACCCCGTGGTCTGGCCAGCCCGTGAAGTGGAATTGACGGATCTCCCGGATCTCATGGGCTCCCCTCTGGAGAGAGAAGACAGACACAGTTGAATACAGGATAATGGCGTCGTTTTACAGGCTCCTAACCAACTGTGCTATTTTGTTTGTTTTTTTTCGCGTTGTTTGTAACTTGTTTTTTAACTTATTGTGTACATAATGTTGCTGCTACTGTCTCTTATTACCGAAAATAACTTCTGGACATCAGAACAGCGATTACTCACCTCGCACTGGACAAAGATTGTTTCTTTAATGAGTCTGACGCGAAGGATATACTGCTTTCTCAGGAACGGGCCCAAATCCCTGTCATTTGCGTGAAGAAAAGACGGAGAAAAAGGGGGCGGAGGTCGGGCTGCCTTCTGAGAATTCGTAGGCGAGTGAGTAAACCTCTACTACCATCTGTTCTATTGGCCAACGTGCAATCATTGGTATGGATGATCTACGATTAAGAATATCCTACCAACGGGACATTAAAAACTGTAATATCTTATGTTTCACTGAGACGTGTCTGAACGCCTACACGGATAACATAGAGCTGGCGGGATTTTCCATGCATGGGCAGGACAGAGAAGCTGGTCTGGTAAGACGAGGGGCGGGGGTGTGTGTCTATTTGTCAATAACAGCTGGTGCGCGATGTCTAATATTAAATGGGCGGCAGGTAGCTTAGTGGTTAAGAGCGTTGTGCCCAATAACCGAAAGGTCGCTGGTTCTAATCCCCGAGCAGACTACATGAAAAATCTGTCGATGTGCCCTTGAGCAAGGCACTTAACCCTAATTGCTCCTGTATGTCGCTCTGGATAAGAGCGTCTGCTAAATGACTAAAATGTAAAATGTAATTAAAGAAGTCTTGAGGCATTGCTCGCCTGAGGTAGAGTACCTCATGATAAACTATAGACCACACTATCTACCAAGAGAGTTCTCATCTATATTATTCGTAGCCGTCTATTTACCAACCACAAACCGATGCTGGCACTAAGACCGCACTCAACGAGCTGAATAAGGCCATAAGCAAACAAGAAAATGTTCATCCAGAAGCGGCACTCCTGGAGGCCGGGGACTTTAATGCAGACCACCTTTACTCCACACACAGAGACTCATACAAAGCTCTCCCTCGCCCTCCATTTGGCAAATCTGACCATAATTCTATCCTCCTGATTCCTGCTTACAAGCAAAAACTAAAGCTGGAAGTACCAGTGACTTGCTCAATACAGAAGAGGTCAGATGACGCGGATGCTACGCTACAGGACTGTTTTGCTAGAACAGACTGGAATATGTTCCGGGATTCTTCCGATAGCATTGAGGAGTACACCACCTCATTCACCGGCTTCATCAATAAGTGCATCGACAACATTCTCCCCACAGTGACCGTACGTACACATCCCAACCAGAAGCCATGGATTACAGGCAAAATCCGCATCGAGCTAAAGGCTAGAGCTGCCGCTTTCAAGGAGCGTGACACTAATCCGCACGCTTATAAGAAATCCCGCTACGCCCTCAGATGAACCATCAAACAGGCAAAGCGTCAATACAGGATTAAGATTGAATCCTACTACACCGGCTCTGACGCTCGTCAGATGTGGCAGTCATTGAAAACTATTACGGACTACAAAAGGGAAACCCAGCCGCGAGCTGCCCAGTGATGTGAGCCTACCAGATGAGCTAAATGCCTTTTATGCTCGCTTCGAGGCAAGCAAAACTGAAGCATGCATGAGAGCACCAGCTGTTCTGGACGACTGTGTGATAACGCTCTCGGTAGCCGATGTGAGCAAGACCTTTAAACAGGTCAACATTCACAAAGCCGGGGGGCCAGACGGATTACCAGGACGTGTTCTCAAAGCATGTGCGGACCAATTGGTAAGTGTCTTCACTGATATTTTCAACCTCTCCCTGACCGAGTCTGTAATACCTACATGTTTCAAGCAGACCACCATAGTCCCTGTTGTGGCAAATTCGTCCTTATACTGATTAAAGAACAAAAGTATTTCCAGAGTTTTTGTAGAATTAAGATATACTTTATTACAATAGACAAAGCATCTCTTTCCACCTCCCAGCTCTCAGTTTATATAGGAATTTTACATACATTTTAGCTTAACCCCTCCCTCTTTGGTTCCACCACCACTGGCTCCAGTTTTCACCTCTTGACCGCTCCGCCCACTTCCTTAGTTTATGACTTCTCCTCCTTCTATGTATTCCGTTTGGAAACAATGGTGGTGTGACCAATCAAGCTTTGTCATGCACAAATAACAGCCCTGTCATGTAAAAAATTATAATGTTCAGTTTGAACTTTGTTCAACCCTGGCTCACCCTGGCTTGACCTGGAGATTGATTGTGGACATGGCAGGTCCACAATCAATCTCTCAAATATACCCAAGCCTAACGCCTCTGTCCCACCCCGTCACTCTGCAATCTAATCAGGAAGACGCTCAAGGAGAGACAAAGGGTTCAGCTTGCTTTCAGTCACTGATAAGACAACTGTAGAATTTGACCAGAAGACAGGTCAGATGCCTATTTCATCACACACACACATAAACCCAGTGAGAGGAACAAATTAAGTTCTTGCCTAGCAACAGAGATGTACCAATGTAAAAATTCATATCATTGTAAAAATCCACATCACTGTGCCCAAGGAAGCGAAAGTAACCTGCCTAAATGATTACTCACGTCGGTAGCCATGAAGTGCTTTGAAAGTCATGGCTCACATCAACAGCATCATCCCGGACACCCTAGACCCACTCCAATTCGCATATCGCAGATCCACAGATGACACAATCTCAATCGCACACCACACTGCCCTTTCCCACCTGGACAAAAGGAACACCTATGTGAGAATGCTGTTCATTGACTACTGCTCAGCGTTCAACACCATGGTGCCCACAAAGCTCATCAATAAGCTAAGGACCCTGGGACTAAACACCTCCCTCTGCAACTGGATCCTGGACTTCCTGACGGGCCACCCCCAGGTGGTAAGGGTAGGGAAAAACACATCTGCCATGCTGATCCTCAACACTGGGGCCCCTCAGGGGTGCATGCTTAGTCCCCTCCTGTATTCCCTGTTCACCAATGACTGCGTGGCCAAACATGACTCCAACACCATCATTAAGTTTGCTGACGACACAACAGTGGTAGGCCTGATCACAGACAACGATGAGACAGCCTATAGGGAGGAGGTCAGAGACCTGGCAGTGTGGTGCCAGGACAACAACCTCTCCCTCAATGTGAGCAAGACAAAGGAGCTGATCGTGGACTACAGGAAAAGGCGGGCCGAACAGGCCCACATTAACATCGACTGGGCTGTAGTGGAGCGGGTCAAGAGTTTCAAGTTCCTTTGTGTCCACATCACCAACAAACTATCATGTTCAAAACACACCAAGACAGTCATGAAGAGGTTCACGACAACACCTTTTCCCCCCCAGGAGACTGAAAAGATTTGGCATGGATCCCCAGATCCTCAAAAAGTTCTACAGCTGCACCATCAAGAACATCCTGACCGGTTGCATCACCGCCTGGTATGGCAACTGCTTGGCATCCGACCGTAAGGCGCTACAGAGGGTAGTATGACCCAGTACATCACTGGGGCCAAGCTTCCTGCCATCCAGGACCTATATACTAGGCGGTGTCAGAGGAAAGCCCAAAAAACTGTCAAAGTCATAGACTGTTCTCACTGCTACCGCACGGCAAGCGGTACCGGAGCGCCAAGTCTAGGACCAAAAGGCTCCTTAACAGCTTCTACCCCCAAGCCATAAGACTTCTGAACAATTAATAAAATGGCCACCTGGCCTATTTACATTGCTGCTACACGCTGTCTATTAACTATGCATAGTCACTTTACCCCTACCTACATGTACAAATTACCTCGACTAACCTGTACCCCCGCACATTGACTCGGTACCGGTACCCCCTGTATATAGTCTCATTATTGTTATTTAATTGTGTTACTTTTTTATAATTTTTTACTTTAGTTTATTTGGTTAATATTTTCTTAACTCTTTCTTGAACTGCATTGTTGGTTAAGGGCTTGTAAGTAAGCATTTGACGGTAAGGTCTACACCTGTTGTATTTGGCGCATGTGACAAATAAAGTTTGATTTGATTTGATTTGGATTCACAAGTACCAAACAGTTTAGAGGTCATAAAGATGCTTGGACTTGTGACACACACCCATGTACACGCACGCACCAGGCATGCACACAGAGGATGTCTAACAATGAGACCTGCAGCTGTCTACCCACTCCCCATACAGACCCATCTCTCTCCCTCCCTCCCTCCCAAGTAGCATTTTGATCTTGTTCTTGAGCAGAACAGGGAGACAGGGACACTGATGACAAAGCCCATCTCTGGGGGGATGGAAACAGGAGAAGAACAGCTGGAGAACACTGATGATTCACACACACACACACACACAGCGAGCAGGCTGAATACAGACGGCAGGGACGGACACCCATCAGAGCCTTGAGCACACACAAACACCACACAAACGGCAGGGGAAATATTCACAGCCCAGGGGAATAGAAGTGGAGAGACCTGGTAGCAGCCTGGAGTAAAGTAGGAGAGGCCTGGTAGCAGCCTGGGGTAAAGTAGGAGAGGCCTGGTAGCAGCCTGGAGTACAGTAGTATGAGAAACACTAAAAATGGTTCCAGACAGACACGCATTCTTAAAGACAGACGGACCTATTACGGAGGACGCCGCTAAGAACACTCAGTAAAGTAGTTGGAAGTTGCCTAGGTGGGTGCAAGGAGTAAGACACCCCGAGTACAATGTGACGATCTGTCAAACCTAGTGACAGGAACTATACACAATACATGCTAAACACTAGACTATAATACAATACAATGAATGACTTCCATTATCATGATCACTTGGAGTGTCCCTACCTTTTCCACAGCGAAGGTCCTGATGACGTACTCTGATAGCAGCTGGGTCTCGATGAGGGTCACTTTCATGTCCCTGTAGATCTCAGTGTCGTCTGGCCAGTACTTACAGCACTTCACCTGAGGGGACACAGGGGACACAGGGTGTAACGGGATGAACTGACCACAGTAGAGGCTTGTCAACAACCTCTGTCCACAATATACACACGCTCCAGCACGAGCACGCACGCACGCCTGCCCATGGTAAAATAACTGTTCCTTCAAGGCAGAAACCTGCCTGAGATGTTTTTGGGATGCATGTTACCGGAGGTAGGTGTCTATTGTCTATTGTGTAAGGCGTTTGATAAGGTGTTGTTGTGAGTCATCTCAATGGTCTTCTAGTCCTTCTTTTAAGTTCCAGAATAGAATTCTGCTCTAGGTGAATTCTGGGCAAAAAGTGTTGCCACCTAGAGGGCTGATGTTGAACATACAGAATGCAGATGGCCCAGTCCTTTTAGAGAACAACCTGTTGTGGTTTGAGTGTGTCTGAAACGGCACCCTATTCCCTGTATAGTGCACTACTTTGGCACCCTATTCCCTGTATAGTGCACTACTTTTGGCACCCTATTCCCTGTATAGTGCACTACTTTTGGCACCCTATTCCCTCTGTATAGTGCACTACTTTGGCACCCTATTCCCTGTATAGTGCACTACTTTTGGCACCCTATTCCCTGTATAGTGCACTATTTTTGGCACCCTATTCCCTGTATAGTGCACTATTTTTGGCACCCTATTCACTATAGTGCACTACTTTGGCACCCTATTCCCTGTATAGTGCACTACTTTGGCATCCTATTCCCTGTATAGTGCACTACTTTGGCACCCTATTCCCTGTATAGTGCACTACTTTTGGCACCCTATTCACTATAGTGCACTACTTTTGGCACCCTATTCACTATAGTGCACTACTTTGGCCCTGGTCAGTAGTAGGGCACTATATAGGGAAAAGTGTGCCATTTGAGAGACATCTTGATGGTGTCCCAGATGGCGGCAGGCAGACGGCCCTCCTCTGTGTTTGAGCAGCTGCTCAATGTCCCCGCTCTAATTACCCATACTGCACCATTGGGCTCTTCATTAAGAGGTCGTGAACTCTGGGGACATCAGAAGTCGCACAGCGCAGATTCTGTGATAGCGCCACCTCACTTACCTGGCCCCTCCTACACAGCAAGAGGTTAAAACCATAGACTTATTTTCTCTATTATACATTTACATTTTAGTCACACAGTAGTATAGTGACTTCAGCATTCACCATAGATCAATTAACACCAGCTCAACCCTTTGTGTTTCTTCTTCATATTGATGACACTATCCCTCTCTTTCTCTCCTTCTCCCTCCCTCACTCTCTGTTCCCTCACTCCCTCCGTCCTCTCTTCTGTCCTCTGTCACTAACACCGGCCTCATCTTCTCTCTCTCCAGGTCATCCTTCTCCTCTTCATCAGTCTCCTTCTCCTCTTCATCTGTCTCCTTCCCCCTCCCTCACTCTCTAATTGGTGATATAATTGTGTTTTAATGTACATCAGTCCCACCATAGCTAAGATAGTTGTCGTCGCTGGTTGCTTCTCTGGAGAGGACCAGAAAACACTGTTTAACTGCGATAGGGATCTCTGTTTTCTTAAATGACGGTGGCACTGGGAAATGTTTTTCTTTCAGTCTTCTGTGACAGTGTTGATCATGGAGAGAGTGATACAGCATAATACTATGAGTGTTTCCGACACACACACACACACGAGCATAAAGAGATGTTTGAGAGACATGCCCACCCTACTTTTTCACACTCGCTCATTAGCGAGTTACTCTTCTTTGTTAAAGTATGATGGAAGTACGATTGAGATAAACCATTTTGTCTTTGATTTGATCATCTGTCTTGAGCATGATCGATTGTAATACATGGTTTATGATGGTGTACTGTAGTTTTGTATAGCATGTCTCTAAAGTACTGGGCTGCTCAAATTACATTTAGTTGGTACATTTCTCCTTTCAGATCTTGGAAGCCATTTTCTTAAGTAGGTTGCATTAATTATTTTCCCACAGGCCATCATAAGCTCCTATTACTCCCTGTTTCCTGATATAGCCTTTGAGAGGAATCTCAATGTCGTTGGAGCCGATTTTAAGATGATCCTATAAGGTTCCTATTCAAGGACTCATAACTAGTAGTAGAATTTAATATCTCTGTGTCCATGTGCTTTTCTTCTTGTCAGAACCCCAGACGAGAGCTTCAAAAAATGCCAATCTAGAAGAGCTATCTGGAACTCAAACCATGATCCCACTAGTTTCCTTATTCCTACCAGACAGCCTACAGACTAATACGGCTTTGTCATAATACTGCTGCTTCGGTTTCTTTTTAGTGTTGTGAGCGGCTTTCTTAGGAGTTTCCTTAAAGGCCCCACACTGGGTAAGCATGTAAGGACATATAGCAGTAGCAGGCGACTGTTCTGAGAGGAAGTCAGATTTAGTACATGATTTGTGATAGGAGGAGAGGTTCAATAGGGTAATATGGAGCACCATTTTTGGTCCCAGTGTGTCATGTAGCCTTAAAACTTAAATACACTCACACTAAATGATCGGGAGGATGATTTGTGGTAATACGATAAGCTATCTGTCCATATCTTACTAGATAACCCCCCGCCATATGACAGGGTAAATAAAGTGTACGGGATCACCGTAGAGCAGACTGTAGCTTCAGCCCTGATTATCAGTGAAATTAGGTTTGGGTATCCAGTGACACTATCAAAACAAACAGTATGGAGCTCAAGTCAAGATGCTCCAGATCCTCCAGCCTCTCAGATCTCCCTGACAATTCAGCTAGCTAATCCCTGAGGAGCATTGTATAGATAAATTCTTGGCTGAAATATCCTATTAACCATTAACCCAGACCGTGTCTAACGGCTATGATGAAGACGATCAGCCAGCGATATGCTTTGGTGGCTGCCTGCTTTGGGTGGCTGCCTGCTTTGGGTGGCTGCCTGCTTTGGCTGGCTGCCTGCTTTGGGTGGCTGCCTGCTTTGGGTGGCTGCCTGCTTTGGGTGGCTGCCTGCGACAGTCACAAACACATTATCTGGGGTGGCGTTATTTTCCGCGTCCTGTTGTGCCTTGTGTTGCTTTGTACTCCGTCATCCCTCTACCTCGCGGTAGAGAGGCTGCAACAGAAAAGAGGCTGGATCGAAATCAAAACTAAACAGCTTGGCATGAAAGCGAGCGACAGGAGCCTGGGAGAAGGGATTTCCCAGAGTTCATCAGTGGTGAAGCAGCCTAGCAGATGCTGATGGCCGTGAAGTGAGTGGTTTTTATTATTATGGTGGAATAGACTGCCACTGTGCTCCCTGCCTGCCTGCTGCACCTGGCCTTCCTGCCTGCCGTCGGCCCACTGAAGGGGGCTGGAGAGTGGAGACTCAACAGGGGGTGAGATGGGATCGCCAGGGCTGAGTGGTTAAAACAATAGCACCAGGTGGTGGCTCTGCTTGGTGGTGGGAGGATTCACCCGCTTGGCTAGCTCTCTGGGGCCGTGCATCACTTGGTCCCCTTTTGACGATGTGATATGGTGCCAGCGGGTGTTGGGGCTCTTAAATGAGCCACAGACAGGTTAGACACGTCCTCTCTGTCAGTGTGTGGTGTTATGGGTTTGACCGCTTTAGAGAGCTTATTCGACTAACAGGTCAGATCACTCTCTGATCACGCCTCTCAAGGCTTTAAACAGTTGTTGATAGGCTTGAACGAGGTCTGAATCCACACGGGACATTGCACCCCATAGATTGGCATTGCCTAGAGTTACCAGTGGACATCAAATGCCAGGCCCAGGGTTTCTGGAATCCCCTGACTGGAATATGTCCATTTGTGTTTCTTTCATTTCTTTATTGGCTGAATCAAAGAAATGTACCAGCACCGAGTGTGTGTGTGTGTGTGGCTAGGGTCTCTTGGTACTCACCCTGCCCACCTCCACCAGGTTGGTCACCATGACGATAGTTGCCGTGTTCTCCTGCCACACCATTCTCCAGAAGTCGTAGACAGTCTCCTGCATGGGCCCTGAGGAGAAACAGAGAAAAGGAGGGGGAGGGGGAGTGTATGTGAAGCCCTTTGTGACCATACTGATAGCAATGTTATCTACAGTGCCTTCAGAAAGTATTCACACCCCTTTTTCCACATTTTGTTGTGTTACAAAGTGGGATGTTTTAGGTTATTGTCCTGCTGAAAGGTAAATGAATCTCCTAGTGTCTGGTGGAAAGCAGACTGAACCAGGTTTTCCTCTAGGATGTTGCCTGTTTTTTATTTTTTTTAACTCCCTGGTCTTTGCCGATGACAAGCATATCCATAACATGACAGAGCTTGAAAATATGAAGAATGGTATTCAGTGATGTGTTGTGTTTGCCCCAAACATAATGCTTTGTATTCATTTCTTTACAGTTTTATTTTAGTGCCTTATTGCAAACAAGATACATGTTTTGGAATATTTTTTATTCTGTACAGGCTTCCTTATTTTCACTCTGTCAATTAGGTTAGTATTGTGGAGTAACTTCAATGTTGTTGATCCATCCTCAATTTTCTCCTATCACAGCCATTAAACTCTATCTGTTTTAAAGTCACCATTGGCCTCATGATGAAATCTCTGAGCGGTTTCCTTCCTCTCCTGCAACTGAGTTAGGAAGGACACCTGTATCTTTGTAGTGTACTGGGTGTATTGATACACCATCCGAAGTGTAATTTATAACTTCACCATGCTCAAAGGGATATTCAAGGTCTGCTTTTTTTTCTCCCATCTACCAATAGGTGCCCTCCTTTGCGAGGCATTGGAAAACCTCCCTGGTCTTTGTGGTTGAATCTGTGTTTGAAATTCACTCCTCGACTGAGGGACCTTACAGATAATTGTATGTGTGGGGTACAGAGATGAGGTAGTCATTCAAAAATCATGTTAAAACACAATTATTGCACACTGAGTGAGTCCAAGCAACTTATGTGACTTGTTAAGCAACAAATAGGTTGAATGCTTGTTGTGTCATTGTAGGCCAATGACACAATATCTCAATGTAATCCATTTTAAATTCAGTCTGTAACAAAATGTGGAAAAAGTCAAAGGGTGTGAATACTTTCTGAAGGCACTATGTTATCAATGTAATCTATGTCATCTGTCATCTATGTCATCAACGTTATGAATATTATCTATCACACCAACGGAAGTGTTGGTGTAAAAATATTGTCAGTATTGTTGTCAGACCTGCAACTCATTCGTCTGTCTCATCACCCACTTCTTAGACCAGGGTATTCTCCAGCTGATTTAATGCTCATCACATCCCTGTTAGTGTTTTTCACATTAAATTTGTCCATTGCTTGCTTGCTTTCTGAGCATGAAAAGTGCACAGGTTCAGCTGATTAATACCTTGTTTTTCCCAGTTGAACCTGATCAAAACGGAACACGGGGGCTGTGTGCCTGTGCATTCTGATCACTGTTGACAGGGGAATCAACTAATGCCTGGATCCAAGTCCGCACACGCACGCACACACAGACACACACGCCAACACAAGCTGAATGACAAGGAGCTTTAGGCCAGGTAGGGGGACAGCAGCCTGCACACACTCTCAATTAACTCCTACACACTTTAACTTTAATGTGGGCAGCGTTTAAGATTGCGCCGAGCAATAAAGGATCCCTGGAAGGAAGAATTACTCATTTAATTAATTCAAATAAGCATTGTTTTTTAATTAACTGGCAAATGTAAAAAATTACTTTTGTCGAGCTAATTAGCTCCTGCAAATCTGTGTGTGTGTCCTCGAGAGCTGTGGCGCGTGTACCTACAGCCACGGCAAACTGCATCCAACAGCTAAACCACACACACACACACACACACACACACACACAGCTCACTGCAGACGTTCCATATTCATGCTCAAACAAACAGCCGCATTACCAAACACTTGTGTCGCTCGAGAATCCTCCTGATGTGACATTGCTTGGTGCCTCTAGTGTGAGCAAGCCGCTTTTCTCATTAGCGATGCCAGGCCCCATGTTCTCCTGGTATTCATGACCATCTCTCCTAGGAACAAGAGCTCTGTGTGTCAGGCCTATACACTCCCTGTTCTCCTCTGCCCCCCTTTACTCCTCCTGATAGCATCACCAGCCTCCTTTTTAATATTTTTTTTTCTTCTTCTTCTTTACTATAAACTTACTATAAATTTAAGGCAGATTTAGTTCAATACAGGTTTGGGTTCAATTTGGAATTTCTGAATTTAATTCAATTCAACTCATGAATTGAAATTTGAATTGGCTACACCCCACAGGAAGCACAATTTGAATTCATTCAAACCAATTCAAAGAAATTCAACTAAGACATGAAACATATGAATCTCTTTACTTTGACAAATATTTTGCCAAAAGCATCTGCCACCTCATACTCAAAAAATACAGATACCATTTCAAATATTAGCTTGATTATAACTCAAACAGTGTCAAATAGTAAATTGTTAGTATTTTGGTCTTGAGAGGAGGTTTCATTATGGAGTGTTTGATCTAATGCAAACTTGGATATGCATATTTGTTTAATATTTAATGTACGTGAATTAGGAATTATTGTAGACAGCCTACAAAATTATCTAACAATCGCTCCAGACCGCTATAACTATTAAAAAAATTGTTTCAAAAGAATGAGTTTTGAAAATGAAACGTGTCAACATGTTGAACATAGTATTGGTAACCATTCATGATGAGCATAATGATGGAATAAATTATCCATTTGAATTTCAATGAATTTCACTTAATTAAATTCTACTTATTTTCATTCAAATTAAATACAAATTCTGCTTCCTGTAGGGTGAGGCTAATTTGAATTCAATAAAAAAAAAATCTTGATTTGAAGACAAAATTCGCAACTCAATTCAGAATTGATACCAACCCTGGTTCAATCAGAACAGTGTGCGTCTTACAGTCCCTCATCCACTCAGGGATTGGAAGGTTTTTCTCTCTGAGAAAGTGATGATGATATGCAGATGATATGATAAAACCCCAGTGCTCGGGGAGGTTTGATATTCCTGGAGGTTTGATATTCCTGGAGGTTTGATATTCCTGGAGGTTTGGTATTCCTGGAGGTTTGGTATTCCTGGAGGTTTGATATTCCAGGAGGTTTGATATTCCTGGAGGTTTGATCTCCCAACTCTTTCCTTCTAAGAGCTCTATGCAAGTACTAGCCCCTTCCCTCCCTGACTCCCTCCCCCCCCATCTTCCCCTTATGCAGATACTTTGTGAACTTGCAAGACGCTTGCCAACCAAAACAGTCATCTGTGTTGACACAGTGTTAACAGCGTGTGGGGAAAGAAAGTCTCGGCGGAGGAGAGAAGCAGAGCGGCTGGTGTCGTCGTCTGGGAGAATGAAAAAGTGACATCATCATCATTGTTCAGATACAGTAAATGGCCTAGCGCAGCGGAGGGTAAAGTCAAGTCAGGCAATTAGATGTGGAGAAGAACTTCTCCCGTGGTGCACTGGGGGAATAAGACAAGGAAGCAGGAGAAAAAGCTAAAGAAAAGCTCCACAGACGGCCCGAGTGGACAGGCTGTCAGAGGAGAGGCTCTGTCGCCGTGAGGAGACTGGAATGCCTTTCATCTTGGCACACTGAGAGCCACAGACATACTGCTGGGATTGTTCAGGAGGAAAAAAGACTAGGCTATTTCTTTTAACTTTTTTTCCCCTAGAAAGAGGAATGTGCAAGGCAGCCAGGGGTTGTGTGAGGACACAGTTACTGTGTATGTTTCTACTTAAAACATTTGAAAGTGTTGGAATATTGATCTGGTAATAAAAGTGATATGTATTGTATGAATTATATGGTATTAAAAAGGCTAACCGAACAAAAGGGGTGGATGGAGAAAATGCACCTGTTTGGGATACCATGCTCGGACACGCCGTCTGAACGCCTGTGACTGACAAGCGTCCAATTGGCCTGCAGCACATGAGCCTTTCAACTGAACAACGTCTTAGTTAGTTACGTTTTTTTCCGCTCTCGTTTCCCGCTTTGAAACTCTTTGAAAGTTGCCCTCTAATTGCAAACACCAGCAAAAAAAAAAAGCACATTCTGTCTGAGGCCGGTGTGTTCCATTATCTTCTCTCCTATTCAATGTACATAATGACTGTGTACAGTTAGTATTGTATAGTCTCAAAATATGATAGAGGTCAACCCTCTCCTAGTCTAGTTCACCAGCCGACACTCTCTCTGTTGGTAGCAATTACCTCGTACCCCTGCACATCGACTCGTTACTGGTAATCCCTGTATATAGCCATGTTGTTTTCTACCTCCTGTATATAGCCATGTTATTTTCTACTCCCTATATATAGCCTTGTTATTTTCTACTCCCTGTATATAGCCATGTTAGTTTTCTACTCCCTGTATATAACCATGTTATTTTCTACTCCCTGTATATAACCATGTTATTTTCTACTCCCTGTATATAACCATGTTATTTTCTACTCCCTGTATATAACCATGTTATTTTCTACTCCCTGTATATAGCCATGTTATTTTCTACTCCCTGTATATAACCATGTTATTTTTACTCCCTGTATATAACCATGTTATTTTCTACTCCCTGTATATAACCATGTTATTTTCTAATCCCTATATACAGTGGTGTGAAAAAGTGTTTGCCCCCTTCCTGATTTCTTATTTGTTTGCATGTTTGTCACACTTACATGTTTCAGATCATCAAACAAATGTAAATATTAGTCAAAGATAACACAAGTAAACACAAAATGCAGTTTTGAAATGAAGGTTGTTATTATTAAGGGAAAACAAAATCCAAACCCACATGGCCCCTGTGAAAAAGTGATTGCCCCCTACAACCTAATAACTGGTTGGGCCACCCTTAGCAGCAACAACTGCAATCAAGCGTTTGCGATAACTTGCAATGAGTCTTTTACAGCGCTGTGGAGGGATTTTGACCCACTCATCTTTGCAGAATTGTTGTAATTCAGCACATTGGAGGGTTTTCGAGCATGAACTGCCTTTTTAAGGTCATGCCACAGCATCTCAATAGGATTCGGGTCAGGACTTTGACTAGGCCACTCCAAAGTCTTCATTTTGTTTTTCTTCAGCCATTCAGAGGTGGACTTTTGGATCATTGTCCTGCTGCAGAACCCAAGTTCGCTTCAGCTTGAGGTCACGAACGGATGGCCGGACATTCTCCTTCAGGATTTTATGGTAGACAGCAGAATTCATGGTTCCATTTATCACAGCAAGTCTTCCAGGTCCTGAAGCAGCAAAACAGGCCCAGACCATCACACTACCACCACCATATTTTACTGTTGGTATGATGTTCTTTTTCTGAAATGCGGTGTTACTTTTACGCCAGATGTAATGGGACACACACCTTCCATTAAGTTCAACTTCTGTCTCGTCAGTCCACAGAGTATTTTCCCAAAGGTCTTGGGGAACATCAAGATGTTTTCTGGCAAAAATGAGACGAGCCTTAATGTTCTTTTTGCTCAGCAGTGGTTTTTGTCTTGGAACTCTGCCATGCAGGCCATTTTTGCCCAGTCTCTTTCTTATGGTGGAGTCATGAACACTGACCTTAACTAAGGCAAGTGAGGCCTGCAGCTCTTTGGATGTTGTTGTGGATGACTTGGATGAGTCGTCGCTGCGCTCTTGGGGTAATTTTGTTCGGCCGGCCACTCCTGGGAAGGTTCACCACTGTTCCATGTTTTCGCCATTTGTGGATAATGGCTCTCACTGTGGTTCGCTGGAGTCCCAAAGCTTTAGAAATGGCTTTATAACCTTTTCCAGACTGATGGATCTCAATTACTTTCTTTCTCATTTGTTCCTGAATTGCTTTGGATCTCGGCATGATGTCTAGCTTTTGAGGATCTTTTGGTCTACTTCACTTTGTCAGGCAGGTCCTATTTAAGTGATTCCTTGATTGAGAACAGGTGTGGCAGTAATCAGGCCTGGGTGTGGCTAGAGGAATTGAACTCAGGTGTGATAAACCACAGTTGAGTTGTGTTATAACAGGGGGGGGGCAAACACTTTTTCACACAGGGCCATGTAGGTTTGGATTTTGTTTTCCCTTAATAATAACAACCTTCATTTCAAAACTGCATTTTGTGTTTACTTGTGTTATCTTTGACTAATATTTAAATTTGTTTGATGATCTGAAACATTTAAGTGTGACAAACATGCAAACAAATAAGAAATCAGGAAGGGGGCAAACACTTTTTCACACCACTGTATAACCATGTTATTTTCTACTCCCTATATACAGTATAGCCATGTTGTTTTTATTCGTTATTTTTATTCATCATTCACTGTGTATTTATTCCTCCCGTCACTATTTTATTTCATATCTTATCTTTAACTCTGCATTGTTGGTAAAGGACCCGTAAGTAAGCATTTCACTGTTAGTTTTCACCTGCTGTCTACGAAGCATGTGACAAATAACATTTGATTTGAATTAGCCTTTCTCCATGGCCTACAATGTACTACACAGGGTCACACTACCAAGTCATAGTGGGGGCCGTTTTAGACGCTGGTCGGGTTCAGAGCGGCCAGGTGGGTGGCCGGGGCAGGCAGCGCTCCAATAAACAGGTCATTATGCAACTCCCAAGCCAACTCGACCAGACTGCAGAGTCTATTATGTCTCAATGGGCTACCTTTACTCGGAGCGAGCGTGGAATGGAATTACCTTTGCGTGGCTGGCTGAGGAAACAGGGCCTCCAAGAACTGCATAACAATTAACTATCAATCAGAGAGCACCTCCAGGGGGCTTGTTGGAAAAGCTGTCCTCTTGCACACGGCCAGCATCTGCCTGCCGGATTAACGCAGTTATAAAACACACACCTATAGACATGCACGCGCATGAACACGCCAGTACACATGGCCTAATCCATTTATTTATTACTGCCCTCTTCCCTTATTACTGCCCTCTTCCCTTCTCATCCCTCATTCTCTCTCTCCACCCCTCCCCTTTTGCTCACACGGCTGATTAATTGTTTTAGGACACTACTTCAGCAAAACACGGCTTGGAAGGGGGAAAGGGGGGAGGGAGGTTGAAGAGAGGGGAGTCTTTTTACCCATCTCCTGTATATCCGTGTTGACAGCTCTAATGAGGCCGTCAGTCTGAACAGCAGACGGAAGAGTTGCAGATCTGACAACAACACTGAAAATATTCAGAAAAAGAGAATGCATATGGTGTGTTGCTGATCTTACCTTGGGTAGAGATGTAGTGATTTGGCCTGTGGTAGCCCTGAATTCCAAAAAAGAGAGAGAGCGAGGGAGAAAAACAAACTTTAAGCACATAGATGTCAGTCAAAACACAAAGGAATACGGTATAATGGGCATATTTGTTTACTTGAGTCAAAAAGCAAAACCTGCTGCGGTGAAAACATATTTCAAAAGCAGCAATCTAGTCTTAAATGACTAAATAAGTCAAACCAATTAGAAAGAAAAGGTTGATTCGGCTTCCAGCAACTATAACGTTAGTGAACACACACACACAAGTGTAGGATCTTAATTTGAACACTTTTGTTGCTGAGAATTTTCCTGCACTGCAGGAAATGGAAATGAGCTTCATGAGTTACATAAATTCACTTAAAACCCACACTAACACGCAATTATATTAACAGTATTGCACTTTTCATGTATCCTAATTTTGGGCAGCTAATAGTCTAACCATCGATCAAGCAACATTATGGACTAAACTTTCAAATCCTATTGCTGCAGGATTATTTTGCTGTGACAATACTGGTCAAATGAAGATCCAACATCTGTACACACACACGGTTGTACTATTCTTCCACTGCATATTGTGTGACTCATCTTCGTAATACGCTCAATCTCCTAAGGATTACTCTAATCCCTTTAAATTTCATTTGTCGAGCATCTTGTATCCTAGTGAGGCCTACCGTACAAAGTGGGAAGCTAAACGTTAGCGTGAAGAGCCGTTCCCACGCGCCACAAAGTGTGAGCCATTGTCTTCATCTCGTCCAGCTCTTAACACTGCCGTTTTTCATTTACCTCAACTGTAATTAACGTTCACAACGTGGAACATAAAAGGATTGAATCTAACAGGGAAACTTCATCCCTCTACTCTGATTGGCTGGGCTTTCTGTCTCTCTGGGCTCTGATAGGCTGGGCTCTGTCTCGTTGGGCTCTTTTAGGCTGGGCTCTGTCTCGCTGGGCTCTGATAGGCTGGGCTCTCTGTCTCTCTGGGCTCTGATAGGCTGGGTTTTGATAGGCTGGGCTCTCTGTCTCTCTGGGCTCTGATAGGCTGGGCTCTCTGTCTCTCTGGGCTCTGATAGGCTGGGCTCTCTGTCTCTCTGGGCTCTGATAGGCTGGGCTCTCTGTCTCTCTGGGCTCTGGTTGCTGAGTGCGCTGTTTAAATTATTTATTTATCCCTTGTCCACCATAAGAGTTGTTTATCCTCTTGCTCTACACACTATTGAGGAATTCTCACCGTGGGAACACACATGGTGAGGAACATCAACTATGACTATAGCGTTAGTTAGCGAGAGGCTATTAGGAGAAGGGTTCATTGGCTGGTCACGTATTCTGTGTGATCATCATGGTGGAAGAAAGGTTTAGACTTGATTGGGATCTGTTGAGTCTGTTTCCTGGGAGACAAGCACTCTCACACATGCTGCAGAGTTCACTGACTGACCGCACCTGGTCCCAGATCTGTTTGTGCTATATAGCCAACTCCTATGGTCGTCGTCATGCCAGACAGTACAAACAGATCTTGGACCAGGCTACAGAAACACTGTGAGGGAGAAGCAAACTAACACATTAGAGTCTGCTGCTGTCTATTGAAATCACTGGCCACTTTAAGAAATGGAACACTAGTCACTTTAATAATGTTTACATATCTTGCACTACTCATCTCATATATATATATATATATTGTATTCTATAATATTCTACTGTATCTTAGTCCATGCCGCTCTGTCATTGCTTGTCCATATATGTATATATTCTTAAATTCCATTCCTTACTAGTTTTGTGTGTATTGGGTATTTGTTGTGAAATTGTTAGATATTACTGCACTGTCGGAGCTAGAAGCACAAGCATTCCGCTACACCCACTATAACATCTGCTAAACACATGTATGTGTGTATTGATTTGATTTGATTCAGACAGACAGAGTCTGCAGGGAGAGGAGAGGCCAGGTGCAGCGGAGGGAGGTAGTGTACAAGTCTTCATGGCCGTGTCCTGATAGGTGTCCTGATGGTTAATTCACCACGAGTTCCTTGGGGTCAGGCTACAAGTAGCTTCATCAGCTAACCTGCAGAGCGGCTAGACAAACCGTAGAATGCTAATTCAACATAACAGACACAGGACTGGACACACACAAACACCCATCATTTATTTCTGCAATGTTCTAATGAGTACTGTAAGACTAATACTTATGAAATCGATTTGGTGGGTGACAAATCCTTATTTGAAATGCAAATGTCAATTCAGTTTCTAGGGGCAACATCTTGAAACGTAACAGATGTCACTCTATATAATGTCCTTGTAACCACACCGCCCAGACCCAAACAACAATCATGTATGCAAATACAATGGCTCTGGATCACTTCTGGTTATGGAGAACTATAAGAACAGGTGGTACCTCTATTGACAATGAGAGCCGCTGCTTTCATAATTATCTCTTCACCAATCTCCGAGCACCTGAAGACGACGTCCCCGACATTTAGACCCAATGTGGGCGTGTGTAGATCATTAACAGGCCCTTTCATTTAAAGAGCTAGCGACTTGTTCCACCTGCACTGCAAATATACACTCATTTACCTTTGAAGGAGGGAGCTAACCCTAATGCTACTAATGGCTAATGACAAATGAAGGCAAAGCTCAGCGTGGTGGTAGAGGGGGAGGTGAGGAGAAAGGAGGAGATGATAAGTATGGGGTGGTTGGTTGGCGTGGGTTGCACTGTGCCAGCTGGTTGACTGGAGAGGAAAATAAAATGTACTCTGTCAACAGTGATAGCCAGGAGGGTAAACAAGGGGTGGGCTTTTAGCAAACAAACATCCCTATGTGCTGGACGTGACTGTGTGCAGACCGTGTGCGGACTGTAGAGTTGGACAAAGTATTCTAATTCTACAGACTGGACATACAGGACACATGGCGCTTGCATACGGTCAAAGGCATTGATATTTGCCTCAGATCTGTTATGAATATGTGTGTGTGTGTGTGTGTGTGTGTGTGTGTGTGTGTGTGTGTGTGTGTGTGTGAGTGGTGGAAATCTCAAGAGTGTGTCACTATCTGCCTCCACATTCAACAGAGAAGTTGACTCAGTTCTTGAAACATTTTGTCACTTATCCAGAGCGACTTACAGGAGCGATTAGGGTTAAGTGCCTTGTTGAAGGGCACATCAACAGATGTTTCACCTAGTCGGCTTGGGGATTCAAACCAGCAACCTTTCGGTTACTGGCCCAATGCGCTTAACCACTAGGCTACCTTCCGCCCCTAAATGTCTGGATAAATCGGTAAATTGTATTTTGATAAACACTTTCCCCAAAGCACTCTGAAGGAAACACCTTTGGGTAGAATGGAATTGAAATCAATGTTGTACAATCATCTTCCAGACAACAGCCTCTTGCATGGCCATCTGATAGTTTACAATCACAGTTTGTACAGAGGCTTATCGTTTTTGGACACAATGACAGATTCATTGGAGTGTCACACAGGCTTTTCCTCAATTTCACGCAACCGGCGTGATCGCAGCAGGGGGGACCACTGCTCTGTTGCCCAGCACGGTTGCCAGTGTGTGTTTGTGAGCGTGTGTTTACCGAGACCCGCTGTTTGTTTATGTTTGAGAGTCCGTGTCCCAAAGCGTGGGCTCTGTTTACTTCTGGGGGTTGGAAAAATCAAAGGCAAACTTGCTGTCTGGATCAATGCCCCATCTCTTTTTTTTCTCTCTCTCTCGCTCTCTGGGAAGAAGAGGAGAGCGGGGTGGGGAGGTTGAGAGGATTGGGGGTCTATAACAGCAGCCTTTTCATCATCTCATTCCATCTGAGAGCTATGCCACCCACACGCTGGCTGACCTTTCTGTCTAAACCCTGGCTGGTGTTGTACTCACATCCACGTAATTTGCATTAATGTAGTCGGAGCTCTGCTCTCCCTCTACAGCCTGCAGCCGGACACGGGAGTGATCATCTGGAGGAAGACAGGACAGACAGGACAGAGAGAGAGAAAAACAAGTCCTCATTAGTAATATTAATGAGACAGAGAGGAAAACACTGGTATCCCATCCCTGAGGAGGATAGGGAATATGGAGTTTAAGGTCATCAACTCCTGCATGTACAACTACCAGGTCACTGTGCTGGTCTCTTAACGTATGCCCCATAGAAGGAAGCCTTTTCCTGGGTTAATATGTCCCTATTCATTTGGGTACAAGTCAACAATGGTGTGTAAGTGAACTCCGCTAGCACTGTTCAGTTTCAGTTCGATCTTAGTTGTTGTTGGGATTCAAAGTGTGTGATCTGGGCCCAGTGAAAGAGTCCAAATCACCAGTTAGTTGCCGAGAATGAGCTTTGGCAATCAACCACTGTGAAGTGTGCCTCTATTTAATCAAAATCATCACATGACAGAGCTCTATTATGAAACAAGTCTCTATCCATTAGTCAAAATAATTCAATTTGACTAATAGGAGAGCGATCTACTCTGTTCTCTCTCTCTCTCCCATTTTACAGAGGAAACGCTAACTCACTCTGAATGATTTATTCACTTTAATTATTACAACCAGCAGAAAACTGTCAGTCCACCCAACATGCCCTGCAGCTAATTGTCCGCCGTGTCGTGTGGAGAACTGTGATTGGTCGGTTGCTCATTTGCAGAGACAGGAAGTGCCCGGAATCTTATTGACGTGGAAATGACAGGAGCGGTCTCCTCGTTGGGGGGACTGGTATAGCTGTGAGGGTGGTATGTGTGTGTGTCACCCTCAGCCATGTCTCAAGCCCAGAACTGAAATTGTTCCCAAGTCAGGGCTCATTTTCATAATCGCAAAGGCAATTAGTACTGCCTGTGTGTATATGTAGGATGTCAGTTGGCGTGAAGATCACAGCTTAAAGACAACATTTTCAGGAAGAGAATGATCACAGTTCTCATAGTTAACATTCAGGAGAACCACTTCATATGTTCCAAACTATAAGCTGCTCTAAAATAGAGGACAAACAATACAGCCTTGACATTTTTCACAATAATGTTTACAAATAGGCCCACACTGAGAATTCATATCTAACTGTTAGGGACTTGACTGACAACACAAAAAAAGAATTGTTTGTACCCACATGCAATGATGTTTCCATATCGGTTCTTCATCCTGTTCTCGTCTTTCTTGGCAGAGTCCCATGGTGCAGACTGTCCTTCAAAGAAGCTCTGAGAGAGAGAGAGAGAGAGAGAGAGAGAGAGAGAGAGAGAGAGAGAGAGAGAGAGAGAGAGAGAGAGAGAGACAACTGTTAAACGGGGGGACATGAAAGGTCCAAAGGGTTCGGAGGTCAGCTGTTTAAATGGCAGCCCAGCTCAGCAGTGGATCCTTTCCAGTCAAAAGAGGGGACAGTATTAAAAACAGAGATATATATCCCCATCATTATTAAACATGAAAGGAGGCAGGAGAACGGCCTTCTAGGAGCGATGTCAGAGAATTAGGCCACCACTGTAGCCAATCAGAATCTCCCTAACCTCACTGAGGTAGAACACCACCTTTAATAATAACAATAATAATATTATAATATGCCATTTAGCAGACGCTTTTATCCAAAGCGACTTACAGTTATGCGTGCATACATTTTTACGTATGGGTGGTCCCGGGGATCGAACCCACTACCCTGGTGTTACAAGCGCCGTGCTCTACCAATTGAGCTACAGAGGACCACACTTTACAAACTGTACCCACATACTCCTCTGAAAGACTAGTCCCCGAAACAACACCACCTTTACAAACTGTACCCACATACTCCTCTGAAAGACTAGTCCCCGAAACAACACCACCTTTACAAACTGTACCCACATACTCCTCTGAAAGTCCCCGATACATACCGTAAGATGAAATAGAAGAATAAATAAATACACACCCGCCTGATCAGAAAACTCTGCTTGAGTACCTCATGAATTATTAATAGTATGAGTTTTTTGGCATTCTGATCTTGCACCGGAACACGCAATTAGGACTAATTATGAAAATAAACGTCAGTGCTGGAGTGGTGCTGTTGATTATTGGTTCTTTACCCAGGCTGGGGGCTACTGCTTTCCCCCTGTAAGTTAATGTCTCCTCCAGCTGCCTGCTGCCTCTTCCCCCAAAAAAGCCTCTCCAAAGAGTGTCAGGAACGTGTAAATGGATCATAATGATGCATTGTTATTTAGCCGTACCCATCCAACGTTCTTTCCGATACCTCATGCTCTCTCTTAGCCCCATCAGACAATTGATCTGATTAGCTTTGATTGCTTGCAGTGGATCCTATTTTTGCCCCGTGCTTCTTTCCGTCAATTATATGACACAGAACTCATTCCGAGAACAAGAAGCCTTTATCAGTCCTCTGAGTGGATAATGGCAACAGCTCAGTCCCCATGGCGAGGAGCCTCTTCGCACTGCCGACCCCCACCCCACCCAGTGACAGACACAATGAGGGAAATGGCACCGCCAAATCAAATGAAGATGGTGAACTTTTGGTATTTTCTGAAAGGTGGTGACTGGGATGCCTAAGGTGGGAAAATATGGCATTTATTAACAGTCATCAATGGGCTCACATGGCCATTTGACTAAATGAGGACGAAGGAGTAATCAGAGAGGAGGGAATAAAGTTTGTATTTTCCTGATGACGTCTTTAGTGTCGAGGGAATCCTGCTTTAATCTGCAAACAATCCTTTGAGTACACCTTGTGACGAGCTTAAAAGACCAGCCTTATCATTTGACCTTTTAAAAGACCAGCCTTATCATTTGACCTTTTCCAAGCACAGTTGGGTGTTGGAAAAACGTGCCCTTACAGGCCTTGTTAACCGCCACTACAAGGGACACTTTGAAGAGCAGGCCGTAGTTGAATGCATATTGCTTTCTCTCTCTCTGAATGTCTCAGAACTGGCTGCAGTAAAGAGACATTAAACACAGTTTAACACGTTGACAATACTGCAGATGCTTAGTCTCCTCCCTCCATCTGTCTCCCTCTCTAGGTTTAGAGTTTCAAAGCGGTGCTGGTTTGTTATTCATCGCTGCTGTGTGTCTTTCGAGAGAGCTATCTTTTCATGTGCAAGAAGTGACAAGGAGCTGCCCTGGTGAGCGAGGGAACCTGGGGAGGAGAGGAGAGATAGAATCTCTCTCTCTCTCTCTCTCTCTGAGATGCGTGGTCCAACACTTGCGGGGGAGAGCCGGTAGAAGAACGACGTTGCCGCAAACTGCTTTAGACATGTCAAACTTCAGGGGTGAGTGGTGTCAACAAGAAAAAGAATACCTTAAAAATAAATAAATAAACTATTCATAGTTGTACTTTTTTTTTTTTTTCTTGTTCAGGTGTAATATTCTACTGCTAGCTTTGAGAAATAATAGATTTTGCAACAATGTCTCTTCTGTTTGCAAGACTTCTACGAAATGTGCGGATTGAGGGAAAATACTAAATTGGGTTCTAAGAATTTTATTTAAGACATGTTAGAGTTCGCAACATGCTTTTCTGAGCCTATTAAATAACCCAAAAGTTGGATACTAATGAAAAAATGTCTAGCTAAATATAAAACATAATATTGAATTATGAACTTCCATAGCAGCCTTGCAGCAAGCTGTGGCAGAATTACAAGTCAAATGGCTAGGAGGTAGCTCCAGGCTCCATCTATCCCCCTTGGCACTATCATACTAATCTACCATTGGCCAGGTTTTCCCACCACCCACCAGTAAGCCTTGGTTGGATGGTGATTGGTGGATGGTGGAAAGCCAGTAATGAATTCAAAGCCCTGCATACTTTTCATCCCCCTCAAACTTTTTCAAAGCATTACACAGGTGATTTTCATGGAAGTAGAGCTACTGAGATGAGATCTATGGTCGGCTCTCACGGGACTGAATCCAAACAAAGGTGTTCTCTTATCCAAAATCTTATACAAAAAAAACAAGTGAACAAATGGTGTGGAAGCCATTGTTCCCACAGCAGCTTCTGAATGGCTGTCTACTGGTGTTCAGTCTCCCACTGAGGTGTGATACAACCCCTTCTGATTCCAAAACACCCGTGTGATTTCACCCTTGACACTACTGACTACAGAGACTGAAAACCCTCCTCAGAGGGACCAGATGTGGTGGGGGCTTAGACAAAGCTTCAGCAACAAAACAGCTCCACTGCATTTTTACCCCACACAATGCTTTCTCAAGTGTTTACCAGTAGGCAGCACAATCATAAGCACAAAGATACATTTCAGCATTAACATAATGCTTGGAAGATGCTGCTTGTATGAAGCCAATCTGAGGAGAGAGAAAAAAAGTGTTATGATGATGTATTTTGAACACTGGAAAGTGTGTTTCAGAGTAAGATGGTGTAGTGGTTAGGGAGGTGGATATGAAGCAGAAATAGTAAGGGCTACTCATGAGTCAAGGTCACAGTAAAAGCAGCATATTAATGGATGATATACAGTGGGGAGAACAAGTATTTGATACACTGCCGATTTTGCAGGTTTTCCTACTTACAAAGCATGTAGAGGTCTGTAATTTTTATCATAGGTACACTTCAACTGTGAGAGACGGAAAATCACATTGTATGATTTTTAAGTAATTAATTTGCATTTTATTCCATGACATAAGTATTTGATACATCAGAAAAGCAGAACTTAATATTTGGTACAGAAACCTTTGTTTGCAATGACAGAGATCATACGTTTCCTGTAGGTCTTGACCAGGTTTGCACACACTGCAGCAGGGATTTTGGCCCACTCCTCCATACAGACCTTCTCCAGATCCTTCAGGTTTCGGGGCTGTCGCTGGGCAATACAGACTTTCAGCTCCCTCCAAAGATTTTCTATTGGGTTCAGGTCTGAAGACTGGCTAGGCCACTCCAGGACCTTGAGATGCTTCTTACGGAGCCACTCCTTAGTTGCCCTGGCTGTGTGTTTCGGGTCGTTGTCATGCTGGAAGACCCAGCCACGACCCATCTTCAATGCTCTTACTGAGGGAAGGAGGGTTGTTGGCCAAGATCTCGCGATACATGGCCCCATCCATCCTCCCCTCAATACGGTGCAGTCGTCCTGTCCCCTTTGCAGAAAAGCATCCCCAAAGAATGATGATGTTTCCACCTCCATGCTTCACGGTTGGGATGGTGTTCTTGGGGTTGTATTCATCCTTCTTCTTCCTCCAAACACGGCGAGTGGAGTTTAGACCAAAAAGCTCTATTTTTGTCTCATCAGACCACATGACCTTCTCCCATTCCTCCTCTGGATCATCCAGATGGTCATTGGCAAACTTCAGACGGGCCTGGACATGCGCTGGCTTGAGCAGGGGGACCTTGCCTGTGTTGCAGGATTTTAATCCATGACGTAGTGTGTTACTAATGGTTTTCTTTGAGACTGTGGTCCCAGCTCTCTTCAGGTCATTGACCAGGTCCTGCCGTGTAGTTCTGGGCTGATCCCTCACCTTCCTCATGATCATTGATGCCCCACGAGGTGAGATCTTGCATGGAGCCCCAGACCAAGGGTGATTGACCGTCATCTTGAACTTCTTCCATTTTCTAATAATTGCGCCATCTCACCAAGCTGTTTGCCTATTGTCCTGTAGCCCATCCCAGCCTTGTGCAGGTCTACAATTTTATCCCTGATGTCCTTACACAGCTCTCTGGTCTTGGCTATTGTGGAGAGGTTGGAGTCTGTTTGATTGAGTGTGTGGACAGGTGTCTTTTATACAGGTAACGATTTCAAACAGGTGCAGTTAATACAGGTAATGAGTGGAGAACAGGAGGGCTTCTTAAAGAAAAACGAACAGGTCTGTGAGAGTCGGAATTCTTACTGGTTGGTAGGTGATCAAATACTTATGTCATGCAATAAAATGCAAATTAATTACTTCAAAATCATACAATGTGATTTTCTGGATTTTAGTTTTAGATTCCGTCTCTCACAGTTGAAGTGTACCTATGATAAAAATTACAGACCTCTACATGCTTTGTAAGTAGGAAAACCTGCAAAATCGGCAGTGTATCAAATACTTGTTCTCCCCAAGGTCAAGGACTCAATTGGTTTCAACTATACTGAACACAAATATAAACGCAACATGTAAAGTGTTGGTCCAATGTTTCATGAACTGAAATAAAAGATCCCAGACATTTTCCATATGCACATAAAGCTTATTTCTCTCAAATGTTGTGCACAAATTTGTTTAGATCCCTGTTAGTGAGCATTTCTCCTTTGCCAACATAATCCATCCACCTGACAGGTGTGGCATATCAAGAAGCTGATTAAACAGCATGATCATTACACAGATGCACCTTGTGCTGGGGACAATAAAAGGCCACTCTAAAATGTGCAGTTGTGTCACACAACACAATGCCACAGATGTCTCATGTTTTGAGGGAGCGTGCAATTGGCATGCTGACTGCAGGAATGTCCACCAGAGCTGTTGCCAGAGCATTGAATGTTCATTTCTCTACCATAAACCACTTCCAAAGTCATTTTAGAGAATTTGGCAGTACATCCAACTGGCCTCACAACCACAGACCATGTGTAACCACGTCAGTCCAGGACCTCCACATCCGGCTTCTTCACCTGTGGGATCGCCTGAGACCAGCTACCTGGAAAGCTGATGAAACTGTGGGTTTGCACAACCAAATAATTTCGGCACAGGGAAGCTCATCTGCGTGCTCGTTGTCCTCACCAGGGTCTTGACGAATGAATCCCGGTTTCAACTGTATCGGGCAGATGGCAGACAGCGTGTATGGCGTCATGTGGGCGAGCGGTTTGCTGAAGTCAACGTTGTGAACAGAGTGCCCCCATGGTGGCGGTGGAGTTATCGTATGGGCAGGCATAAGCTATGGACAACGAACACAATTGCATTTTATCGATGGCAATTTGAATGCATAGAGATACCATGACGAGATCCTGAGCCCCATTGTCGTGCCATTTTTTTTTAAGGTATCTGTGACCAACAGATGCATGTCTGTATTCCCAGTCATGTGAAATCCATAGATTAGGGCCTAATGCATTTATTTCAATTGACTGATTTCCTTATATGAACTGTAACTTAGTAAAATCTTTGAAATTGTTGCATGTTGCGTTTATATTTTTGTTCAGTGTAAGTATGATCATATTCTGCCAGTCTTTCTTTTTAGTTATTTTTCGGATGTGACATATCATACCAAGAGAGCAGTCTTTCATGACTTAAGAATTCAAATGGCGTCTGACTGCATTATCATCAACACAAATCAAAGATGCTTTTTTGCCTTTGAAGCAGAGACAGGCCTGAACTACGGGAGATCTCTCGTGTGTCTGGGATGAATGCGGAGTGTGTTTTGTCTACAAACACGTCCATTAGACACGACCTCTGCTCTGTACTGTAGTGTCAACTTAACGCCACTCATTTCACCATTCTTTGATTCTCATTGACCAGGGGGATTAATTCTGATCAGATCATGTTTGTTGTTGTTGTATTTTGTGGTTTGTAGGCTTACTTTGGGGGGGGCTGTTAAATGCATGTTTTTGGACACAGACAACCAACAGCAGGTATCGAAGAAAGAATTATAATCAATATCAGGAGCTATAGGTTGTGAGACAGCTGCATCTAGGGTTTCTGTACTACTACGACAAAGCAACAATCTAAAAACAAATTTTTCAATCAAACCAAAAAGGGGACTTGCTTACCTCGTTTATCTTTTCCATAGATAACGTTATTGAATAACAAGAAGCATGGAATCGGGGGAGAGATTAGAATTGATCAGTTTAGCTCGTCGTGTTTAGAGAGAACAGAAAAGACAGTGGTAGCAGTAAACAGAAAACGAAACGAAAAGAAAAAGACACTACAATTATTCGCCGTCTCTAACTTTTAGCGGCATTACAAATAGAAAGGTAGAAAACAATAGAAAAACTGTGAAGAGAAGCACTTTCAGATGGAAGGGTGGAGGGGGGGCATCAAGTATTCTGCACTGTATTTTTTTGACTGGCAATAATGTATTATTGCACTTGCAGCCTACATAAGCCCTAAAAATCATCCATCTATATCCATAATGAATTGAGCCCTGAGGAAAGCCCCAAACCACAGGGCCAGGCCCGGACATGGGATATTAAATTATTGATTTGATTCCAGTGTTGTTTAATGTGTTAGTGGGTATAACAAAATAAAGGGGGGATGGTGGATAGTTCATTACAGGTATATACCAGTGGTGGAAAAAGTACCTAATTGTCATACTTGAGTAAAAGTAAAGATACCTTAACAGAAAATGACTCAAGTAAAAGTGAAAGTCACCCAGTAAAATATTACTTGAGTAAAAGTCTAAAAGTATTTGGTTTTAAATGTACTTAAGTATCAAAAGTAAATGTAATTTCTAAAATCTCAAAAGTAAAAATCATTTAAAATTCCTTATATTAAGCAAACCATACGGCACCATTTCCTTTTTTTACGGATAGCCAGCGGCACGCTCCAACACTCAGACATCATTTACAAATGAAGCATGTGTGTTTATTGAGTCTGCCAGATCAAAGGCAGTAGGGATGACCAGGGATGTTCCCTTGATAAGTGTGTGAATGGCACCATTTTCCTGTTCTGCTAAGCATTCAAAATGTAACGAGTACTTTTGGGTGTCAGGGAAAATGTATGGAGTAAAAAGTACATTATTTTCTTTAGGAATGTAGTGAAGTAAAAGCAAAAGTAAAATAAAGTACAGATACCCCCAGAAACTACTTAAGTAGTACTTTCAAGTATTTTTACTTAAGTACTTTACACTACTGGTAAATACCCTCAGTAGAAAAGGTAGAAATTCCCTAGTGATGGGTTGGAAGGTGAGTGAGGTAGCTTGTGTATACAGTATGTACACACACACACACACACACACACACACACACACTATGTGAGGGCGAGGGAATAAGGTACTGCTGTGACAGTCGTTAGCTTTGTCATCAGCTTCTGGAGAGAAGTGCTGTTCCCATATAATTCACATATACAGACTCTAGGCAGAGCTGGCAACTCGCAACCGTCTCAGCCATTAACACAGTCTCAGCCTCGGAAATCGCCCCTTAGTGTGTGTGTGTGTGTGTGTGTGCTGTAGGATTTTAAAGATTTACAAGGCACATTTTTGAACCAGGGCGGTTGTTTAGCATTGCTAGGTAGCCAAATGGATGCTGTCAATGGGGCAGTAAGATCTAAGCAGTGTGGCGTGCAGTCAACAAACTGCAGGAGCCAGAAGAATTCAGTGGTGACAAACATTGGAACGGAAGGAGTGTGTGGACACAAAACTGGTGCATTTTGTGCAATAATAGCTAATGAGAAGTTAATTTGCAGCGACAAAAAGTGTAACACCAAAATCAACAAACAATGAATATAAACAAAAGAAAAAGAAACAGAAAAAAAAGGAGAAAGAAAGCCAACCAAGGACCCACTGGCTTGGCTGGCTTTAGAGTCTACAGAGACAGACTGACTGGTGAAGTGATATGTGAGCACATTGGTGGTGTGAGGACATTGTGTGTGTGTGTGAGGACATTGGTGGTGTGTGATGACATTGGGTGTGTGTGTGTGTGTGTGTGTGTGAGGACATTGGTGGTGTGTGAGGACATTGGTGGTGTGTGATGACATTGTGGTATGCGAGTACATTGTGTGTGTGTGTGTGTGTGTGTGTGTGTGTGTGTGTGGACAGCGTGGTATGCGAGGACATTGTGTGTGTCAGGGCATTGTGATATGTGAGGACATTGTGATATGTGAGGACATTTGTGTGTGTGTGAGGATGTGCCTCGTGATTGAGGAGAGGGTGGGACCCTACATTAGGCAGGCAGTTGGGGCTCTCACCTCGTACTCCTCCTTGAAGCCGTAGCCCTCGGCACACTTCATCTGGGTGATGTGCTGTAGCAGGTCGGCAACGCGGATGGCCGGGTGGAGCTGACCCGTCTGGTAAGGGGGCACATCCGCCACCTCCCTCTTCTTCTTATAGGAGTGGCTGTGGGACTGGACCAAACTACTGGTGTCACTGGTCATGGTGTGGTTCTCGTCTAGAAACCCAGGAGAGGAGGGACGAGGACACACACATACAGACACTGGTCAGGACTGGAGCGCCCCACAACCCCGTACAGACATAGAATAGGAAAACACTCTTGACATTATAATGGATGAATACAGGGTCACAATATAAAGTTATTCAATGAGAAAACATGAAATGAAAAGGAGTTACTTATAAACTACTTTGTGCTAAACTAGTTATTACAGTGCTTTAAAACATGGTGAACACAAAATAATGGAGCTCGTATCTTAACAGATGACATGATGGGGCACAATAAATCTATTTACATTGTACGATGAGGGGAAAGAGATTGCTTTATTTCTATTGATGCTACCATAGCCCTCAGTTCTCATAACGCTAGCTTGTGGCTAAGTTCTCAATATAAACTTTTCTATCCACAAAATCGACCAATGGCAAAATGAAGTTGCACAAATGATGGAATGGCGGCGGTGGATGGATGACGTGGGTGCACGATCAAATGAAGTGGGTACCCTGGTCGGTAACTCTGTCTAATGGGAAACCGTTTTTAAAAAATGTCAGAGGCATGACACCCACTTTCAACAAAGTGGGGGGAGGGGTTGTGGAGTGGGGGTGGGACGTCACATAGTCCACTTATGCATGAGGCAACACTGTCCACGGGTGGAGTCGGACCACCATGCTAGCTAATGGCTTCACAGGGGTAAGGGGGGCGTGAGATGCGCTAACACAAGTGCATGCGTGGCAACACAAGATGGGAGAGCAGGCCCCAAGACAAGGCAAGCCCCTATTCAATAGCATGATGCACACACACACACACACCTCCTCACCCCAGAGAATACAGGGCAGACTGGCAACTTACCATTAATGGGCACTTTATTAGAGGATAACAGGTTAAATGTGAAAAAGAGAAGAAGAGAAAGGAAACAGGGTATAAAGTTTAGGCATGAGCACCTGCACAGTTTTCATTTTCTCTAGCTGTTTCTAGGCACCAACATGTTTTTGCCTTTCCAGGAGTCCTGTCCTAACCAACTATTCAGTTCAATTGGACACCTCACAGAAAGCTAGATCTGGGACACTTTAGTTGGGGTTTTGTTAATTTGGTTGGAATCACCTAGAATTGACCATTTCAATGTAAATCAATGGTGACAAAGACATGATTAAGAACAAAAACATTTTGTTTTCTGAATGAATTAAATTTTCGTTTGACATTTGCCAAATCTGTTTAACTAGTAAAAAACATCTCCAGATAACGTTTGAAAACCTCTCTAGAAAACAAGTGGAACCACCAGGTAACCTTCTGTGGTGTTGTAAATGTTGAATGTGAACACAGGGCCCTTATCCGAGGAAACATCTAGAAAATCACTAATGCCATTCTTCCTTGAAACACTGTTGTGTTCAGTATCTCTACTAGCCTGAAGTGTGTACATTTATCTGAAAAAAAATAATAACATTTAACTGTATGTTGAAATGTGTCTGTCAAATGTCTACATGTGGTGTTTGTACAGCGCATTTGGAAAGTATTCAGACGCCTTGACTTTTTCCACATTTTGTTACAGCCTTATTCTAAAATGGAATTTAAAAAAAGAATATCCTAAATCTACACACAATACCCCATAACGACAAAGCAAAAACAGGTTTTTAGAAAGTTTTGCAACAAGAAATGATTATATATCTGAAATATCACATTTACATAAGTATTCAGACCCTTTACTCGGTACTTTGTTGAAGCACCTTTGGCAGCGATTACAGCCTCGAGTCTTGGGTATGACGCTACAAGCTTGGCACACCTGTATTTGGGGAGTTTCTCCCATTCTTCTCTGCAGATCCTCTCAAGCTGTCAGGTTAGATGGGGAGCATTGCTGCACAGCAATTTTCAGGCCTCTCCAGACATGTTCAATCGGGTTAAAGTCTGGGCTCTGGCTGGGCCACTTAAAGACATTCAGAGACTTATCCCGAAGCAATTCCTGTGTTGTCTTGGCTGTGTGCTTAGGGTCGTTGTCCTGTTGGAAGGAGAACCTTCGCCCCAGTCTGAGGTCCGGAGCACTCTGGAGCAGGTTTTCATCAAGGATCTCTCTGTACTTTGCTCCGTTAATCTTTCCCTCGATCCTGACTAGTCTCCAAGTCCCTGCCGCTGAAAAACATCCACACAGCATGATCCTGCCACCACCATGCTTCACCGTAGGGATGGTGCCAGGTTTCTTCCAGATGTGACGCTTGGCATTCAGGCCAAAGAGTTCAATGTTGGTTTCATCAGACCAGAGAATCTTGTTTCTCATTCTTTCTCATTCATTCTCAAGTCTTTAGGTACCTTTTGGCAAACTCCAAGCAGGCTGTCATGTGCCTTTTACTGAGGAGTGGCTTCCGTCTGGTCACACTACCATAAAGGCCTGATTGGTGGAGTGCTGCAGAGATGGTTGTCCTTCTGGAAGGTTCTCCCATCTCCACAGAGGAACTCTGGAGCTCTGTCAGAGTGACCATTGGGTTCTTGGTCACCTCCCTGACCAAGGCCCTTCTCCCCCGATTGCTCAGTTTGGTCGGGCGGCCAGCTCTAGGAAGAGTGTTGGTGGTTCCAACCTTCTTCCATTTAAGAATGATGGAGGCCACTGAGTTCTTGGGAACCTTTAAAGCTGCAGACATTTTTTGGTACCCTTACCCAGATCTGTGCCTCGACACAATCCTGTCTCGGAGCTCTACGGACAATTCCTTCGACCTCATGGCTTGGTTTTTGCTCTGAAATGCAACGGTGGGACCTTTTATAGACAGGTGTGTGCCTTTCCAAATCATGTCCAATCTATTGAATTTACCACAGGTGGACTCCAATGTTGTAGAAACATCTCAAGGATGATCAATGGAAACAGGATGCACCGGAGCTCAATTTCGAATCTCATAGCAAAGGGTCTGAATACTTATGTAAATAAGGTATTTCTGTTTTACATTTTTTATAAATTTGCAAACATTTATAAAAACCTGTTTTCACTTTGTCATTATGGGGTATTGTGTGTAGATTGATGAGGAAAAACATTAATTTAATCGATTTTAGAATAAGTCTAACGTAATAAAATGTGGAAAAAGTCAAGGGGTCTGAATACTTTCCAAATGCACTGTATGTTGTCTACTGTACCTGGCTGCACAACAAACCTCCTACCAAGACAAAGATATTGAAACGTTTCTCTAAATGAAAGGGGTTGAAACTGACTATTGTTCTGAAGGAGTTTATTAGGGTAGGTTAGGCAATAATTACATTGATATATTAACACAAGTGTGTCATTCCTTAACTTTGCCCAGGAGCTCTCCAATGTTTGCTACTTCTCTACATGTTTGTTGCTATGGCAATGGGAACTACTTTGTCTGTTTGTATGGATATTTTTAGTTTGTTTGCTGTGCCACTCCCCCTCATCCAGTCCACATTATCTGTCCATGCATATGAGAGGTCATAGACATACGTGACGTCACGCGCACGACACGGAATGCGGATGGGATGGAGTGAATTAGCCAACCTCAGCTTGATTAGAAAGAAACAAAACCTTCTGGTCTGACAAAGAAAGAAAAGCAGGCATGTATGGATGTGTGAAAGCCATTATCAGGAAACAAACCAATCCAAATCACTATCTCCATCTCTCTCTGACTCTCTTTCTCGCTCTCCCTCGCTCTCTCTCTCTCTGACTCTCCTTCCCTCAAATGCACAGCACTTGGTCTATTTTGGAGTAGTAAGTCTCAGTTGGTCTATAAGCATAAGGAATACATTGTAGGAAAAAAAAAAAAGAATGTTTTCTCACCCAAGATAGCGGTTGGCACAAAGGGATCTGCCCACAACCCAAAACCAGTGCAGAGTAGGGTGTTAACAAAGAAGAGAGAATATAGCAGTGAATAGGGTGATGTGCTTCCCCCTCCAGGTAAGACAGCAACATTATAGCAGAGCAGTTACAGTTTGTTATCATCAAGAGAGACAAAGAAAACCCCCAATGGTAGAACGGCATCAATAGTTCATTTTTAACAATATAACAATATAACTAAGTCAGTTAAATATAGATCATGTCCAACATTATCCATCGAATATAATATACATACAGATCAATTAAAATCAATCTACCAATATGGCTCAAAATGGTTGTCCCAAATAGGGCGGGAATAGTATGCAAACGCTATAGAGCAATTAAAACTGCAGGCAAAAAGAAAACAGGAACCATTACATTGTTTTTGCAGGCCACCATTAGATCAAACAAACCGTTTATCAAACAAAGGCACAGGCGTCTAGATCGGGATTGGCCATTCGTTAAAGAGGTAAAGTTCAAGGGGTCATTTGGAGGTCAAGGGTCATAAGAGGTCAGAAGGAGTAGAAGCAGAAGGAGTTAAAAGGTGAGGTAGTTTACCTGGGTAGTAGGAGGTGGGTACAGACGTGCTGATTGTGTTAGTCTTCATGGTGAATGATGAGGGAGAGGTGGCAGCTTTTAGCAAGAGAGAGAGAGCACGCAGTAACACAATGGTCAATAAACTTCAGTGGAAGAAGTAATAGTATATTTCTAGAAGATCTGTAGGAATCAAACAATGTATTTGGCTTCCAGTTCTGGCTAAATAAAAGGTTGGCTCAAATTAAAACATAGAATCGGGGAAGCGTGTGTTCACTTCCCTTCCTAAAGCCATTAGCTTCCCGTGCCTAGGATAGGCTTGTAGCTTTTGCATGTCCCCTGACAAAGTCAATTTAACAAGTGGAATAATGTCAAGAAACTAAGATTTTTCACTATTTACTGTTCTGGTTACGCATATGGATACAAGTACTCTAATGCTTTTTAATGACTGTATTTTTGAGTTAGTAACAACAACGGCCTGTGTTCATACAACATATTCAGCCAAATCAATAAAGTTCAGCCGGTTCGTTGATAAAACCGGCACAGTCCACTGAGCGATGGTCGCCATTTTTGTCGGTCGCCATCAGACAGCTGCCATAAGTTGCCTACAGTGACCCTGCTGTTAGTCAAGGATATTGTGATAGACAGCGGGATAAGGTCATGGCTGAATGGCTCTGCCGTCCAATGAGAGCATGTTTATTTATTTATCCCCTATGTTTCCCAGGCCACTCCAATCTGCCCGGCGACACGTCAGCCGGCCCTGTCAGGCAGAAATGGTGTTCCCCTCCTGCAATATTAAACGAGCGCCAAACGATCCAAGACTCATTCACGGTCGTGTTCTCGCTCCTGTCCCCTTTTTCCTTTGACAGACAGATGAGAGGAGCGCGAGGTGGAGAGGGGAGAGAGAAGAAATACCTAGTGACCCTGGCACCTCCTAGCCTTCAGAGTTGAAAGACAGAAAACTCTGTCTTCAGGGTTTGTGACTTATTTACTCTCCAGTACCAGAGATATAAGGAGGTCTAAGAAATATAGAGATTATAATGCTGGAGATCCTCATAATGAAGGGATGTCTTAATGTCTTATAGTTGTGAGGGATGGGGGCATTTGGAAGCGGAGGGGGGGGGGTTCGGGGGTACAAGGGGGAAATCAGATGGTGATCTGCTGACTCTAATGTCTGGGCCTGGGGACCACCGTTGGTGGGGGGGTTTAGGGGATTGTACCCCAGCCAGGGTCAGCTGTCCCTGGGGTGAGGAGCAATGCCAGAGGGGGTAGAAACATGACAGATGGGGGAGATAGAGGGCGGCAGGTAGCCTAGCGATTAAGAGCATTGGGCCAGTAACCGAAAGCTCGCTGGTTCGAATCCCCGAGCCAACTAGGTGAAAAATCTGTCAATGTGCCCTTGAGCAAGGAACTTAACCCTAATCGCTCCTGTAAATCGGTCTGAATAAGAGCATCTTCTAAATTACAAAAATGTATTTTTTTAAAAAGATCTACGCCTCCCCCCACTCATGTGTCAACATGGGATACCCATAGAGGCAATGGGAGGGAAATAAAAGGCTAGAAATAGGTAAGAAGGGTTTTAAATGGGCTCAGGATCAGAAACAAAGATTAAAGCATTGAAAGCTTTGGAAAATGAAGGGAGTAAGATTTTAATATTTTTTTGAAAATGTAATATGCCATTTAGCAGACGCTTTTATCCAAAGCGACTTACAGTCATGCGTGCATACATTTTTTTTGTGTATGGGTGGTCCCGGGGATCGAACCCACTACCTTGGCGTTACAAGCGCCGTGCTCTACCAGCTGAGCTACAGCTCTGAGACTATCCTTATTTAGACGCTGGATCTGCAAATTATAGTTGAGCTGCTTAATAAGTAAACAAAACTGAAGAAATGTCTAACATGCTTGGGTAGAGGGTTTTTCACATGACTTGATCATTGATAAAACAGAATTTGTTTAGAATTTTAAGAAATTGCTCTAATGTACCAGCGTTACTCCATGTTACCTATAGCCTTTTCACACTATTGTGCCCACCTAAACCAAAATGTGTTACTCTAATATGTTTTTATTTTCACATTGTCCTTTCCACTACGGTTCCAGCAACTAATGTGAACGTGTAACCAGGCCAGCTCAGTACAGCTTGGTTTGGCTGGGTTCAGCTCAGTGTGAAAAGCCCTCCAGACTCCCCAGCCACCCACCCACAATGCCCTGTTGTTGGACACTCACTTCTCCCGTTGAGTGTGTGGCTGTGGGTGTCCATGAAGGAGATGGCCTCGTCACAGTTGGTGCCCTGCTCCGTGTAGCTCTTGTCCATGGAGTTCACCATCACGGTCATCTCCTGACGTGTGCTGCTCAGTGTCTCCTTGCGCTTCTTAGCCAATTTCCTGGTTTTATACCAAACACAATAGAAAGAAGAGACGAAAGGGTCACAGGGGAAAACACTGGAAAGCTAGTGATACAGTAAGCAATACGCTAAATATGTATAGTAATCAAGCCTCATATTGACATGGTCTGGTTCATACCTGGCTCCAACTAAGATTTGTTTTATTTAAAATACTATTATGGATTTCATTGAGCCTGCTATTTGAACCCAGGTCTGCTGTGGTTGTTCTCTTACATCACATCAGGCCTTGCTGTGGCTAGCAATTCACGTCTCCTCATGAAATCGAGATGGACAGCAGAGATTAAATCTAGTCTGCATACAAACAGTGCGACAAGGTAGCTACCTTTTTCTGATTCAACCCAGAGGCTACACCGTATATTTTGCTGCCATGTCCCATCTTGTCCACAACGTGGACACAAAGAGTAAACACAGGTCCAGATCCTGACTCTTAGGGCCTTAGGTTGGCCAACTGAGGGAGATTCTAGGAAACAAGGACACCCTTAAATACCTGCTAATGTACTCTCCTGGGGCCCCATGTCAGCGGTTAGGGCAACAGCCTCGCACATGCACACACACAGAGAGAGAAGGACTATGCAGATTGGATACTTAAAGTCTGCCCAGTCCAGTTCAGCTATGGTTTGTTAGAAAATGGCGGCTGTTGTGTTTTTTCGGCAGGGGTGACACAGGGGCCAAGGGAGGCTTACGCAAAGGGGTTGTCATCCTAGAAAACAGTGCTGTGGTGCGGTTTCAGAATGCTGCAACACGTGTGATAGAGAGCGGGGCAGATCCATAGAAATATAAAATGGCATAAGCCACTCTAGTATTCTATACTCTATGGGCTGATGACTCTCATTGGAGAGAATCGCGAACTCGCTGATGAGGGGCAGATAACCAATAAGAACGTCTGCTTTTCCAACGGCCTCGCCCTTTCCTTTGAGCTGAAAGCTTGCATTGAGTTCATAGCACTTAAGACATACTTTTAAAGTAAAAACATTGGGTTTACAAATGGGAGCCATTTTCCACTTAGCTCTTTTTCCCCCTAAAAGCTTAATCAGGCAAAATCGTAGTGTTTCAGAGCGCTCACTCTCTCGCTAATGTTGCTTTTCCTCAGCGCTCCAGCTGTATGGGTCGACAAAGAGCGTGTGTGTGAACGGTGCCTTTGCGAGCGCCCAGCTGGCAGTAACAGAGAGACCTTGGTGAAGCCTTCATTAGGGGCTAGCCACAAGCGCCCATCAGTCCCCCTCTGTGTCGTGATCACTGTGCTTTTATGGGGGGCTGCGAAGGTGCAGTGTATGCCACATTTGCCATGCCAAGGCAGTCAGTGGGGGTGCCAGACATTTTGACAGCCCTAAGATGGCGCTGTGATACCGGGGTCTGTGAAGCTGGCATAGGCCCCTGCGTTCTCTGGCGAGAGCCAACTTTCCACCAAAACACTGTAGCGATGCCAATCCATTCCTGACTAGTCCTCACGAACAACTCCTGAGTGAAAACGCCCTAGCCCCCATAACAACCATCAGTAGCAAATAGCAAAAATCTAAATGGGACGCTGCCCGGGCAACCTGTACCTGAGAATTTCTCATTTGCAGGTGGGTAGTATATGCCTCCGAATCCCATCCAAAGTGTCCATATTCTCCAACCTCTATTTCCAGTGACCAATGTCCATTTGAATGCAGCCATAGGCATTAGTATGCCATCTGACTGCTCGTCTGAATTGGCAGCTCCATTCTGAATTGGCAGATGTACTCTAATCCTTTAGTATCTAAAGTTCTAGAATTTTCGCTCTTGCCCCCACATGTCCTGTATCCACCTTGGACACAACGCACCCTTCACTATAGCACCTAGCTCTCTCCCTGCTCCAGGCTGAACTCCACAGCATTTCTCCAGTTGGATTTCATCAGCCTGATGTGCACTTCTGACATGCAGTACAGCAGACTGGGCTAGGGCGGTCATCTGGAGAGGCCTTCTCTACAGGTGAAGACAGTCTACACTGGACATGGTGGGGGCCTTCAACTCAACGTCTCAGAGCAAGAGTGCTACAGACACTCTGTGAGAGTAAAATGAGTGACAAGCACAATCTCAAGAGACAGGTATTCTATACTAAACAAAAACATGTAAAAAATAGTTGGTCCCATGTTTCAGGAGCTGAAATAAAGGATCTCAGAAATTGTCCATATGCACAAAAAAGCTTATTTCTCAAATGTTGTGTACAAATTTGTTTATATCCCTGATATTGAGCATTTCTCCTTTGCCAAGATAATCCATCCTCCTGACAGGTGTGGCATATCAAGAAGCTGATTAAACAGCATGATCATTACACAAGTGCACCATGTGCTGGGGACAATAAAAGGCCACTCTAAATTGTGCAGTTTTGTCACAACACAATGCCACAGATGTCTCAAGTTTTGAGGGAGCGTGCAATTGGCATGCTGACTGTAGAGAATTTGTCATACGTCCAACCGGCTTCACATCCGCAGACCACGTGTAACCACGCCAACCCAGGACCTCCACATCTGGCTTCTTCACCCGCGGAATCGTCTTGGATCATTTACCCAGACAGGTTTGTACAACTGAAGAATTTCTGCACAAACTGTCAGAAACTGTCTCTTCTGTTGTTCTCATCCTCACCAGGGTATTCACCTTCAGTGGGCAAATGCTCACCTTCGATGGCCACTGGCACACTGGAGAACTGTGCCCTTCACGGATGAATCTCGGTTTCAACTCTACCGGGCAGATGGTATGGCGTTGTGTGAGCGGGCGGTTTGTTGATGTCAACGTTGTGAACAGAGTGTCCCATGGTGGCGGTGGGGTTATGGTATGGGCAAGCATAAGCTACGGACAATGAACACAATTGCATTTTATCGATGGCAATTTGAATGCAGAGATACCGTGAAGAGATTCTGAGGCCCATTGTCGTGCCATTCATCTGCCACCATCACCATGTTTCAGCATGATAATGCACAGCCCCACGTTGCAAGGATCTGTACACAATTCCTGGAAGCTGAAAATGCCTCAGTTCTTCCATGGCCTGCATACTCACCAGACATGTCACCCATTGAGCATGTTTGGGATGCTCTGGATCGACGTGTACGACAGCGTATTCCAGTTCCCGCCAATACCCAGCATCTTCGCACAGCCATTGAAGAGGAGTGGGAAAACATTCCACAGTCCACAATCAACAGCCTGATCAACTCTACGCGAAGGAGATGTGTCACGCTGCATGAGGCAAATGGTGGTCACACCAGATACTGACTGGTTTTCTGATCCACACCCCCTACTTTTTTTAAGGTATCTGTGCATATCTGTATTCCCAGTCATGTGAAATACATAGATTAGGGCCTAATGAATTTATTTCACATTGACTGATTTCCTTATATGAACTGTAACTCAGTGCGTTTACATTTTTGTTCAGTGTAAATAAGGCTGTAAACTCCACAGGCCCTAGTGATCGTGCTTTCTCTTTGAGAGCCAATTCAGCAGAGATCAGATTTATTAACTCTGCTACAGTAGCGAGAAGTCTCAGCATCCAATTCATTGTAATAATTCAAGAGATTTATTATAAAATTAAGCAGACATAGATAACTTCCACAAAATCCAATTGGATGCAAACAGACTCAGCGGACAAGACAATATTGGGCCTGTTTGGTGTCTTAAACGAGAAGGTATTTTAAGTGAATGCAAATTTATATCTGCATTTAATATAATCTGATTTACTACAAAGGGATTCCTGACAGTAATAACACTCTGAAGAAGAGTGCAATATCCCTCGCTTTAACCGCGGGAGCCTAAATATGAGACACTGTGGCACTTTGCAAAAACCAGCTTTGGAATTTACTGTCTCTTGTCGTCATCTAAATCTGCATTTGTCTCAATTGCGAGGCGAGCCTGGGAGGCAGAGATTTGTCACCGAGTGGTCGCGCTCTCCTCTCTCCGTCTCTGCACTTAAGGAACAAATTAAAGTGTCTGGGAAGAGCCTTTTGAAATTACAGAGGGAGATGGTTATCGCAGACTCTATTGAGCCAATTTAGTGCATTCATGTTGCAGAGCGGGAGACAAGTCATACACAGTTTCTTTTAAATTGGAGGCAAAACCCCAAGCACACAAACGCTTCATGGATCACCGGTTAGATGCGAGATAAAAAACAGCCTCAGACAAAGAAAAAAAAACGACACAAAGGAGAGAAAACATTGGAACATTTGTGAAGGGAAGGATTATTATATGGGCCCATCTTATTTGTCGTGGCAGAGAGGATTCTTAGAATTCGGTGAGGCGGAATGTGATTTTCTCAAGGCGGTTAACAGCTTGAGTGTTCAACCTCCACTTAGTGGTGTTCTACCTGCCTGGGGGGGTGGTGCAGGTGGGGGGTAGCGTGGGGTGGTATAATTGTCTTTCCCTTTGTCTTTACTGTGGTAAACACAGCCGCTCAGCCCTTAGACGGCATGCAATCCCTAAAAAGCCGGAGAGAATTACTAGTGGCTAATGGACAGCTATGAGTTAATGAAGCTCTCCCGCCACCGTCGCCAAATCAATCTGCTTGGATTCAATTTCGCAACCGGCTCGCTCCGTATGGAAGTGCCTGACTCCTCGCTGCCACCAAACATTTATTTGAGGCCCTCGACAGGAAGCTAATAGTTTTAACTGTTCCTCCAAATTTGGTTTGCCGTGAAAAGCAACATTTAATGCACGTTGTCATCTCGCTGGGTAATAGGTGATTTAGTATGGGGGTTGGAGGAGAGGGAAGGTGGGTTTCTAGCATGGCTTCCGTCTTGGAGTGCAGGGTGCAATGTGAACAATGGCTACCTGGGGATATATTAAGTACTGCTCCTACTCTGTAATTGAAGCTTAGTGTTTAATGGTTGACATTAGGGCCGTGGCGGAGTCGACGCTTGTTTAATTAGGCAGAATGAGAAAAAAACACGAGTTGCTGCAATTTGCGTGTTTTTGTTGACTTCATTTACTTGTTTATTTCTTCTCATTCTCTTTCTTAGTTTTTAATAAAGAGCGCTAATCAGAGGGTGGCAAAGTTAATGACGTGGAATAGAGCAATCCAGACAACATGAATGCTTGGGAGGTGACAAACACTCACAGCCCAAGGTTTCCCCATCTGCATGGAGTCAGGGGACTATAGTGTTACCGTGCCAACAGCAGCAGCAGTGACAGATTGGACAGGAATAACGAAGTACATTCCTCATCTTGAGATAAAGGAGTTTAAAACTTGAGTTTCTCAAGGCAATGCAAAATGGCATTTAGTTTCACTAACCCTGTCCCTATGTTCAAATCCAATTCTTGCTTGGGGACTTTGGCAAATAGGGGAAAGACGCTTCCATCTCCTTTTTCATTTGAGATGCTTGGCGCCTTTCTAAAAGGATCTGTGTTTCATGTACCCACCTGGGAAAGCGGGCGATTGAAACCCTTCCCCAAACAGCTGTGGGATTTGACAAAGCGCGGTGGCACAGCCCATTTCCCTGCAAATGTCAGGACTCGATCTGTCTCGGGGAGCGGCGGTGGAGAGCGAGCGCAACGGAAATTGAAAATAAATGTGAAAGTGCTCCTCACAGTCTCTCCAATCAGGGAGAGGGACTGATGTGTTGCCCAAGGTGTTGGATCGATGGGTCCCCTGCTTCCGCCAGAGGAGCACAGTGTTGGAGGTTAAGAAATACTTTGAGAGGTTCAGGTGAACATAGGAGGGGAGGGGGCAGTAAGATTTTGTCCAAACTTACAAGTACTCCAAGAGCTTCCAGTGAACGGTCTCACTTCAAAGTACAAAAAAGTTCCACTAACGATGTTCCACAATAGTTTATTTTGTTCTGCTAAGCGCTCGCAGGCTGAACCTTTCAGCCCAACCCTAAAAAATGATCTGGTGTCAAGATTTGGACTAAAAACAAGAGAATGAAGGAATGCTAGCCATCTTGGCTCAGCGAGGCACCGCCGCAGAGGGGGATGACAAATGACAGATTGTCTCCACTTTGTGACAGTGTGGCTGTCATCAATCCCGACAGAGGAAGCGGCAGCGTGCTGCGCTGCTGAAGGGGCCGGGTGATGAGTGACACTGGCAGAGAGGGAGGGAAACGCACGGCTTCACATGAGAGATTCCCTTTGATGGACGTGTTGGTTGGCAAAGTAGGCTGGCACACACACACAGGTGGGTAGAGACCCTGCAGTGGTACAATGCAGAAGTTGCATAGGCAGAGGTGGCATCGCGAAGAGGCCTTGCTCGCTAAATGCTAATGTTGTCTAGTGTACAAGATTTGCACTGTCTATATGTAGGCTACAGACGTTTTCGCATTGGCGTAATAGTTAGAAAAAAAATGAAGGGGATTATAGCCTCCCGTTTTAAAACGCACACTTAAAAAAATATACTACCTGAATCAACAGAATGAATCCAGAGAGACGGACAAATGAAAAGCGGGTGAACGGGGAGAGAGATGCAGGAGAAAGGGGGGAGAGAGATGCAGGGGAAAGGGGCGAGAGATGCAGGGGAATGGGGAGAGAGATGCAGGGGAATGGGGAGAGATGCAGGGGAATGGGGAGAGAGATGCAGGTGCTGAGTGAAGAGATACAGTATGAGCTATGGTTGTTTACCCCCCCTCTCCCCCATCCCACCATCCCTTGCCCCCCATCGCTACACGAGTGCTCGTTCCCATCCATGACCCACATGCATACCTAATGCCACCGCCTGGTCACAACACTCCCCACGTACTCCTCCAATTGCTGCGTTTCTCTCCAACGCTATGCTAGATATTTTTCATTTCATCCCTTTCTATTCCAGTTCTTTGCATAAGCGTAGCCTTTTGGAGCCGTTTAAAGTTTAACCTGAAAAACCTGAATTGAATCAGATGACGAGAGAAAACAAATAGAAAAAAAAAGACTATAGGCTTTTAACACTAGAACCTTTCAGCCGCTAGAGAATGTAGGCTTTTAACACTAGAACCTTTCAGCCGCTAGAGAATGTAGGCTTTTAACACTAGAACCTTTCAGCCGCTAGAGAATGTAGGCTTTTAACACTAGAACCTTTCAGCCGCTAGAGAATGTAGGCTTTTAACACTAGAACCTTTCAGCCGCTAGAGAATGTTGAGAACGTTTCCGGGCGTCTCATTTAGATTATGCATTAGATACATATCAACCCGCAACGTGTGCAAACATCCGCACCAAGGCTTGATAAATAGTGCATAAACTATTGTAAAGCATGAAATGCATTAAGAAATATTCATGGAAATATATCCATGTAGAAATTTAACAACAATAGTTATTTGTTTAGATAGAGTCAAGGATATGTTTTGTATAATTCTACAAAGTCCTAGTGAAAAGCGTAGGCCTAAAGCCAATTTTGGACACTTCCAGCCAAAAACTATTTCAAAGAACATAACAGCATTTTCATTAGTTTATGTTACTCTAGGCCCCTCAACTCTGGACCTCGAAGCCAGTTCCACTGCGTTTTTTCATTGTTCCCCTCTAATCAGGGACTGATTTAGACCTGGGACACCAGGTGTGTGCAATTAATTATCAGGTAGAACAGAAAACCAGCAGGCTCCGGACCTCGTAGGGTCAGAGTTGAATATCCCTGGTCTAGGCTATCAGTAAAAACGACAAACCACTAGTTCAAGTCCATCACAAAGAAGTCCATTATAATTTTGTTTTGGCAGGTCTAAAGAAACATTGTTGAAATAAGAAAATGAATGTGATGTTTATTACAGCATGTTACCAGTCTGCTTAGTAGCCAGAGCAATGCTGCCTCTAGTGGTCATGTGCTGAACGCATGGACAGTGCATATATTCTTGGAAAATGTTAAATTTGGTAATAGAGCTGCACCTCTTGAATTTTGAGAGTTATTTGACAAAAGGGCCATAGAAACTGCAGAATATGCTCTTTCTGATACTATGTAGAACTCAAAAAGTTTTACCTGCATGTGACTCTGAAGGAGGATTTGATAAAGTGATGCTCCTTTCCCTGCATCTGTCTATTACAAGCTGCATCCATCTCTTCATGTACAACTTGACAACTAATAATACTGTCAATTAGACAATAGTCCATTTAATCTGGTCTAACTCATAAAAAGTGTAATTAGTTTTGTTATAGTTTAGGTGTAGTTTGGAAGGGCCGGCTGTGCAGGCTGACTGACATCGTTTGTTCACCCTTGCTCATCAACTTTGATAGAGTCAAGGATATGTTTTGCATTATTCTAAAGGTGTACTGCAACTGTACTGTTTCCCTTACAATAAATGTGATTAGTACTAGCATTATAGTAAATAAAACAGTCCCGCAACAGCTTCTTTTTACAAAGTAAAACACAAGAGACTGGTATCAACCCGCAAGGCGCGCGGTCAAATTATTAACATGAGCCCCAATGATGATAGGCATAACAAACTCATCATTACACTATTGTTGTTCTAAACTAAAATCAACCTCTTCACCCTCCTTATCATTCAGTTAGGCCTCATTTAAATTAGATTGTGAAGTAACGTGCACAGTTATCGCCCATTCGTTCAGTGGGGCTGGCATCGTTTGCTTCCCTTCGCTCATCAACCTGGATAGAGTCAAGGATATGTTTTGCATTATTCTAAAGGCCTACTGCAACATGTAGCATGTTTTTTTGTTACCATTACAATAGATTTGATTAATTATAGAGTTATAGTAAATAAAACAGCTTATTTTTAGAAAGTAGAACGTAAAATAAAATTATAATCAACTTGCGGTCAAATTATTTGCTATAAACATGAGCGCCAAAGCTGATAAATAGGCATAACACACTCATCATTACACTACTGTCATTCTAAATTAAATTAACCTTTCACCTTCATCATTCAGTTAGGCCTCATTTAAAATTAAATAGTGAAGTAACAAGCACAGTTATCGCCCATTCATCCATTTGTAATTCATTCAGTGAGGAGAGAGAGACGCATTAGTGCCTGGCTGGGTACCAACGTCTTACAGTGCATTGTCGTGGCCGGTTAAGTTGGGAATAGGTGTAAAAAAAAAAAGTAAAAAGGCTATTTTCTGTTTGTGATTCTGACAAGTGAGCAATGTAAAATACAAACATTTAGGAAATGTCAGGGAAGGAGCAGGGCAATTTGGGGGGGGTCAATTTTTTTAGTAAATCAAACGTTAGTGGCCGTTGGCCTATGGTGGTTCTAGTGTTAAAGAGAACACTTGCCCACAAACAGATAAATAAAAAGCGTAAAAGCTCCTGCCGTGTTGGCCCCTCTGATTGGGTGGTGTCACTGATGGCCCCTGACGGCCACTAGGCCACAGGATAGGGAGGCAGAGGAGAAAGGAACCCTCCCCTGGAGCAAGGCATTCTGTCCAAGGCAGCAGGCAGAGAGACCACTGAATAAAACCCACTCTAGTTGACGTTTTGCTGAGATAAATCTTAATGTTTGGCAGTGGGGGCTCTGGAACTTCAGCGGTGGGGCCCGCGGCAATGGCTGTGGATGGACACAGGGACAGAGGCCTGCTGGAGATGGTCTGTAATGTCTCTCCATTATCAGAGTGCCATAAAACCACAGACGGAGCTGTGTATGACCTGTGAGGTTAACGTCCACTGAAGGCTCTTATCAGGGATTCATAATATCATTAAAGAATGACAGCGACTGGGAGTGAAGAAAAGCGGTGGTACTTGGAAATATATCCTTTCATATAAATTAGTAGCCTTTGATTAGAGATAGCTACAGTGCCTTCAGAAAGTATTCACACCCCTTAACTTTTTTTCACATTTTGTTGTGTTACAAAGTGGGATTAAAATTGATTTGTCATTTTTTGTCAACAACCTACAGAAAATACTTAAAGTTTAAGAAAAATGTGTAAAAAGAAATAAAAAAAATAAGAGGAAAATGAACACTAATATATCTTCATTAGATTCAACCCCATTTGTCAATATATGTTAGAATTACCTTTGGCCGCAATTACAGCTGTGAATCTTTCTGGGTAAGTCTCTAAGAGCTTTCCACACCAGGATTGTGCAACATTTGCCCAATATCATTTTTATTATTCATGTCTGTCAAATTGGTTGTTGATCATTGCTAAACAACAATTTTCAGGTCTTGCCATAGACTTTCAAGCAGATTAAGTCAAAACTGTAACTCTGCCACTCAGGAACATTCACCATCTTCTTGGTAAGCAACTCCAGTGTAGATTTGGACTTGTTTTTTAGGTTATTGTCCTGCTGAAAGGTGATTTCATCTCCCAGTGTCTGGTGGAAAACAGACTGAACCAGGTTTTCCGATAGGATTTTGCCTGTGCATAGCTCCATTCCATTTATTTTTTATCCTGAAAAACTCCCCAGTCCTTAACGATCACAAGCATACCCATAACATGATGCAGCCACCACTATGCTTGAAAATATGGAGAGTGGTACTCAGTAATGTGTTGTATTTGCCCCATTGGAAACCTCACTGGTCTTTGTGGTTGAATCTGTGTTTGAAATTCAATGCTTGACTGAGGGACCTTACAGATAACTGTATGTGTGGGGTACAGAGATGAGGTAGTCATTTAAAAAATCATGTTAAACACAATTATTGCACACCGAGTGAGTCCATGCAAATTATTATATGACTTGTTAAGCAAATTTTTACTCCTGAACTTATTTCGGCTTGCCATAACAGAGGGGTTGAATAGTTATTGACTAAGGACATTTCAGCTTTTCATCTTTAAATAATTTGTAAACATTTCGAAAAACATAATTCCACTTTGACATTATGAGGAATTGTGTGTATGCCAGTGACACAAAATCTCAATGTAATCCATTTTAAATTCAGGCTGTAACAAAATGTGGAAAAAGTCAAAGGGTGTGAATACTCTGAAGGCACTGTATAGTCTCTCGTTACAATATCACCCCTTTCACAAAGCTGTATTCTCCTTTCTGTCGCTATAACCTAGCAACGGGTAGAGAGAGGAGTGCAGCAGGTATGTTGCAACAACGTGGATATCAAGCGGATTTAATGACATTTGAAAAACATGTTCTTCTCTTGAGAAAAAAAAGGCTTACAAGTGCCACATAAAGAATAAATAGAATGATATAATTGTTCAACAAGCGTTTTATACTCATAGAATGATATAATTGTTCAACAAGCTTTTTATACTCATAAAATGGCTTAACAAGTCCGTATAATTCACCATATTACAATACATCACTCCATTACAATAAGCTGCCATGTCTTTAACATTAAACAATAACGCAGTTCATTTCCTCTTTATTCAGTTGAGGAATTAATCTTTCATAGATGCACATTGCCAAACAAGCATAAATATGTTTTACATATGACTATGACTATCAACATGTAACGGTTTTAATCATTGCGGACGGTCGTCTACATTTGACATAGCTAATGAAACCCTGTGGTAAAACAGAGCGGAGCTGTTCTAGATTCTCCAGGGATAAACACATGTATTTGTATGTATGGCTGATCATGTAGGAAGCGCATCGGAATGAGAGCCTTGGGGCTACTGACGAGCTGTCAGCCAGCGCAGAGAGAAAGGGAGAGAGATAGAGAGAGAGTGAAAGAGAGAGGGAGAGAGTGGCATCACCTCAAAGAAGAGCGGGTTCACTGAAAAAGATCTCATCTGTCACAGTTTGATGTAAGGATGGAGGGATGGAGAGAAGAAAGAAGAGCACATGACCTCAACTCTGCTGAAAATGAACATTAACAGCACCCTGGGTTTCACACCGAGCTTACAGTTGGGGTCCTTATTTCTCAATATTACACATGTTCTACTGGGCAACAAAAACATCAACACACATCCTGATTTGTGTGGCTATCAAAATCAAAACCTCATTCCTTATGCACTGCAAGAACGCACATTTTCTAAAGGAACTGGAGCATTCCTGACCACAGTGAATCCTCCACATTCTCTCCGATACCAGAAAATAAAAGCCAAAAACACACAGCCCATACCCATAACTTTGACCTATAAAGGCTTTGACTGAGACAGCTCCATTTGCGATTTTAATTGGTCTTTATAGATGAATAAAAAACAGCAAGTCTGCCTGATGGTTTCTGTGATCAGTTGGTGCGTAAGGGGAGGGAGAGGGGAAATACTAAGCCATTCCACTCAAACAGTTTAATGACAGTGTTGCAGGTGATGCTGGGAGGAAGCCTCCACAACAGCTGTACACACATAGAGAGAGACGGAGACTGAGACGAGGCTAGCCATCTTCCTCACTGGCTAGCTAGTGTACCTCGGTGAAGGCTAATTAATTCAACCATGTGGAGAAGCTGTCGAACCATGACAAGAAATCTAGGCTACATTCAAAACAAATCATACATAGACATAAGAGCCAGATAGTGGAGTTCATTGTATAAACAGCCAGGCTGGCGTGGGGGTTAGCTGTTGACACCCTAGGGCTCAATCCAACAGTCTAAATAACAGGCTGCTCTAGCACGTTATTATCAGCAATATTTGTGTACATTCTATTGTACCACAAGTCACTGAAAAACAAAACATACCATTAAACCTAATGATGTTCGACCAGGGACTCTGAAGATGGAACTCTTTGCCTTTCCTTCATGTAGAATCATGGCACGTTACTCTTTAATATTTCAAGCTGCTTACACCCATTCCATAAAGCATGGTTGGTTCCATAAAACATGGTTGGTTCCATCAAGTCTGTTTTGATGGATGTGTTCATATCTATCTAGACAGATATGTAGAATATGTTTCCTTGTTACAGATAGCTACATGTTAAGCAACCCTTTTATTTACAGTATGTCATGTCATGTCATTGATGGAAAATTAAATGTCTCTTCTCACAATACAAAATTAATAACTGGAAATGTACTACCACAAGAAAATAGAAAAAAACTATAATTCCTCAAAATAGATGTGATTGGACACTTGCTACAGTGTAACATGAATAGTATATGAGATATAATTCAGCTATAAGACATGTTTTTCTATTAATTCCATTCAACCAACTGGAAAACCAAGGTTACTGAGAAGGAACACAAAGCCTGGAAGATTGGAGAGAAAGAGAACTTGTAATTTACAGTGTCGCTACAGTAATTGCCTAGCTGAAAATCAACAAAAAACAATAAACCGTTTTCAGAGATACCGGGGAAAAACACGACAACCCAAAAAAATGAGAGAGAGAGTGAGAAAGAGAGAGAAATGAAAACACCTAATTGAATGGCCAGCTCTCCCCCTACGTTAGCCTAACACACAATGTTAATAGAAATGTAGTCGCCAAATCAAAGTGTTTATATTCGTGGCGTGATCAGTAATTTCTTCCTTGTACTTGGATCTGCACTTTGACCGCCGCTTACAATGGCGGCATCAGACAAAAGGCTGATCCAGTAACACCCCTGATCAGGTCAGCGACACAAAGAGAAGAGTAAGGTTTGCTCCCAAACCAAATGAATCTAGTCTGAATTGACTCTGGAGGCAGAGCTGAATTAAGACCGGGTGCTCTTAGAAATCGCACAATCTCCCACGACACCTTTTACCAGCGTTTAAACCCCGAGGGTCACCAGTGTTGGGGCACATTTATTCCCAAGAGAACGAGCCCCCTGTATGACATCGGCCTTTCACTAGTCTCGGACCCGCGACACAAATGCGTGCTCCACAACGACCCAACTGAACGACCCCCGATACAATGGCAGAGATACACTGGGTGTCGTCGGTTGGGTGTAATAAATGGCTGCTGATACCATCAAACTGTAAACAGTAGCCATTCACCCATTTCATTAAGACTGTGGAAAAACAATGGCATTTACAGGCAAACAACTGGAATCGTCTGTTTTCCATCTAACCGTCTAACTCCAGTTGTTACCCTAAACAGATCATATAACAGGGGAAGGTTTTATTGAGAACCTTTAGGGACTTCCTGAACACAAAACAGTACTTAGATGCTATGCTATAATCACATTACACACTCCAATGGGCTGCTTACGAGGTTTGGCAACACTACTTACCACGCCGTTCATGAGACACCTGCACTTTAGGGGTTATGTATGCTAACCGAATGAGAAGCAGGAGAGTGCCATTAACGTATCTCAGGGTGACGCGAATGTAAACTGTGGCGAGATAAAAACAGTGTGTGTGTACGCCGGCCATTAGCACACAAACAGGGCTAGGTGTGTACATGCGTGTGTGCGTGATACCTTTATAGGGCAGCGGCGTGTAAGTGCAGCCACCTCTCATGTAACGAGCATCAGATAGGACGGCTCTATTGCGGCGCGGGCTGAATCCATTTAGAGCGGCAGGCTGGGCGCTAACGGCTAACTTTAGGCTAGCATCCTGTAAATTCCCCCTCTGGGCTTTACCACGTTCACCTCTCCTCCTTTTAATTACGCCGAACACCACCCAACAAGGTGTTTGAGGCTCAGCAAAGCACAAAGAGGAAAAAGTGGAATAGTAGCGTTTTAGGGTAGAGTGTGGCGTCTCATTTCCAGCCAGAGTCGTGTTCATTTAACAACAGAATACAAAATGGATTTTTTTTATTTATTGGAAACGTCCAGGTAGTCCCCTGTTTCAATCTCTTTTCTTCCATTTGGTGTTTAATGAATACAACCCTAGTTCATCTTGTGGCAGTGACACAGGAAGGGGGTGAGAACAGGGGTGCCAGATCAGAAGGCAGCTCAGGAATGACCTGTCACCCTAATGACAAAGGGAGTTAAAGGACTTACCAGTCCCCCAACAGATGGGCGAAATGGTCTTCTCGTCTCCCCTCTTCTACCACCGCCTCCTCCTTTCTCTAACTTCCCTGCTCTTCTTCGGAATGACAGTGCCCAGACAAATGCGCAACCCTTGTTGCAATTAATTTGATTCTTTTTCTGCGTGAAACCCTCCTGAGGATTTAATGAATGTTTCACGGCGGCCGGGCCCCCATTGGGATGATGAAAGTCACAGTTAATGGGCCCGTCTCTCGGGTCCCTGGAAGCGCTCGCACATTCGGTTCTTAGTGGAGAGAAAGAAAGAAAGAAGAAAAAGAAAGAAAGAAGAAAGAAAGAAGAAAGAAAGAAAGAAAGAAAGAAGAAAGAAAGAAAGAAAGAAAGAAAGAAAGAAAGAAAGAAAGAAAGAAAAGAAAGAAAGAAAGAAAGAAAGAAGAAGAAAGAAAGAAAGAAAGAAAGAACGAAAGAAGAAAGAAAAAGAAGAAAGAAAGAAAAAAAAAAAGAAGAAAAAAGAAAGAAAGAAAGAAGACAAATAAAGAACATACGCACATACAGAACAGACAATAGACACATCACCAAAACGACCACCTCTCCAACCGCCAATCCTAATCCCAGCAACCTACCAGCATCACAGCAAATCCAACCTACGAAAACCGACCTAACCATCCCTCACCAGAAAACGCTCCTCCCTAACACTCAACAAACAAACCACGCACATCAAAGAACCCCACAGAGCACACTACCAAACCCTCCCAAGCCCATCCCTCACCGCACGCCCCTCCACTCATCCAATCCCTCCCTCACCTCCCATCCACCCTCCACAGCACCCCCTCCCTCCCTCCAGCCAACCCCCTCCCTCCAATCCCACCCCCCTACCAGCTCCCTCCTCCCTCCTAAACCCCCTCCCTCCCTCCCTCCATCCCTCCCACCACAACCTCCCGCACGCCCCATCCCTCCCTCCTCCAATCCATCCCTCCCTCCCATCCCTCCCTCCCTCCCTCCAATCCCTACCTCCCTCCCTCCCTCCCTCCCTCCCCCCTCCCTCCCTCCCCCCCTCCCTCCCTCCCTCCCTCCCTCCCTCCCCCCTCCCTCCCTCCCTCCGCCCTCCCGCCCTCCCTCCCTCCCTCCTCCCTCCTCCCCCCTCCCTCCCTCCCTTCCTCCTCCCTCCTCCCCCTCCCTCCTCCTCCCTCCCTCCCTCCCTCCTCCCTCCCCCCCCCTCCTCCCCCCTCCCTCCCTCCCCTCCCCCTCCCTCCCTCCTAATCACCCCCCCCCTCTTCCCTTCTTTGTGAATATTTAAGACTCGCCGTTGTAGGGAGAGGAAGCGTCCCGCTCAGCTCATCCCTCATCCCAGGCAGTTATTCCTCTCTTGTTTTATCAAGATGTTTTAAGCTGTTTTACCTCGCCTTCAGAAAAAGGCGTCATGGGAAATAATGTAAGGATATTGGCGGTTCTGCATCCTTCACACAGCCAGGATGTATCCCAAATGCTACCCTAGTCACATATTTAGTGCACTACTTTAGTGCACTATATAGGGAATAGGGTGTCATTTGGGACGCAGCGGCCTAGGCTCAGCATTTAGCTCAGCTGGGATGTGGAACTTGAGAGGCCTTCAGGCTATAGGAGCGTAGTGCTCTTTACAATATAGCTCTTACCCAATCCAATACAACACTTATACCTCATAGCAGTCCATTTGAACACAGGATCATAGACTGTACCACTTACTGCCTGATCTGTTCCACTTCAATGTATCCCAATGGAGCAATGGACCATTCGTAACGCTAATTTAAAAACTGGACAGACCTTGGCCTACCTTTGGAGTTAGCGAGTATAAAATGAAGTACAGCTTTATATCCTGTACAGATACAGGAAAGGAGGAGGGTTTAAGTAGGTAACGGTCAATTGTCTCCATCCATCTCTCCCAAGAGACCTCTTCTTCTCTTCCCTGCCTCCACCTGTTCTGCCCTCTCCGCTGTAATTGGCACATGGCGCGTCAGATCAAAGCAAACCGCATTCAATATTTCATTAGAACGCCGGGTGAGTGAGACTGCTCAATCTGAGACGCTGTTAAAAATGAGCTTGGCTCGGTGGCCCTGACGTGAACTGAGCGGCATAATCTCACACCGTTTACCATATTACTCCTCCTTAAACGGCAAGAGAGAGAGAGAGAGGGGGAAGAGTGAGGAAGAAGGAGAGAGAGGGGAAGAGCGTGAGAGGAACCCAGGGAACCAGATAGAGGGAGAGAAATAGATAGGGGGAGGAACAGAGAATACGAGGGAGAGAAAGGAGAAAGAGAAAAGCTGGAAGACACGAAAGACACAGAGCACCACATCTCCCACTTTAAAAATCCCGCTCTTGCCTCTATGGGACACTTAACTAGGCATAACAAACCAAACAGCATTTTTCTGGAAGTCACCAAGAAAAAAACTCCTTTGGAAATCCAAGCAAGAAGCTCCAAATACAGAGGGAGGGGGGATATAAACTACAATATAAACAGATAACATGACCTCATATCTGGGATGTACAGTTGAAGTCGGATGTTTACATACACCTTAGCCAAATACATTTAAACTCAGTTTTTCACAATTCCTGACATTTAATCCTAGTAAAAATTCCATGTCTTAGGTCAGTTAGGATCACCACTTTATTTTAAGAATGTGAAATGTCAGAATAATAGTAGAGAGAATTATTTATTTCAGCTTTTATTTCTTTCATCACATTCCCAGAGGGTCAGAAGTTTACATACACTCAATTAGTATTTGGTAGCATTGCCTTTAAATTGTTTAACTTGGGTCAAACGTTTTGGGTAGCCTTCCACAAGCTTCCCACAATAAGTTGGGTGAATTGTGGCCCATTCCTCCTGACAGAGCAGGTGTAACTGAGTCAGGTTTGTAGGCCTCCTTGCTCGCATACGCTTTTTCAGTTCTGCCCACAAATGTTCTATAGGATTGAGGTCAGGGCTTTGTGATGGCCACTCCAATACCTTGACTTTGTTGTCCTTAGGCCATTTTGCCACAACTTTGGAAGTATACTTGGGGTCATTGTCCATTAGGAAGACCCATTTGCGACCAAGCTTTAACTTCCTCACTGATGTCTTGAGATGTTACTTCAATATATCCACATACATTTTCCTTCCTCATGATGCCATCTATTTTGTGAAGTGCACCAGTCCCTCTTGCAGCAAAGCACCCCCACAGCATGATGCTGCCACCCCCGTGCTTCACGGTTGGGATGGTGCTCTCCGGCTTGCAAGTCCCCCTTTTTCCTCCAAACATAACAATGGTCATTATGGCCAAACAGTTCTATTTTTGTGTACGATATTTGTCCCAATGTGCAGTTGCAAACCGTAGTCTGGCTTTTTTATGGCAGTTTTGGAGCAGTGGCTTCTTCCTTGCTGAGCGGCCTTTCAGGTTATGTAGATATAGGACTCGTTTTACTGTGGATATATACACTTTTGTACCTGTTTCCTCCAGCATCTTCACAAGGTCCTTTGCTGTTGTTCTGGGATTGATTTGCACTTTTTGCACCAAAGTACGTTCATCTTTAGGAGACAGAACACGTCTCCTTCCTGAGCAGTATGACGGCTGCATGGTCCCATGGTGTTTATACTTGCGTACTATTGTTTGTACAGATGAACGTGGTACCTTCAGGCATTTGGAAATTGCTCCCAATGATGAACCAGACTGGTGGAGGTCTACAATTGTTTTTCTGAGGTCTTGGCTGATTTCTTTTGATTTCCCCATGATGTCAAGCAAAGAGGCACTGAGTTTGAAGGTAGGCCTTAAAATACACCCACAGGTACACCTCCAATTGACTCAAATTATGTCAATCAGATGCTTCTAAAGCCATGACATCATTTTCTGGAATTTTCTAAGCTGTTTAAAGGCACCATCAACTTAGTGTATGTAAACTTCTGACACACTGGAATTGTGATACAGTGAATTATAAGTAAAATAATCTGTCTGTAAACAATTGTTGGTAAAATTACTTGTGTCATGCACAAAGTAGATGTCCTAACCGACTTGCCAAAACTATAGTTTGTTAACAAGACATTTGTGGAGTGGTTGAAAAACAAGTTTTAATTACTCCAACCTAAGTGTATGTAAACCTCCGACTTCAACTGTATGTGTTCTCCCGCTATGGACATTTAGCAGAGTCTTATTCAAATCCTAGCCAGGGGGGTCTTCTCCTCTGAGCTGCTCACCCCGCTACTGAAAACAAGCAGGTACACACTGAAGCCAGCTCACATTCCTTCATGAATGACATCGTTTTTGTCTCTCAAATAAAAACATATTTTGTTGATTGATTGCGTGTTTTCAATCAAAGCAAATCAACTGAACAATCAACAGAGTTAAATAGCAAACCAACTGACACAGTTGACCCGGCTTAAAACGCATGGCTTAGAACGCATCTCAACCAATCACAATGCTTGTTTTGACAAACCTGTTGTAGAAAGTATATATGGTTTAAAAATGCATAGCTGTAATACACAATGCTGGCTACAGCTCTTCTTTGCTCCTTTGCCACCACACACAGAGCACATAGCATCATACTCAGAGCTGTCGTCACCATCACAGTAGGCTTTTAGCACCATTGTACCAGGGTACAGATGAGGAATTCACATGCTGTCAACAGGGCCATGCAAAAACAACTGATCTAAAACATGGAAGAAAAAAATGAAAAATGAGCAGCGCTGGAATGACCACGGACAGAGAGAATCATGGGAGTAGGACATGTTGAGGTGGATTCTGGGACAGGGTTAGGCCAAGAGGCGAGTCGGACACAAAACTGACCCCCTCTCATTGTCTCATGCCCGCACAGCTATTCTGAAATGGGACGGCCTGGGTTAGTTGGTCATTCCAATGGAGCAATGCTAATTGGGTTACAGAGAACACCATTTTCTCTTAGTCAATAAAGCACAAAATACTCTAGAAAGCACAATGCAAGGAGAAAACTGAGTTCTCCTTTTTACATTTATGGACAAATATAGTATGTCTATAGGTTTTCTACCTGGTTTATAATAATAGTGACTGATCAAGGTCCCCTTTCAAACTACAGCATTGGCTGGAAACGTCGTCACAATTTAGACCAAAGCATTTTGTCTAATTTGAGTGTCCGTTTTTCAATTAATTTAGATCAATTATATGTTAAAAATGTTATCCATTATATATAAATGATCTACTCTTGTCAAAATATTTGCAATTCCACTTTGATATTGCCAATTGGACTTCAAATTAGACCTTGAGGTGAGTAGATTAGCCATTAGCTTACGTTAGCTGCTAGCCGTTAGCTGCTAGCCCGTTAACTGCTAGCCAATGTTAGACATCCCAATTAAGCCCTGGCTGGCAGTTTGAAAGGAGAGGAAGGAAAGTCACCAAGAGGTTTCATGCATGGTAAATCAAGGCGGTGGTCGCAGATCGAGAAAGCATGGCACTAAGCGTTTTCAGTCACAAAGTGGGTTACTTACAGGTAGTAAGTGTAGGAGTGATAGGTTCTTCTGCCCAGTGGGGTGGTGGTAGGATATAAGCAGTGGTGGGGGACGGGAGGGGAAATGGAATGGAAGGAAAGGAAAAGTAAAAATATTAATGTACTGGAGAAAAATATATAGAAATGAAACAAAAAAAAAAACAATATGGTGGCATAAAGTGACGTTTTTTACAAGTACGACTGAGGGCAAGGTGGTTGCTTGGTGGTTGCTTGGGGGGACAATGTCATGCGTGGAGGGGTAGAGGGTGAGGGTCCCACAGAGCTACAACATTCAGTTACAGTGAGGGGGAAGAGTGACCTGTTGATTGGCAGGTCAGGTGGGCAGGTGTTACGGGAGATAAATGTGGGTAACGTAGTGCCTTACATTTACATTTACATTTTAGTCATTTAGCAGACGCTCTTATCCAGAGCGACTTACAGTTTTTCATACTGGCCCCAGGTTGACATTTATTGTCATGAATCTTGCCCTGGAGCAGAACTGAGCGATTTCCGCTAGATGGGCCAGCTGCAAAGTCAAAATTGGCTATATCGTAAACATTTAAGAAAACAAATATTCACTTTTTGGTCTTAATTTAAGTTAGGGTTAGGCATTAGGGTTAGCAGTATGGTTAAGGTTAGGCTTAGAATCATATTTTATGACATTGTGGCTGTGCCAGCTAGTGACCATTCTGCAGTGCTGCCTCCAGGACCACTGCGATGCAGTGGTCTAAGGCACTGCATCGCAGTGCTAGCTGTGCCACTAGAGATCCTGGTTCGAATCCAGGCTCTGTCGTAGCCGGCCGCGACCGGGAGACCCATGGGGCAGCGCACAATTGGCCCAGCGTCGTCCAGGGTAGGGGAGGGAATGGCCGGCAGGGATGTAGCTCAGTTGGTAGAGCATGGCGTTTGCAGCGCCAGGGTTGTGGGTTCGATTCCCACGGGGGGCCAGTATAAAAAAATGAAATAATTATAATAATGTATGCACTCACTAACTGTAAGTTGCTCTGGATAAGAGCATCTGCTAAATGACGTAAATGTAAATGTAATTCATAACAATAAAGGCCAACCTGCATCTTAGTGAAGGTGATAGGCTGTTATTGAGAGGATAGGTGGGCTGTAGTGTTATTTGAGAGTGGGAGAGTGCAGGAAGAGGACAGAGGAGGAAGCTCATTGGAGCTGTGTTAGAGAGCAAGTTTATCAGAAACTGGCTGGGATAACATGTTCGTACAACAGCAGTAGCTTTAATATTCATAAACCTATTCCTCTCCTTTTTCACACACACAAGAAAGAACAATACACTAGAACATTGGGCAGTAATAACAAACAGTGTGTAATATAACAACTAGTTATTACTCTGAGACACAAGCCTCTACTTTTTCTTTAACATACACTATGTGACCATCAAAGACACTGCTGATGTGGTTTGGGCCCTGATTCACCATTAGAATAGCTGAAATAAAAAAACAGTTAATAAAACATGCCTAGGTCATCATGAATTGAATGAATAGTAATTGGATTGAAATACAGAACAATAGCTATACTGACAACCAAACAGTATGTCTTTTATTTTCTATCCTTTAGACCAGGGGTTCCCAAATGGCCCCCCATCCAGCATTGGGGAACATCCTGTACCCCCCCCACCCCTAAATACTGACTGCAGGGTAGAGCACATCCCCAAGCACACACCCCAGAGAAATCTGCCTAAACTCCATTGCCCTACACCAGTGTGTGTGGAGCCAGTTTGGCTGTTTGCTCAGCAATAGTTCCTGGGGCTGCTCTGAAGCACACACTCCCTCTCCTCATCTTTCCCTCTCCCTCTCTCCCTCCCTCTCCTCATCTTTCCCCCTCCCTCCCTCTCCTCATCTTTCCCCCTCCCTTCCTCCCTCTCCTAATCCATCCTCCCCCCCTGCTCTCCTCATCTTTCCTCATCTCTCTCCCTCCCTCCGCCTCGCTCCCTCCCTCTCCCTCTCCCTCGCTCCCTCCCTCCATCTCTCACCCCCTCTCTCTCTCTCACCCTCCCTGCCTCTCCCTCTCTCTCTCTCTCCCTCCCCCTCACACTCTCTCACCCTCCCTCCCCCTTTTCCCTCACACTCTCTCCCTTCCTCTCCCCACACTCTCTCACCCTCCCTCCCTCCCCCTTTTCCCTCACACTCTCTCCCTTCCTCTCCCACACTCTCTCTCCCTCTGTCTCCCTCTCCCTCCCTATGTCTCCCTCTCCCTCCCTCTCTCCCCCTCCCTCTCTCTCTTTCTCCTACACCCTCTCTCGCTCCCTCCCTCCCACACTCTCACCCTGCCTCCCTCCCTCCCTCTCCCTCCCTCCCTCCTCCCACACTCTCCCTCCCTCCCTCCGCCTCTCCCTCCCTCCCTCCCTCCTTCCTTCTGGCATTGGACTAGGGCTAATGTAAACTAGCCTGCAGCTACACAGCCGCAGGCATCTCTGGCTCTTAAAAAAATAAAGTGCTTTCATACATTTTTCCCTCTTATCTTTGCTAGTTTTTCCCGCCACAAGATAAGCCTCTGAAATATTTTCCTATTCCCATTGCCGAGGTCATTAATACAGTGGCATTTGGAGGGGGGTATGGCAAGGAGGGAGGAGGGGAGGGGCGTATGGCGTGGAGTGGGGGAAGGGGGAATATGAATATTTTAATGCATACCGTATAGCAGTGCCATTAAACATTTTAAAGGTGCTTATCAGTGTCATCCAATCAATTATTTAGCCTTGACGTTGACGATGCAGGGGGTTTTGAAGGTGAAGGGACAATCAGAGGGAATTAATTTGATTTGGCCTTTCATGTAATTACACCATGCACACAAGTCTCCTGCTAATCTACTGTATCAGTGTAACGCTGGACCTCAGGGAGCATGGAAACATTCAAGCCTTCTTTCAATACAGTAGCTCTTGATGTGTTGACAAAGGGCTCTAATGTAGACAGTGACACATAGTATACAATTGAAGGGACTAAGAAGTTATACACTAATTGCACACACAAATTGTCTGTACACATATTGCACACAGATCGTGGAAATTGTATTTTTAGTGGCTGCATCAGTACACTACAGGTGTGAGTAGAACGACAGTTCAATAAGAGAGTAGTCTCTGACCTTTTCTTCATGACCAGCACCACGCCGAGGAAGATTATGACGAAGAGGAGGATACCAGCGATGACCCCGGCGATCTTCACCGTGTGGTCCGTCTGCTTCTCCGGCTCCACCGCGTCAGGCTTCCTGGTCGCAGCCCCTGGTGGTCAAAGAGCATGGGTCAAAATGGTCACCGGGCGGCCATTTTGGATCCATGTCATCATCATCATGGTTGTCACATCATTCACCACACACTTAATTCTCCTCAAGGACTCATGCAGGGCTAAGAACACGCCCGTTCCCAGTGAAGCATTGACTATGTAAGACTATAGGAAAAGGTTTTAAATGAGAAGGAGAATTCCTACATTGTTGTTACAGTTCATTATGACAACGCTGTCTTCAAGTCTACCGGGTGGTCTAACTCTGTGGTTAGGAGTTGGAAAACTCCAGCAACACACAATCCGTTTTCCAGACGGCAAAAAAAGACCAACCTTCAAGTGTATGTAATACTGACGCCGTACTGACACTTCACACTATGCTGAGCAGGGCTTTTTCCATGTTAAATGTAATGCCATGTAATGTTGGTGCTTTTTGACTGACGACGGTGAAGTTCAAGGCTCTCACTGCATGTTCTCTCTGGCTTCCACAGCTGCTCTACACTTCAGCCGTGCACTCCCTTGTCTGTCCTCCAGCCGCTCTCCTGGCATTATCTGTTTACGCACTACTTTCTTTCCCTCCATCCCTCCTCCCCAATCCTTAAATGAAGCAGTCATTTGCCCTTGCCTCAGCTCCTGCACCTGAGAGTGCCAGATAAACTCATTAACAGTCCCTTTTTACACACCCATTGTCTTTGGGCGACACAAAGCTTGAGCACGTTGCCTCTGTTGCCTTTGGATATTCAAATCTGGGTCATGTACTGTAGTTTGGTGAGCGGCGGCACACAAACAAGAAATAAGGAAAGGGAGAGGAGGACAACTTCCTAGGGAGAAATGTATTCCCAAAGTAGGCAGTGACGGGGGATCACACCGAGGGCCAAGGCATTTAATATCTGTTCCAATGAGATAACCAGGCCCCTCGCAGCATCGCAGAGGAGCCACTGTTTCACTAGTACTGGGGCCTTCCCCTCCTCTAAGGGAGGGAGAGAGGGAGGAAGAGATGAGAAGGTGAGAGAGAGGGAGGAGAGAGCGGGATAGACAGAGAGAGGGAGAGAAAGAGAGAGGGAGAGACAGAGAAAGAGAGAGGGAGAGAGAGAGGGAATGAGACAGAAAGAAAGAGGGAACCTCTTGCTCTCCTGTTTACTGTATAATGTGATGGAACGTCAACCCGCGGCCTGATGAACTATCCATTTCCTCGCGCTAAATGAGTTTGGATGAAAAATAGTCAGGACACGTCGTTCAATTTGCCCTGGCCCCCAAATCTATTCCTCCCTGCCTGCACCACTATTTCAATCAAAGGGTGACAACATCCATCACCAGCAGCCCGCGCGGCTATCGTTGTTACCACGGTGACGGATAGGGGGGCCAACAAGCGGGTGGCTCATTCCACGGTAAGAATGTGTTTTACTCCGAAGGGTGAGTCTGGGTGAAGTGGGAGAAAGGGGAGGCCTGGAGGACAGAGGGCCTAGGAGAGAGGGGGTGACCATTCAGCGGTGTGAGTGGATTTAAAACACACAGATCTCCCTCTAAAGTCCTAAGGTCACCCCTCCAGGTTCTACACCAAGGTCGACTTGGTTGACCATCTCCTTGAATGATAATAATCTGATGGGTGCTTATATTTGTCCTATTTGAATATGTTTTTTTGCATATCCCAACTCTCCCTGAGACCATCTGAGGGTGGGGGTCACAGTGAGGGTCAGCCATTATCAATGGTGACCCTGGAGCAATTAGGGGCAAGGGCACACCTACAGATTTTTTTCATATTGTTGGCTCGGAGACTCGAACTAGCAACCTTTCGGTTACTGGCCCAACGACCTAACCGCTAGGCTACCTGCCGACCTTACATGTTGAATCCAGAGGGGGACAGACAGTCATCAGCATTCACCTACCAGGCAGGCAGTCTCTTAGAATGCAAATGTCTGCAATTCATTGATAAGTTATTCCATATATTGAGAATACCACTAGATATAGCCCAAAATCAATTTTTTGCTGGATAACCAGAGAGCTATTGAGGGGTTTAGGTGGTGAGGGAAAGGCCTTCAAGGAAAGCAATAAGGTGGACGTCTGACTCTGTTATCAGGTAAAACTTGCATGGGCAAAAATACAGAAAACATTGGGCGTTCACATGTGAACAGAAGTTTTAAATACACTGCTCAAAAAAATAAAGGGAACACTTAAACAACACAATGTAACTCCAAGTCAATCACACTTCTGTGAAATCAAACTGTCCACTTAGGAAGCAACACTGATTGACAATAAATTTCACATGCTGTTGTGCAAATGGTATAGACAACAGGTGGAAATTATATGCAATTAGCAAGACACCCCCAATAAAGGAGTGGTTCTGCAGGTGGTGACCACAGACCACTTCTCAGTTCCTATGCTTCCTGGCTGATGTTTTGGTCACTTTTGAATGCTGGCGGTGCTTTCACTCTAGTGGTAGCATGAGACGGAGTCTACAACCCACACAAGTGGCTCAGGTAGTGCAGCTCATCCAGGATGGCACATCAATGCGAGCTGTGGCAAGAAGGTTTGCTGTGTCTGTCAGCATAGTGTCCAGAGCATGGAGGCGCTACCAGGAGACAGGCCAGTACATCAGGAGACGTGGAGGAGGCCGTTGGAGGGCAACAACCCAGCAGCAGGACCGCTACCTCTGCCTTTGTGCAAGGAGGAGCAGGAGGAGCACTGCCAGAGCCCTGCAAAATAACCTCCAGCAGGCCACAAATGTGCATGTGTCTGCTCAAACGGTCAGAAACAGACTCCATGAGGGTGGTATGAGGGCCCGACGTCCACAGGTGGGGGTTGTGCTTACAGCCCAACACCGTGCAGGACGTTTGGCATTTGCCAGAGAACACCAAGACTGGCAAATTCGCCACTGGCGCCCTGTGCTCTTCACAGATGAAAGCAGGTTCACACTGAGCATATGTGACAGACGTGACAGAGTCTGGAGACACCGTGGAGAACGTTCTGCTGCCTGCAACATCCTCCAGCATGACTGGTTTGGTGGTGGGTCAGTTATGGTGTGGGGTGGCATTTCTTTGGGGGGCCGCACAGCCCTCCATGTGCTCGCCAGAGGTAGCCTGACTGCCATTAGGTACCGAGATGAGATCCTCAGACCCCTTGTGAGACCATATGCTGGTGCGGTTGGCCCTGGGTTCCTCCTAATGCAAGACAATGCTAGACCTCATGTGGCTGGAGTGTGTCAGCAGTTCCTGCAAGAGGAAGGCATTGATGCTATGGACTGGCCCGCCCGTTCCCCAGACCTGAATCCAATTGAGCACATCTGGGACATCATGTCTCGCTCCATCCACCAACGCCACGTTGCACCACAGACTGTCCAGGAGGTGGCGGATGCTTTAGTCCAGGTCTGGGAGGAGATCCCTCAGGAGACCATCTGCCACCTCATCAGGAGCATGCCCTGGCGTTGTAGGGAGGTCATACAGGCACGTGGAGGCCACACACACTACTGAGCCTCATTTTGACTTGTTTTAAGGACATTACATCAAAGTTGGATCAGCCTGTAGTGTGGTTTTCCACTTTAATTTTGAGTGTGACTCCAAATCCAGACCTCCATGGGTTGATTCATTTGATTTCCATTGATAATTTTTGTGTGATTTTGTTGTCAGCACATTCAACTATGTAAAGAAAAAAGTATTTAATAAGATTATTTCATTCATTCGGATCTAGGATGTGTTATTTTAGTGTTCCCTTGATTTTTTTGAGCAGTGTATATTCCCAAGCTAAAAGACAGAACAGTGAAGGTTAGCTTGACTCCCTTGGTATCTCTAGTTTGTTTGGGAACCGCAAAAACATCTCCAGCTGTTTTGGACTTTCAAACTATTTACTTTCATGCCAAGCTTTACTTCAAATCCTCTCTTTGACATCTCTGTTTATGGGTCATAAGCAAACTGAATGCCCCAAGAGGCATAAAACACTGGTCCTTTTTAAGTTTAAATGGCAGATATCTCCGGCTTTGAAGAAGGGAGTGAAGCGTTCTGGCTTTCAGGGAGGCCGTTTCATGTGAAACTCAAACTATGCAAGGTGCTTTGGGGGATAGTGTGTTCCTCGGTAACTCTGTGTGGGAGGGTGTGTAAACATCAGGGGCCTGAAACACCACAAGACCTGGTTAACAACACACAGCGGCCTCCACTGCTTGCAGTTCATCATGTCCCGAGGACATAAGACAGTGTAAAAAAAACCAAAATGCTGATATTTAACGACCCCTGCCAGGTCACTGCTATCTAGATGTTGTTGTCCATGTTGTATTAAAACTAGACGTTTCTGACCCATGCCTTAAGGATGGAATAATTATTTAGAAAATGTTAACTGGAGTTTAACTGGTAGAAGTTGGTAACTTAAGGGAAACCTGAAAATTGTAAGTGTCAAACTATGTTGCAAATTTATAACAATTTGTACTCATCAAGTCCAAAGTTCTGAACATAAATGTGTTCCCAGCAGTACTTTTGACACCGAATGTTCCCTTTTCTTCCCCTCAAAAAATCATGTTCATTCCCCGTGACCCATAACAAGCCAAAAACGTCCATGGTTAAATATTTTACAGGAGAACATTTTCAATTTCACAGTGTCTGACTGTGTGTGACTGGGTAGAATCATCTGGCTTCTTGTATAAACAGAAGGCGGAAAGTTTTCACCTTTCCTTTAACGCCACGCCTGCCTGATAAATATTTGAATGTAATTTTCTGACAGCAGGCTGAGCAGGATGACTTTGTCCAGAGTGTGCAGCTTCTCAGTTTCATGCTCGCTGCAGAAGCCCATATTGATATTTTTTCCCACTCACAACCCCCTACATCTGCCTTGAATGAAAATGAGGTCCTTTTCTGTATTTGCAACACAACCATATGCTCCAGATACATGTCACACTATCTGTAAGATGTGAATAGGATGAATACTGACCAAATGACGGGAGTGAATATAAAGTCAACTGTACGGTGGAAAACAAGATGTCCGGTAACCTAGTTACCCCTTGATGGTCTCTCAGACATGGTAGTGCACATCCTGTTTGTTTAGACTTAAATAGATACACGCTACACAACGTCACACAAACAGATGTTATAAAAAATGTGAACGCAAAAACACAAACATATACTATAAATAATTAATCTTGGCATACACATACACTTGCACACACACACAGATAGATCCATAGGACAGGAGAGGACAGAGCTGGGAAGTTGTAGTGGTGGTCTGACCTGTTAGTTGGTTGTCGCCAGCCGCGGGGGCGATGCGTATGTAGGGAGTGGTGAGCTGAGTCACGATTATGGCGGCTAAGGCAAATGAAGAAGTTGTTCAACATGCAGGAAGGAGAGAAGAAGAAGCCAAGAGACTCAGGCAAACAGGAAAACATCCTTAGTCACACAGAGCAGAGAAACGGAAGGAGAGGGAGAGAGAAAGAGGTACTTCTCACAGGGAGGAATAGAAGGTTACATATAGTTCACAAGCTTGGCATTGGTTAAGTAACGGTTACGTTTCCATTCTTTAGTAATCATCCCAGAAGCTTGGTTAATTACTTGTTTGTGTTGTGTGCTCGTGAACAGCAGGGAGGGAACTAACACAGGCATTTCATACAAACCTGAGGGAGCCATTCTAGAGATATGAGACTGAATATAAACATTCTGCTAGAGCCACTAAACTCCTCAATATTCAGTTCAGGCTCTCTCACTGTTGTGGTTATGGCCTTCTGTATGAGCAGTTTGTCCCAGACCACAGCCCCCTCTGGGGATCTGATTGGCTGCCACCACTATGACTGGCAGGTAACCCGAGAGGCGCTGAACCTATTAGAAGATGCTACTCTTAAGCGCCAACGCTCAGGTCCAATAAAATCTGATTAAACGCCATAAACTATAGAGAAATCAAATTACAAAAAAGCATTAAAACAGTCCTTTCATAATCTATGATGGGGAAGAGGACAATTCTAAATTCAAACGTGCTTAGCGTCTGTGACTAAAAAGGGTTGGAAACAACACAGGAACTAGTGCTCATTAGCATATAGCATTATAGCCCAGTCTTGGCACCGTGAGAGAGAGATGGCATGTAGTAAGGAAAATAGATTATCCACCATCTGTAAACAATTACAATGCAGATCGGCAGCACACTAATGTGTGGCTAGTGCTAGAGAAGAGGAGGCCGTGGCTTGTAAGGAGCTCCACTGGATGCTAATATGCTAATATTTAATGGAGGGGGGGGGGGGGGGGGGGGGGTGCACAGAATTCTGGGCCAGAGAACTCTGACCATCTGCCGCCAATTAAAATCCTTCCCCCTTTCTACGATTGTTCGACATTTCCTGTGTTGAGGGGTAGTGGTTTGTGAGAGTTTGAGCGCATGCCTTTTGGCTAGCCTAGCTCAGTCATATGGCCTAGAGGCTACTAGCACTATTGTTCATGGTATATCATGTACATCGCTCCCGAGTGGCGCAGCGATCTAAGGCACTGCATCTCAGTGCTTGAGGCGTCACTACAGACCCCCTGGTTCGATTCCAGGCTGTATCACAACCGGCCGTGATTGGGAGTCCCATAGGGCGGCGCACAATTGGCCCAGCGTCGTCCGGGTTTGGCCGGTGTAGGCCGTCATTGTAAATAAGAATTTGTTCTTAACTGACTTGCCTAGTTAAATAAAGGCAAAATAAATACAATAAATTAAACTACCATACACTTTAGAGTGGAATAGTGACTTCGTTTATTTTGGTGAGCATTTTTGGATTCTGTTAGATACAAGAAACACTTTTACTTGACTGCAAAGTTTTATTTTTATGACGTTTAAGTTAATATTTAACCTAATTAGCTACTGTTGTTTACTTAAATGTGACTTGAGCTTTTGCGTAGAGGAAATTTCAATAGGAAAAAGCTCAATGCTTATGACTGTTACCACTTTACACAAGCACACACTATCAAATTGATTGAGGGGGAGAAAGGTGAGTGGCCAAAGAGAAAACATTCGTTTTTGAAAAGCATGAGTAGCACATAAGAAAAGCTGCGTACAGCACTATAGTCCTGTGGTCGAGCCAAAACAATCCTTGGGTGTGTATGTGTGTGTGTGAGGGGAAACACATTTCAATCAACGGTGGTTAGATTACTTTCAGGCAACGGGGGCCAGTCCTACCTTTAGTGGCCACTCGTACACAATCGATTTTGGTCTCCTGCGAGGGGAGAAAAAAAAAGAGAGAAAGAGAAATAGAGAGAGAAAAAGAGGGGGAAAAAGAGCAAAAGAGAGGCATTAGTTCTCAGTCAACATATCAGCTGTCAGGGCTGTGGTCATCCAATCTGATCAGACCAACAGGAGTAAAACAGAGAGACCGAGAGAAACAGAGAGACCGAGAGAGAGAGAAACAGGGAGAGAGGGAGAGAGACCGCGAGAGAGAGAGACAGAGAGAGAGACAGAGAGAGAGAGAGAAAGAGAGAGACTGAAAGCGAGGGAGAGACCGAGTGAGAGAGAGAGACTGAAAGCAAGGGAGAGACCGAGTGAGAGAGAGAGACCGAGAGAGACAGAAAGAGAGAGCGAGAGAAAGAGAGCGAGAGAAAGACAGCGAGAGAGAGAGAGCGAGTGAGAGAGAGCGAGTGAGAGAGAGACCGACAGAAAGAGAGAGCGAGAGAAACCGAGAGCGAGAGAAACCGAGAGCGAGAGAAACCGAGAGCGAGAGAAACAGAGAGGGAGAGAAAGAGCGAGCGAGAGAAACAGAGAGTGAGAGAAAGAGCGAGCGAGAGAAACAGAGAGTGAGAGAGAGAAAGAGAGCCAGAGAAACAGAGAGCCAGAGAGAGAAAGAGAGCGAGAGTGAGAAAGAGAGCGCGAGAAAGAGAGCGCGAGAGAGAGAGCGCGAGCAAGAAAGAAAGAAAGAGAGAGGCTGTACCTCAGCACCTCAGCTTAGCATCTAGCAGCCAGCTGTCAGAGACTAGTCTGCACTAGTATGGGTGGTCTCTATACTTTACACTCAACCACGACCTTGAGACGACACACACACACACATTTTACAAGTGTGCACATATGTTTACACATATGTGTGAATGGACATATGCACACAGTATACATTAGATGTGGGTGTGCAAGCCTCAAATGTCCATAGCGGAGCTAGATGTACAGTAAGTCACCATGTTGGGCCTCCTAAGCCCTGTGTTGGTGCATTAGGGGGGAGGTTGGCGCGTGGACATAGTGCGCTGTGACTTGGGGCCTAAATGCTGTTGGCAGAACATACATCCAGGCATGTCAGACAGACAACCAGAGACAAGAGAGAGAGAGAGAGAGAAGACAGAGGGCAGAAAAGAAAGAGCGAGAGAGAGAGCGAGAGAGCGCGAGAGAGAGCGAGAGCGAGCGAGAGCGAGAGAGAAAAAGAGAGAGAAGGCAGAGGGCAGAAAAGAGAGAGAGAGAGAAGGCAGAGGGCAGAAAAGAGAGAGAGAGCGAGAAGGCAGAGGGAAGAAAAAGAGAGAGAGAGCGAGAAGGCAGAGGGCAGAAAAGAGAGAGAGAGCAAGAGAGAGAAGGCAGAGGGCAGAAAAGAGAGAGAGAGAGAGAGAAGGTAGAGGGCATGAGAGAGAGAGAGATAGAAGGCAGAGGGCAGAAAAGAGAGAGAGAGAGAAAAGGTAGAGGGCATAAGAGAGAGAGAGAGAGAGAGAGAGAGAGAGAGAGAGAGAGAGAGAGTGAGAGAGAAGGCAGAGGGCAGAAAAGAGAGAGAGCGAGAGAGAGAAGGCAGAGGGCAGAAAAGAGAGAGAGCGAGAAGGCAGAGGGCAGAAAAGAGAGAGTGAGAGAGAGAGAAGGTAGAGGGCAGAAAAGAGAGAGAGAGAGAAGGCAGAGGGTAGAAAAGAGAGAGAGAGAGAAGGCAGAGGGCAGAAAAGAGAGAGTGAGAGAGAAGGTAGAGGGCAGAAAAGAGAGAGAGAGAGAAGGCAGAGGGTAGAAAAGAGAGAGAGAGAGAAGGCAGAGGGCAGAAAAGAGAGAGAGAGCGAGAAGGCAGAGGGCTGAAAAAAGAGAGAGAGAGCGAGAAGGCAGAAAAGAGAGAGAGAAGGCATAAGAGAGAGAGAGAGAGAGAAGGCAGAGAGCAGAAAAGAGAGAGAGAGAGAGAGAGAGAGAGAGAGAGAGAGAGAGAGAGAGACAGAGAAGGAAAGGAAAAGGCACAGCCATTCAGAAGAAGGAAGTGTGGAGTGAAATTAGATCTGCACAGTCACTTTGATCAACAGACTTCATGCCATCCTTTCTTCTTATAGACAAACTGAAAAAAAGAGTGAAACACTTTTCCAAGACAAGGAGGGGACAAGCAGGTGGTGGCAGAAATGGCTTTGCCTTCGCTCGTCTTACAAATGTGGAACAAACAAAACACAGCAACGCCGCATGAATATTCAGGGTATGGGGAAAGTGACTTGGGGCTTATGGTTAAATCCCCCCGTGTTTTATGACATCAAAATGCACTTGTGTGGCTTGGTGCATTATTGAGGAGACGGCAAATTAAACTGTGGGGTGTGCTGAATATTTAAAACAACTAGGAGGATGGTGTGAATCTGTGTGACTCAGGTGGGGAGAGGAGAAGAGACTGGTTTCTACTAGGGCTGCTTGATGACAACACTACCATACAGTGAGGGAAAAAAGTATTTGATCCCCTGCTGATTTTGTACGTTTGCCCACTGACAAAGACATGATCAGTCTATAATTTTAATGGTAGGTTTATTTGAACAGTGAGAGACAGAATAACAACTAAAAAATCCTGAAAAACGCATGTAACATTTTTTATAAATTGATTTGCATTTTAATTAGGGAAATAAGTATTTGACCCCTCTGCAAAACATGACTTAGTACTTGGTGGCAAAACCCTTGTTGGCAATCACAGAGGTCAGACGTTTCTTGTAGTTGGCCACCAGGTTTGCACACATCTCAGGAGGGATTTTGTTCCACTCCTCTTTGCAAATCTTCTCCAAATCATTAAGGTTTCGAGGCTGACGTTTGGCAACTCGAACCTTCAGCTCCCTCCACAGGCTAGGCCACTCCAGGACCTTAATGTGCTTCTTCTTGAGCCGCTCCTTTGTTGCCTTGGCCGTGTGTTTTGGGTCATTGTCATGCTGGAATACCCATCCACAACCCATTTTCAATGCCCTGGCTGAGGGAAGGAGGTTCTCACCCAAGATTTGACGGTACATGGCCCCGTCCATCCTCCCTTTGATGCGGTGAAGTTGTCCTGTCCCCTTAGCAGAAAAACACCCCCAAAGCATAATGTTTCCACCTCCATGTTTGACGGTGGGGATGGTGTTCTTGGGGTCATAGGCAGCATTCCTCCTCCTCCAAACACGGCGTGTTGAGTTGATACCAAAGAGCTCGATTTTGGTCTCATCTGACCACAACACTTTCACGCAGTTCTCCTCTGAATCATTCAGATTTTCATTGGCAAACTTCCTGTATATGTGCTTTCTTGAGCAGGGGGACCTTGCGGGCGCTGCAGGATTTCAGTCCTTCGCGGCATAGTGTGTTGCCAATTGTTTTCTTGGTGACTATGGTTCCAGCTGCCTTGAGATCATTGACAAGATGATTCCTCACCGTTCTCATGATCATTGCAACTCCACGAGGTGAGATCTTGCATGGAGCCCCAGGCCGAGGGAGATTGACAGTTATTTTGTGTTTCTTCCATTTGCGAATAATTGCACCAACTGTTGTCACCTTCTCACCAAGCTGCTTGGCGATGGTCTTGTAGCCCATTCCAGCCTTGTGTAGGTCTACAATCTTGTCCCTGACATCCTTGGAGAGCTCTTTGGTCTTGGCCATGGTGGAGAGTTTGGAATCTGATTGATTGATTGCTTATGTGGACAGGTGTCTTTTATACAGGTAACAAACTGAGATTAGGAGCACTCCCTTTAAGAGCGTGCTCCTAATCTCAGCTCGTTACCTGTATAAAAGACACCTGGGAGCCAGAAATCTTTCTGATTGAGAGGGGTCAAATACTTATTTCCCTCATTAAAATGCAAATCAATTCATAACATTTTTGAAATGCGTTGTTCTGGATATTTATTTATTTATTCTGTCTCTCACTGTTCAAATAAACCTACCATAAAAATTATCACTTATTTGTCAGTGGGCAAACGTACAAAATCAGCAGGGGATCAAATACTTTTTTCCCTCACGCTATGACACATGTCGCCAGTACTTAACAAGATACTGGCATGTATATGGAATAGCTAGCTGTAATTTAGTTGGAATCATTTGATTCACTTAGAATCTAGGATTAGAATTATTGTCTTAAACTACCAACATGTGAAGACCTATATTCCACTTAGGTCTAACTGCTGAGGTCAGTATTGAATGTGGTTTTCACTCCAACGTTACAGTCTGCCTCATGGAGTATGGTGGCCTTTCTCTGAGGCACCCTGCTCTGAACTGAGGGTAGAGGGCTGAGGGGAATGGGAAATATTGTTTTCAGTCTCTCTCTCCCTCTTTCTCTCTTCTTCTTCTTCTCAGAAGACATATCCTTTGTAGATGGCACACTGATCTTCTTTCCAGCCTCCCCTGCAATTTGTGGGAAAAATGTGTCCATTTAAAATGTCAGCAAATACACTACAACACACAGCTGTACTGCTAGGTTATCCCCTACTGCCCCCACAGCACCCTATTAGTAGTAGGAGGATTCAGAGGGGCGGAACACATACGCCCACTTCCTCTCTCTCAGATTCATCCTAAGATTGGCCAGTTGGCTCTACTTGCGCGCCAGAGCTTGAAGACAGAAAAGAGACCAAGCACCGAGAAGGCTAATGCAACCCTCTCCACATCCCTTACTCTAGCCACGGAATTCTTCAAAGAGCATTCATTACATGGGCAGGAGAGGAAAAAGCGTGAAAGAGGAGCATAGGAAAGTGGGAGACGAATGATGGAGGCAGAGCGAGAGAGAGGGGGAGATAGGCAGGAGAGGAAGAGAGTGGAGTGAGCGGAGAGGAGTAGGGAAGAGAGGGAGGACGGGAGGAAGACGGAGGGAGGAAGAGAGTGGGAGGAGAGGAAGAGAGTGGAGAGAGAGGGAAGGCAGAGTGAGAGATGAGGAGAGGAGAGAGAGGAGGAGAGAGGAAGAGGAAGATGAGAGGGAAGGTGGAGGAGAGGAGAGTGCAGAGGAGAGGAAGAGGGAAGGAGTGGAGGAGAGAAGAGGGAGAGAGAGGAAGAGAGGGGAGGAGAGGAAGAGAGTGGAGGAGAGGAGAGAGAGGGAGGAGGGAGAGAGAGGAGGGGAGGAGAGGAGAGAGAGGGAGAGTGAGAGAAGGAGGGAGAGGAGAGGAAGAGTGAGGGAGGAGAGGAAGAGAGAGGAGGAGAGGAAGAGAGAGTGGAGGAGAGGAAGAGAGGGAGGAGAGGAAGAGGGAGGCGAGAGAGGCGAGAGAGAGGCAGAGGAGAGAGAGAGGAGAGGAAGTGCAGAGGAGGAAGAGGAGAGAGGAAGAGAGAGAGAGGCGAGAGAGGGCAAGAGAGAGAGTGGAGGAGAGGAAGGAGAGTGAGAGGAGAGGAAGAGATGGAGAGAGGAAGAGAGAGAGGAGAGGAAGAGAGGGAGGAGAGAAGAGAGAGAGAGAGGAGAGGAGAGAGGAGAGAGAGAGAAGAGAGAGGAAGAGAGGAAGAGAGCAGGAGAGAGAGCGAAGAGGAGAGAGCGGAGGAGAGGAAGAGAGGGAGGAGAGGAAGAGAGTGGGAGGAGAGGAAGGAGAGAGAGAGAAGTAGAGAGAGGAAGAGAGTGAGGGAGGAAGAGAGCAGAGGAGAGGGAAGAGAGAGGAGAAGAGAGCGGAGGAGAGGAAGAGAGGGGAGAGGAGGAGAGGTAGAGTGGAGGAAGGAAGGCAGACGAAGTGGAGGGAGGAGTGAAGGAGAGCGCAGAGGAGGAGAGAGGAGAGAGGAAGAGTGCAGAGGAGAGGAAGAGTGGAGAGGAAGAGAGTGGAGGAGAGGAAGAGGAGAGGAGAGGAAGAGAGGGAGGAGAGGAAGGAGTGAGGGAGAGGAAGAGTGCGAGGAGAGGAAGAGTCGGAGAGGTAGAGAGTGGAGGAGAGGAAGAGTGGAGGAGGAGGAGAGGAGAAGGAAGAGAGTGGAGGAGGAAGAGAGGAGAGGAAGAGTGAGAGGAGAGGAAGAGTGGGGAGGGAGGATGAGAGAGGCAGGGAGAGGAGAGAGTGAGGAGAGAAGAGTGAGAGGGAGAAGAGAGTGGAGGAGAGGAAGAGAGTGGAGGAGAGGAAGAGAGTGGAGGAGAGGGGAGAGGAGGAAGAGCGAGGAGAGAAGAGTGCAAGAGGAAGAGTGGGGAGAGAGAGTGGAGGAGAGGAAGGAGTGGAGTGGAGAGGAAGAGAGTCGGAGGAGAGGAAGTCAGAGGAGGAGAGGCAAAGAGTGAAGAGGCAGAGGAGAGGAGTGGGGAGGAGAGGGAGGAGGGGGCGGAGAGAGAGTGCGAGAGAGAAGAGTGCAGAGGAGAGGAGAGTGCAGAGGAGAGGAAGAGAGTGCAGAGGGAGAGGGCAAGAGGAGTGGCGAGGAGAGGACAGAGGAGTGGAGGAGAGGAAGAGAGGGAGGAGAGGAAGAGAGAAGTGGAGAGAGAGGAAGAGGGAGGAGAGGGAAGAGAGAGAAGAGAGGAAGAGAGAGAAGTAGAGGAAGAGAGGCAGAGGAGAGGAGAAGAGAGCGGAGGAGAGGAAGAGCGGAGGAGAGGAAGAGAGTGGAGGAGAGGAAGAGGAGTGGGGAGAGGAGGAGGCAGACGGAGAGGAAGAGGGCGGAGGAGAGGAAGAGTGCGGAGGAGAGGAAGAGAGTTGAGGAGAGGAAGAGAGGGAGGGGAGAGGAAGGAGGCGGCGAGAGCGGGAGGAGAGAAGAGTGCAGAGGAGAGGAAGAGAGTGGCGGAGAGGAAGAGAGTGGAGAGAGAGGAGCAGAGAGGATGAGAGTGGAGGAGAGGAGAGTGCAGAGGGAGAGGAAGAGAGTGGAGGAGGAGGAAGAACGGCGGAGCGGAGAAGGAGAGGAGAGGAAGCAGTGGAGGAGCGGAAGGAGTGCGGAGGAGAGGAAAGAGAGTGGAGGGAGAGGACAAGGAGTGCAGAGGAGAGGAAGAGAGTTGCAGAGGAGAGGAAGAGAGTGGAGGAGAGGAAGAGAGTGGAGGAGAGGAAGAGAGTGGAGGAGAGGAAGAGAGTGGAGGAGAGGAGGAGTGCAGAGGAGAGGAAGAGTGCGGAGGAGAGGAAGAGAGTGAGGAGAGGAAGAGTGCAGAGGAGAGGAAGAGAGCGGAGGAGAGGAAGAGAGCGGAGGAGAGGAAGAGAGCGGAGGAGAGGAAGAAAAATAGATGGACTTTTCATTAGGGCAAATTGATTTGCATTTCAAAAAAGGGGGAGATATTGAAAAAAAGGTCAATTAAGCCAATGTGTTAATAATGCATTTGTGAATGGGTGTACTTTACTTTTTTTACAATCTGAGCAGCAGGACATTGATAAAAGTGGTGTCTTGCCTCTTGGTGTGCTGACCTGTACTCCCACTGACAGTACATTAGAGTGGTTAGGAGAAGGGAAGTAATGGGGTTGTAATACCGGGTTATTAACCATTAGGATGCTGGATTGGTTGTTAAACAGGTCCCCGAAGGAGAGTCTTGTTGTGGCTGTTCATTTATCCTAATTTTCTGCATCCAGTTTGCTTTGCTGTCTGTTTCAGACTGGTGCTTTCACTGTGGGTGTGAATAGGGAAGTGATGAGATGGACTCTAGCTGACTGTTGGGATTGAGGCTGTACTGTGTGTTTTCACTACAGAGGTTTTGGGTGGCAGTGTTGTTTTTCTACTGATTCAGCGTTCGTAAGAGACAGCAAATGAGAGTGGTCAGGTGGGTTGGACTGTAGCATGTTAACACTGGCTGTGAGGGTTGGGCCAATATGAAGACGACTAAGAAAGAATCCACTCAAAAATACCAATCCATCGGACAAAACGTACCATAATGCCACACCAACAGGAATGTCCTTTTTCTACAGGTGGTTTTAAATAAGGGGTCATTTCCTTTAATCAATGAAGATCATTTGGGGTAAGTGGTTCATTATAGGAAATTAACAATATGAGGAAATTTCTTCAAAATGGGCTTTTGTAAAGCCATAGAAAACATGACACAGTAAAAAGTATCCTATCAGTTTCACATTCAATCTTGTATATTGGGTGTGACTGACACGTCCCAGCGGCCAATCCCCACCCCAACATCCCCCTGCTCACTCACCCCATTGGCCGTGCTGACGGCCTGGTAGTAGACGCTGTAGCTCTTGTGGGGGAGGAGGGGGGCGTTCCAGTAGCCGTTGTAGGTACGGTTGTCTCCGATGCAGAAGGGTACGGGGGTCTTGATGTCGCCCATGAGCAGCTCAGCTGTGAAGTAGTACTGGGAGTTGAGCACGGTGGTGTTCTGGAAGTGGATGGGCACCGGGTAGCAGCGTAGGATCTCTGCCGCCCTCCTCACCCGCCGGGGGCGCTCTTCCTCCACCACCACCTGGTACTTACTGCAGGGAGAGGAGAGGAATATCGATCAATCATTCAATCAAATGTATTTACGTAACCCTTTTTACAGCAATATTTCTGCTGCATCTTCCTCTGTTTGCTGGAAAGAAGCATGAGTCAGCGGATCATTAGGACTTGAAATGTGTAACAGGACTCCATCTATGTAATGTTAACAGGTTATGTGTGTCTTTGTTCACCCACTATGTGTTCCAAGGCCAACTGTGCCAAGAGTTTCCTTTTGATTGTCCAACAATGTATCAATTGAACCTGAAAGGATCAAAGAAATCACTGCCTGCTACGTTTGTGCGCATAATCGATTTTCCTTGGTTGCATTTTAATCCATTACTTTAAATGAATGAGCCAGACGAAGAAACATAGGAAATACTAATTGCCAATGACAGATACACATTTTCACTAGTTCTTCAGAAAGCATATCTGATGTGTTACAGTTTGTGTTTCTTGACTGAATACACTTGTCAAGCAGCCAGCAATCTCAAGCCATGCAGTGTACTCTGTAGCGCCTTCCGGTCGGATGCCGAGCAGTTGCCATACCAAGCGGTGATGCAACCAGTCAAAATGCTCTCGATGGTGCAGCTGTAGAACTTTTTGAGGATCTGAGGACACTGTACTGAACATAAGCCAAACTCTTACTTCACTGAAGCTGAGAGCAATGAACTAATTAACTGTATGAATAAGCATGTAGACTTGGATGAGAGAGACTGTCGCACTGGAGGTTGGCTGAGGTGGTGACACCAGGGGGTCTAGTCAACCCTCTCTCGCTCTCTGACTGAGCGAACGTAGCCCCATCCTGAAACTGACAGCTTTAATTAACTCATGAAAGCCTGCAGCCTCGTAGCCCGCCGCCGTCCCTAGAAGTAGACCACTATCTCATTTAAGGAGCGTCACAGCGATAGCAGTCGGGTGGGATTCTAGATATCTCATCTATGTGGAGGGATTTAAACGGCAGGAAATAAAAGGGGGAACTGTAGAAGCCGGCTCTCTCTCTGTGACTCTCTTTCTCTGTGACTCTCTTTCTGTGACTCTCTTTCTCTGTGACTCTCTCTCTCCCTTTCTTTCTTTATTTATCTCGCTCTCTGCAAGGATATTAGACGACAGAATCCCTGACGCCGGCTGGGGATTAGCACGCCGCTAAGTGTGTCGCAAATAATAATGACATGAAAATGGTTCCTACTATCGCGCTAGCCCCTTATTCCATGTCAGGCTTGGAGTTAAGTTTATTATAAGAAGAGAGATCAGCATCCAACATCCAACCCTGAACCAGGCCTCCTGGGTAGAAAGCCTTGGGAAGCGGAAGAGGCAATAGGCAATATTAATAGAAACTGGATAGGGATTGGGTGGGGGATCAAGTGGGCCCAAGTCCAAAGCCATAACCTTTTTCTAATGCAATAGATGGGGATATTGGCAGGGAGGCATGGCGGGAGGGAGACAGAGAGAGACCGAGACCGAGAGATATGGGAGTTTGCATTGAGGCATATTAATATTGAAGACGAGTATGAATATTAAAAGACAAGTATGAATATCGAAGAGTATGAATATTGCTGATTTGACAGCAGACCTCTCAGTGACTCTCCCACATTAGAAATACATTCTAATTGCTTAACTCATCTTATTTTGTCAATCCTTACAACCAACCATGTGGTTTTATAATATGACATAATGAAACCGGGTTATACCGGGTTGCCCTAGTCTAGTGTACTGGAGAGCATCTGCTGTATTTTCCATATCTCCTCTGAACAGTTTTGTCACTTTAAGGACTTTCAAATGGAGCATAAAACTGAGACCTAACTTTAAGGCTGTTTGTTTAAAAGACATTTGTTTGAAAAATGAGAAAAAAGCAGCAATAGTACTGTTTGTCCATTTTGAGACGCCATAGCCAGTATACACTTCCTCAAAATAGTCAGAATTAATCTAAGATAACTCAATAATTATGTCATTGATTTTGACGTTTTGCCAATGAGATTTTAGTCACGCAAGTTTACATCTAACTAATCAGTATTTCAAAAAATTAAAAAATGTGCATGAAAACTAGTTGTCTCTCGTTGAATGACAAAACCTTTACTGAAGAATCCCTACTGTTGCCCAATCATCGACGAAGGGGCGTAGACTTTGGCTTGCCTCAAGAAAAGAAATGTGTGTGCCGGAACAACCAAAAGATTACTTACCGAAGTCCAAATCGAACAAAAACATCACAAAATGTCATAATCATTTATATGCACAAACTCTTCCTAACTGTTTGACTGGGAAGCATTCGGACGCCTTTACTCATGCACAGCCAAGTGGAACTCATGGGGAGTGAGTTGCAAAGACAGCATAAGACAAATTCAACTGACCTACAACCTTTCCAGGAAGTAACCATCATCTTTAACCTGAGAGATTCACTTTAAAAAAAATAACCAAGCAAGCTCCCGACTCCTGCCTCCACTCGTCATAATCAAAATTAATGACTTCCCACACAAGTGTAAAACCAAAAAAATAAAACTTGTTTGACTTAAAAATAATACAATTTGTCAGGTTGAGTGCTCTCCTCTGCAGGCTGAATTATAAATAGTCAGGCCTATTCGATATTTGCCAATTAAATTTCCCCCTGGCTCCACACATCCATTGGAGATTAGATCTGTCATAAACTGCTGGGGAATATCGGGGTAGGTCCCCGTGAACATCCAAGTCTCTCTGTGCTCTTTGAGCTGTATAACTCATCATAGACAAGAATAACTTTCCCATCATCAATAAGTTCCCTTCTGCCCTTTCACCATGAGGAGGAAGGAGAGGAGCTGGGTGGGAGAGTGGGAGATGAGGAGGAAGGAGAGGAGCTGGGTGGGAGAGTGGGAGATGAGGAGGAGGAGGGAGGAGGAGGGAGGAGGAGGAGGATGGAGAGGAGCTGGGGGTGGGAGCAGTGGGAGATGGAGGAGGGAGGAGAGGAGCTGGGTGGGGAGAGTGGGAGATGAGGAGGAGGAGGGGAGGAGCTGGGTGGGAGAGTGGGAGATGAGGAGGAGAGGAGCTGGGTGGGAGAGTGGGAGATGAAGAGGAGGAGGAGGAGGAGGAGAGGAGCTGGGTGGGAGAGTGGGAGATGAGGAGGAGAGGAGCTGGGTGGGAGAGTGGGAGTGAAGAGGAGGGAGGAGGAGAGGAGCTGGGTGGGGGAGAGTGGGGAGATGAGGAGGAGAGGAGTGGGATGGGGGAGAGTGGGAGATGAAGAGGAGGAGGAGGAGGGGAGCTGGGTGGGAGAGTGGGAGATGAAGAGGAGGAGGAGGAGGGGAGCTGGGTGGGAGAGTGGGAGATGAGGAGGAGGAAGGGAGCTGGGTGGGAGAGTGGGAGATGAGGAGGAGAGGAGCTGGGTGGGAGAGTGGGAGATGAGGAGGAGGAGGAGAGGAGCTGGGTGGGAGAGTGGGAGATGAGGAGGAGGAGGAGAGGAGCTGGGTGGGAGAGTAGGAGATGAGGAGGAGAGGAGCTGGGTGGGAGAGTGGGAGATGAGGAGGAGGAGAGGAGCTGGGTGGGAGATGAGGAGGAGAGGAGGAAGGAGAAGGTGAGGAGAACATTTAGTCTCAGATTTAGAACCTCGTTAAAGGCCAGCCATTACTTTAAGAGGCTGTCACTGCGGTGATTTATCCCTCCCTCCCTCCCTCCGCCATGTATCCCAGGAGACTGTGCCTCTGGGACAGACACCTCTCATTGTTCTTACCTATTAGAGGTCTACCCAACAGATTCCCCTGTGAAGGTAGAGTACATTCTAGCCTGGCTAAACCAGATTGAACACTATGTGGTGGGTGTAGCATTCAGTCTGGTTCAACCAGGCTAACAGTATAGGAATAATTGAGCACTCCAGGAGAAAATACAGACTAAGAAACAGTAAGTGAAACCTAATTTGTATTCTAATGCCAATGAGGGAACTCATTTCTATAGCTCTAAATGGAATAAACCAATAAACACTGTTTGCAGTAAGAGCCTATTTATGATAATGATATGACAAAGCACTATTATTTTTTCCGCCAGACAACAGGTCAAAAGTTGATATTTTCTCTGCAAATTACCGGGATGAAAAATGCATCTGCTTTCTGGGCACAGCCAGTGTAAAGAGAAAAACAGACGCTTGGGGGCTGGAACCGGAGAAGAACGATGCATCTTCAATAAATAATACAAAACTCAGCACAAATTGATACTCCAAGGCTACCTGCAACGTCTAGATATCAATTTGAGAAAAACAATACCACTTAATTAAATATTTTTCTCTCCCGGTGTGCCCTGGGCACTAGTAAATGTCCAGAGAAATTGTAGAAAATCTAGAAAAATTTGCATCACTCCAGCACAAAATGACTGCCACTCCTCTATTCCTCCTTCCCAGCTCAAATATCATCCTTTATTGGATAACCATCAGGTTTATCATAGTGAAAAATACATATTGAAGTGCTGCATATTTAAAGCGAGGCGTTGGTAGGTTATGAGTATAATAATTTTTCCTTCAGGCGAGATGGAAAATGCTGATGGCAAAATGCTGCGTCTCCATGATCTCACTGCGGGTTTCATATTGGTTTTTGCCTCAGTCTCTTCTGGCCTTAGCTTGACTGTGAGCTATGAAACTACAGAGACACCAGCTGAAAGCTAAGCAACTAAGCAAAAAAAGACAGCCTACTTTGGAGTTTGGAAAGATCCCATAGTAGTTCTAGTCCTTTTTAGCGTTCAATTAACTCTCCGACAATCAATACACAACAATCAATGAGGCTTCTTAGAGAGAGAGGGAGAAGTGGAATTAACTGTCCACTTGGTAGCTACCCAGGGAAAATAGAGAAACCTTGGAGAGGAATTAAAATGAGGTTGGGCTGGGGAACTGTCTTTAGTGGCTAATTAGCCTTCACTGGTCCAGGAGAGTCAGGGAGGTTTGGGGGAGAGGTCAGGAGGATTGTCTCCTCCCTAAGATGGTGTAACTCACCCCCAGACAGG